CCCCCCCCCCCCCCCCCCCCCCCCCCCCCCCCCCCCCCCCCCCCCCCCCCCCCAATTGGTCAATTTAGGGGCGAGATGGACGGTGACAGAGGCACGACTGCATCTTGGAATTCGGCAAGGAGTTGGCGTTTCTTGGAAATACCAGTGGTTTTCATTTATGCAAGCAATTCCTGTGTCGAGGAACCGCTTATTGTCCTCGACTTGTTAGCCGTTTCGAGGGTTGAGCTGAAATTAGGAACTGAATAGAAATGAATAACAGACGCTGGTGGGCCATGAAGGGAGGATCTGTGGCTCTGACTCATATTCCATTCTCTCTCTGCAGACTTGATAATCACCCGGTGTGCTTCAACTCTCAAAGTAGGCTCTGACTTAGTCTAAGAGGTATAGCTCATTTTGTATTCGTGTACAAATCATGAAGTTTTGGTCGGGGAGTGCAATTTGGCGATCGACACAGCCCCCCCGGTTCCGACGGGTTGGGTAAGCGTTTCCAAATTGGGTGGAGCCGCCAAGGGACCCCCGACCTGGCCCGATTGATCTTGAGACACACGACATCAATCGCCATCAACCATCAAACATCACCTCCATCAACCACCCACTGACCACCTGTCTCTTTCATCAATGTTGCGCTCAGGTTGCAGCCGGGCTGACGAGCGCTTCCACGCCACTGCATCTTCTCCCCTTTGTCGTTGAAGCCCCCTCCACCTCCGTAAACCCCGCGAGTCAAGAAGAGTGACCAATCAACCGACCTGGCCAGGGCGACCGAATATCGAATGTCCGAACGATCCAGACCCGAACCCCCAATACGAAACACGGTAGCTCCAAATGGCGCCGGAAAAGGAACACCTGTACGACCCCGTCGTCCCCATACCGACCTACGATGAAGCCGTCGCCGGCACAAGCCGCTCGGCCTTCGAGGCCGAGTGGACCCCCGTCGACCACGCCGACCACCACGACGAGGCAGAGGGCCACTCGCTCCTGACCTCCCGCCCGGCGACCTCCTCCGCCTCCTCCTCCTCCGCCCGCCGCCCCGACGGCTACCGACCCCCGACCGTCGAGACGGACGACGAGGACGACCTGTGCGGCTCGCTGTCGGACTCGGATGCGGACTCGGAGGCCGCCGAGGTGCGCCGCGAGATGCAGGAGATGGAGATCGTTGACGCGGACGCGGACGCGGATCACCGCTCGCGCAACCTGTCGTCCATATGGGGCAAGCGCATCGGCTTCGCCCTGTCGCTGCCGCAGTGGCGCTGGAGGTGGCGGTGGCGCCTGCCGCGGATGCGCATCCGCCTGGGCGAGGACCGCGGCGGGGGCCGAGGCGGCGGCGCGGGGGCGGCGGAGGAGACGCCCCGGAGATCGTGGTGGCCGGCCATGTCGTTGCCGTCGATCAACGGTACGGGTTCGCTGATTATCTTCGGGAGGATGCTGGCTGTCGTGCTGTTGGTCGGGTTTCTCTACCTGCTTTTCCTGAGCGACCTCTTCGCGAATATGGCGAGGCGAATGGGGAGCCAGATGTTCGATCCCGAGAGCGTGAGGGTGCATGTGCAGAGCATGGTGGACCCGAGCAGGATACGGGAGAAGATGGAGCAGCTCACGGGCTACGCCCACGTTGCGGGCACGGCGGGGGACTACACCTTGGCAACCGGCATCAAGAACGACTTTATCGAGTACGGCCTGGAGGGCGTCAAGGTCGACAAGTACTACGTCTACCTGAACTACCCGACGGCCGCAGGGCGGGCGGTGGAGATACTGGGGCCGGACGGCAAGCCCACCTGGTCGGCAGCGGTGGAAGAGCCCAACGTCGGCAGCCAGACAACCGGAAACCAGACCCTGGCGTTCCACGCGCACTCCAAGTCCGGCGATGCCAAGGGCCCCCTGATCTACGCGAATTACGGCTCCCGCGAGGACTTCAAGATGCTCCTCGACAAAGGAATCGACACCAAGGGCGCCATTGCTCTCGTCAGGCAGGGGGGCCCGTACGGAGACGTCGGGTCCAAGGTGAAGGCCGCCGAGCTGGCCGGGTTTGCCGGCTGCATTACCTACACTGACCCCGCGGATGACGGTTTCGTCAAGGGACGAACCGCACCCGACGGTCGATGGCTGCCCGGAGACGCGGTCCAGAGGGGCTCAGCCAGCCTGACGAGCATGATCCTTGGTGATCCCCTGACGCCGGGCTGGGAGAGCGAGAACAACCTTCCGCGACTCACTCCGGATAAGTCTCCCGCATTGGTCAATATCCCAAGCTTGCCTCTGTCGTGGAAGGATGCCCAGCCGCTCCTGCAGCACATCAAGGGCTACGGCCAACCCACTCCCAAGGAATGGGTTGGCGGAGTCCCCGACGTGGGCGAATGGTGGATTGGCAACCTCTCCTCGCCGGTCGTGCATCTCAAGAACGAGCAGGAGGAGCTGCAGGAGAAGGCCATCTGGAACGTCTACGGCCGCATTGTCGGCATGGAGCAAAGCTACAAGTCCATCATCATCGGGAACCATCGGGACAGCTTGACCTTCGGCGCGACGGGACCTCACTCGGGAACGGCCGTCATGCTCGAGGTAGTACGCATCTTTGGCGATCTTGTCGCTCGGGGATGGCGGCCGCTGCGCACGATCCAGTTCATGTCCTGGGACGCGGGCGAGTACAACCTCATCGGGTCGACCGAGTACGTGGAGAAGCACATCGACTCCCTCCGCGAGGACGCCTTCGCCTACATCAACCTAGACACGGCCGTGACGGGAGACACTTTCCACGCCGCCGGGTCCCCCGTCTTCCGCAAGCTCGTGCTCCAGATCCTCAACCGCGTCTCGGACCCCTACCAGAACACCACCCTGCGAGACCTCTTCGACCGCCGGGGCGGCCAGATGGAGGGCCTCGGCGCCGGATCCGACTACGCCGCCTTCCAGGCCATCGCCGGCACGTCGTCGCTCGACCTCCGCTTCGAGGGCGGTGGGCACCCGCACGGCTCCAACTACGACACCTTTGAATGGATGAACACGGTCGGCGACCCGGGGTTCGTCTACCACACGCTGCTCGGCCAGGTCGTGAGCCTCCTCGTCGTCGAGCTGGCCGACCGCCCCATCGTGCCCTTCGACATGACCTCGTACGCCGACGCCCTCCGCGGTTACGTCGACGAGCTGGAGGAGTGGGCCCGCGGCAAGAAGAAGGGCGGTGGGAGAAAGCTCAACGTCGCCGCGCTGCGCGCCGCCGCAAACGATGCGGCCAGCGCCGTCCGGAGGTTCAACCGGTGGGAGATGAGCTGGGAGAACAGCGTCGTGGCGGCGAACCGGTGGGAGTCGGCGGGGCTCGGCAAGCGGAGGGGCGAGTACAACAACCGCATGGCCAAGTTCGAGACGGACCTGCTCGATCTGGAGGCGGGTGGCGGTGTAAGTCTTCCTTCCCCCTTCTCTTTTCTCTTATTTCCTCCCCGGTTTCAAAAAAACCCCGTTAGGATAAAAAATAAAGTAAAAAAAGCTAACCCGACCCCGAAAACAGATCCCCAACCGCACCCAGTTCAAGCACGTCGTCTTCGGGCCGCAGCTCTGGAGCCCCCGCGACGTGTCCCTCTTCCCGGCCGTCCGCGACGCCGTCCTGGCCGGCGACTGGGACCTCGCCGACAAGACCGTCGAGAAGGTGGCTAGGATCATCGCCGCGGCCGCCAGGGCCCTGGTCGAGGAGGGCAAGGAGGAGTAGTGTTTGCCCCTCCCGAAGGTACAGAGTTAGGGTATGCCATGTGTAGGTATGGACGGATGGGTCGGCAGAGGGAAAAAACCCGATATAAAGCAATGGCATCATCAAGCATTGGCATTGGCATGGCGTATATGGCGGGGATTTCCTTTTTTTTCTCTTTCTTGTTCGGACTATTTTCTTTCCCCTTTGTTGTATAAACGAATCTTGGACTGGGAGGGTCATCTCGTGCAAACTCTCCGCGATCAGGAGGCTTGTGTACCTAACTAGCCACGCATCTGTAATTTCCTTGCCGTGAATACCAGCCAACCTTACATATATATATAACACATTTCACTTCGTTGGCAGACAGTCAGGGATTCAGTTTTCTCTCGTCACATTTGACCGACAAGAACGGCAGATTATACATATGTACATTGATTGCAGTTCGTTGGGCAGCACGGCTTTCAAGCTATGATGATGGAACGAGTCGCTCTCTTCCCTCTCAGCGAACACCTCACCGGGCCAGTATTATTTTGTACAACGGGCTTGGCTCGCGGCTCTGTGGCGGAGGAAAGAGAGGTTCTGCCACATCCGAAACGTCTCTGGACTGCTCTTTCCATGAAATAGGGATACAATGGTTCGCTAGAGAGGTTTGGAAGGGTGGATGGGGGAGGAAGGAAGAAAAAAAAGGAAATGGGTTTAAAAGCCAGCACGCGCCGGCTCCTCCTGCTCGAATGACTCTGGCAACTGCTCATTTTGCACTGAGCACCACGCCCTCGTATTCCTTACTCCGGATCATCTCGAGAGTGTGGTAGAAATGCTTCTTGCTCGCCTCAACAGACGGCGAGTCTTGCTGGTTACCCGCCAAATTGGAGTGGATGAGCTCGATGAGACCATTGAGGTATTTTGTCGTGACCTAAAGGGGTTAGAGTCAGAACCTTGCTGGCGACTCGCTGTCAAGCGAAAGTGGGGAAAAGAAGACATCGAGCTGCTTACCGATTCATTCCGCTGCTCAAAGTAGTAGACGTATCTGTCGAGGATCTCGACGAACAGCTCAATCGACGTGGCCGTCTCCATACACGAGTCGGCCACTCTGAGAGCGCGCTGCAGGCACTCGAGCACCCGCTTGCCATCCCGATACAGCTGTCATGACTTGTCAGCACCACAAGAAGAGAAAAGAAAGTCATTATCGCTCTACCCACCTCTGTTTCCTCTCCCTCCGCACTGTCGGGATTGGGCGTCGCCCACCACAGGTGGCTCGCCAGGTACACGGCCCGGCACTGGTCGGGCTTCCGCAGGAGCTTGCTCGCGTGCTGGGCGCACTTGGTGATGAGCGTGTCGTAGTTCTCCTTGCCGAAGTTGCGGCTCTGGTGCAGCGAGCTCGCGATGGCGCAGACGGCCTGGAACTGCGCCTTGGAGTCGCTGACCGCCTCCTCGTAGACGGTGAAGGCCTGCGCGAAGAACTCGTACGCCACCTCCTCGAAGCCCGCCGTGTCGGCGACTTGGCCGCAGGAACAGAAGAGCCGGAGGGAGAGCTCGGCGGCGCCGGCCCCGTTGACCCTCGTGTACAGCGTCGACACGGCCGAGTGCAGGAATTTGAACAGGGAGGATGACTGGCTGGACCAGTTGTCGTCGTAATGCTCCCGAGCCTTGAACCGCCGGGCTAGCTTCAACCCGGCCGTGACAAGGGGCGGCGTAGTCGTCCGGATACGGTCGTTGCCCTCGGAGTAGGCCTTGCGGGTCATTTGGAGCAGGCGGAACTGGGTGTCGTTGTCGTCCGAGTGCAGGAGATGGACCAGCCGCGCCAGCCAGCCCTGCTCCTCCATCGTCTCGTCCGTCTCAAGCGCACGCGTCCGTTGTTGGACTACTCCGGGGTAACCGGACGGTGGATGAGAGCCCTCCTTGATCAGCACTTTGAGGATCTCGAGGACGTTCTCGAGCTGGGCCGGCGTTGCGATCAGGGTGTGATTCTTCAGCAGGGTCCTCGCGACGTCACCTGCAACGGCTCGCCGTGTCGGATAGGTCTGCGACTGGAAAAGGGGCACGTAGGTGGGCAGAGACAGAGCCGTGAAGACGGAGACGTATCTCTTCATGGGTCCCTGCAAGAGGGAGAGCAGACTCTGTTGCGCGGGCTGTGAGTGGAGGTCGGCACTGTTGGCGTGCTCCTTAACCTTGCTGTTGGCATATTCCAAGATCTGGTCCACGTAATCCAATCGTTCTGGGTAGATGTTGAGCGCTAGGTTTGTGAGGGACACACACAGGGCTATCGTGTGCTGGATGGGCAGATGCTGTGCCTGGACGAGGTTCTTGACCTGGCCAAAGAAGATCTCGTAGAGGGGCACGTTCTCCGGGATTCCCCTCTTCTTCTTCGCAGGTTCCTCTTGGGCTTCCTCTTGGGCCGCCTCTTCGGCTTCGTCCCCGTTGACCGCCGTCGCCTCAGTTTCTGCTATTGATGGCGTTTCCTCCGTCTCCTCCTTTGCCAGGGTCTCCGCCGTTGAAGTAGCGTCCCCCTCGGCCTGCTCTCCGTTCGCATTCTCGGACGCAGCAGCCTCATCTCCGGCCCCAGCCCCAGCGTTGACGTCAGCGTCTTTGGGGGCAGGCGGTGCACTCTCATCGTGTTCCTTGTTAAGTTTGACCTTCTCGAGCAGGTTGGCCAATGCTTCCTCCTCCATCTTCCCTCTGGTCTCGTCCGACTCGTTCTGCGACTCGCGTTCCGCATACTTGGAAAGCCTATCCATCAAGCCTATGACAATCGCCTTGACATTGACATGTGGGTTCAGCCGCGACACGGCTGCCAGGAATTGGTCGAGGGTGTAGAGATGGAATTCGTCGGGGAAGACCTGGATAATGACCTCGAGCAGGTACTCCTGGGCCAAGACGTCCCGACATTGGACAACCTGCTCCAGCAACGGGGCCAGAATGCCGTTCTTGTAGTTGGCGAGGTCCACGAGCTGGCTGAGTCGGACGATGTTGTTCCCAACCAACAGCTGCAGCTCTTTACGCTCCTGTGTCCTTTGATCCCGTTCTCGCGAGTGGCCTTGATGTTGTAGCCGCACCCAGAGTTTGTTCATCTCGACGAAATTGGTCAGAACGAAGTTGATCGAGTCCTGCAGATTGCCTTCCGGTCCCTCGCCATCACCGTCCGGGAGGTAATCCCGGGCCTGGCCGGAGAGGTAGTAACGGAGGAACAGCCCACGGATCGGGTGCTGGACGCCTCGGCTCATATCCATCATGTCCTTCATCAGCTCCTTGACTGGCGCTCCGTCGACAGCCATGTAGGCAGTCCCGACCGTGATCATCAGGTAAAGCCTCGGTATGATATTTCCGGCATACTGTACGAGTTCATACAGATCCGCCAAGTGGTTGACCGGGTGGTTCTCGCGGAGGTGGACAGAGAGGTATCGGAGGGCATCGAAGACGGCCATGTAGAGCTCGTAGTATTGCTTAGGTCCCAGGCTGTTTGTCCGGAGTTCCGAGACGAGGGTAGAGCTATAGAGGGGGTCGCGTGTGTTAGAACAAAGGTATCCCGAATAGCCCCCTCAAGCTCCAGCTAGCAGAATGAGGAGGGTGCGAGAGGGTTATCATAAGTGAGAGCGGGCGGGTCTTACCAGCACTTGAGAGCATCCATCAGCTTCCCGGGCGTGTCGAGGCATTTGCGCATGAGCGCGGTCTGCTGGCGCACAGCTACGAGGGCATCTTCGAGCAGGCGGGCCTGGTCTTCGGGCAGCGCGGGGGCCGACATGGCGATTCAGCGCTCGCTTGCTGCTCTGAAGAAGCTGTAATCCGAAGTGTTGCGGGAGACGGGCTCAGAAATGCGGCATTGGATTGGAAATTGCCGGGCTGTAGAATGTGGAAGGAGACAAAGTGGGCTTCGGGTGATGACGACGCCAGCAGCACTTCCAGCAGATTCAGAGCCGTTGTTGGGATGCTCGCTCGGGGGGCAGTTCCTAGCTCGGAGGTAGGATTACGTAAGTTGCCAGGTTAGGTCAGTTCTCAGCACGTGGGGGGTTTCAACCTTCACCCAAGTTCACCACAGGTCAAGTTCAGTCTGATCTGAGAAGTAGCAGTGCAGCCATTCGCATCCATGAAATCCTAGCGTTTATCATATGAAACTCTATACCAGAGCAAGTAGTACACAACCTCCTTCGTGTGGATTGTCAGATTGAAACTGTGATGTGGCTGGACCTTTCCTAATCAGCTCCGAGGGCAACAAGGAACGGCAACTCCTCTATGAATCATGTACTAATCCCAGAACCCGATCCTATCCTCTGTGACGTGACTTGTCATTCCATCGTATCACCCACGAGCTGTCTACCTCAGTCAACAAACTTCCCTCCACAATTGCCGCAAGCATCGCCCGCAAACTCGGCCCTGATGCCACCTTCCAGCTCAGGAGCCCTCCCAACCAACGCCTCCAGCTTGAGAGTCCGCGCCCCGCATGCGCCACACGTCCGCGATATGCCGGGGGCCTGGATCGCCAGCCCGCTCGTCCCGCATGTCGTGAAGAAGTGGCCCTTCCGGCAGACCGTCTGCAGCCCACCCGTCCCGCGGGTCTCCATCAGATCGCCGCAGAAGTCGCACCTCTGCCGCGCGACGGCGTCCTGGAACAAGCCCCGCAGCCTCTTGCGCTTGCTGGCGACAGCGCCGTCCCAGCCGTGACCGTCGCCGACCCCGGACGTGATCCCCGGCACGTCGGCGCCGCCGCCGTACATCCACTCCCACATGCGGCCCTCGGTGGTGAGCGGCCGCAGGGCACCGCCCGTGCTGCCACCACCACCACCAGCATCGTTGTCGTCGCCGTCGCCGTCGTTCCCCAACCCCGGGCGCGGTCGGGAGTCGAACATCAGCGTGCTCCGCGGCTCGGCCCACCCACCGCGATCCAGCTGCTGCGTGGCGAACGCGCTGACCAGCACGACCGATGAGCCGCCGCCCGGCGACGCCGCGAGGCCGTGGAGCCGGAAGCGGTGCGGGTGGACCTCGGGGCCCTGCGGAATGATCGCGCCCGCCTCCTCGGACCCCGAGTCCGAATATGCCTCCTCGTTGCCGCCGCCCTTGCCATCCGAGTCCGAGTCCCTGGCCCCGTCCGAGTCCGAGTCCGAGTCGTCCGCGCCAGCGAACATGTCGCGCCCGTGTAGGCCCGCCGGGACGGAAATCTCGAGCTTGTTGGATATGTCGGTTGCCCATCGGGGTCGCGTGCCTGCCCCGCCGGGCGTGGATGGGTTGTCTGGGAGGGACAAGTTGGTCTGGTGCCAGTCGTGGTTGGACGAGGTTGCCGAGAGGCGGATGAGGGTGTAGATGGGTGTTACTGTAGGCTTGACCAGGTTGGGCGGGTGGATGATCAGGTCTTGGATGGGGTTGCTCGACGGGACGTCTATTTGTGGATCTGAGTAGGACGCGCCGCACTGCTCTGGGGTGTGTGGCTTTGCCTCGAACCCGGAGATAGATCCGCCAAGAGTGACCTCAAACGGCTTGACGTGGAAGCCCGTGACGATGAGTCCGCGGACGAATTTCGACTTTTCCTTTGTCCATATTGCATCCTCGAATTCCACGAAACTGTCCGTGGAGAGACAAAGACACGTTCCGTACAGATCAGCCTCATCAACAGTTAGGTCGGGTGCTTCGCCCCTTGCGGGCTCTCCGTTAATGACGACCCTGCGGAAGCCGACGTAGTTCCTGTCAATGTAAGACAGAAGACAGCTCCGGGAATCCCCCGACAAAAGCCAAGGGCTCCACCGCAGCCCAAACGACGTCCCCTGGGGAACGTAGTTAGGATCCCAAACAGAGGTCCGCGGGTGAGGGCCTTCTGCCATGAACCGTGCCACCTCCTGCACCTGCCACACCGTCTCCTCCTTCGCATCCTCCACCGCTGCTTCCTTTCCTCCCCCGCCAGGTACAGCCAGCGACTGGACGCTGAGCACCGCAACCTCTCGCGCGTCATTGATGTAGGCCAGCAGAACCCGCCCGGGTGCCACTTGCCTAGACCACGCGAAACCCAACACGCACTCTCCAGCCCCGCCGGACCGCTGGCCCGGGACGGTGAGGCGGCCCCCGACGCCCCACAGGACGGCCCACGACGACAGGCTCCGCCGCTTCAGCATGCCGTCCTCACCGCGAACCCTGCCGAGCCCGCCGCCGCCACCGCTGCCGCTCTGCGCGGCCGATGACGACGACGGTGCCGGCCCGTCACCGTAGATGGCGATGACTCCCGCCGACGTCAGGACGGCCAGGACGGGGCGGCCGCTGGGGCCGAGACCAATAGGGGACCAGGCGATGCTCACGACGTGGTTCAGGCCGGCACCGGCGCCTGAGATGGGGCCCGCGCCGACGGCGTCGGTCTCCTCGTCCCCGGAGGCCGAGAAGGCGCTCTCGGTGCCGCTGCCTTCTCCTGCGTCATCGTGGTCATCGGGGTCGTCGTTATCGTCGTCGTCGTCGTCCCCATCGTCCTCGTCGTCGTCACTTGGCGCCGTATCCCCTGCACCGGAACGGGAGTTCACGCCGGCGGCGTCGCAGAGGTCGGCGTTGAGCCGCCTGTCCAGGCGCGGGTAGGAGACGGGGATCTGCAGGCTGCCGCCCGAGAACTGGGGGCGTTGGCGGGTGGGGAGGCGGCGGCGGAGGAAGGGGGGCCGGAGGTCTACGAGGTCGGGATCTTGGCTTTCTTTCTCGTCTTCTTCTTCTTCATCTTCATCTTCTTCCTCCTCGTCCTGCTGGTCACTGCTCCCACTAGCTTCCTCGGCGGCGCGGGGATCCGGAAACTCGGGGATCAGGATGTGGACCGAGTCGTCGGCGGCGACGGCGAGCTCGCCGTCACATGACCAGGTGAGCGCCCTCTTGGTTATTGGCCAGGAATTGAAGTGGACTTCTCGCAAGGGAGGGATCTTGGAGGGAGTTCATCAGTCAGTCAGTTATCAGGGCCGGAAGGGGTGCATCCGTTTTGTTCAGGTTGGGCCTCCCAAAGGCAGTTCAGACCACATGACCTCGCATATTTGGCCCTAATTGCTGGGAATTGAAATTGGAACGGTGGTGAACGGATATGTTTTGACAGTAGGACGGTTCGTCCGAGTGACCAGTTACTGAATGAGAGCAAGAGAGACCACGAGAAATGATGAAAGCCATAATTACCTTTGATTCCAGTTTCGGCTGCTTCATTGTGGCAGCCCAAGATCCCTCTGATGGTAACAGAAGTATTGGTGGCGTCTCCCGGTAATGTATTTAACCATCATTTCCAAGGTGAAAGGATGGTGGAAGGCTTGACGGTAATCTTTTCACCTTCAGATGGCACATGTGCTGCATTTCTCACCACATCAGGTCTGTCTTGGCGGGGCAGGTTAAGCACCCACCATTATTAGGTATCAACCTACCTAACCAAACACCAATCATCAACCCTCAACATATGTAGATAGCAAGACGGTAATAAACTGGTAATATTCAATCCACAATAGCGTTTGCTCTATGCACAATGCCATTTAACACCAGACTCCATTACAATGACTTGCCCGTCACGACCAAAGTTACCGCCGACACTCCCGTCACTGAGGCTAAGAAGCAGACCCTGAGCTTGATTCAGCGTGCCTCCTCCGCAAAGCAGGATCCTTCTCCCCAGAACCATTGCTGAGATGCGGGAGGGCATATGTAGGCTTAGCCGGAACCAATGGCTCTCCATCTGGTTGGCGAGGGGCTTCCAAGTACGAGCCGAGACCCCACAAGAAAGCACAGCCAGCCAGGGCAGCGGCTCCCAAGACCTTCTTCGCCCACCAGTTATCATCCGTCAGGGGCTTTGCGAACTGCACCTTGGAATGAAGGGCCTGCTTGTCGGCGCGGGCGTTCCCTGTCGCGCTCCCGGTCGCATTTCGGTCTGCGGCTTCGGCCTCGTCCACCTTCTGTCTCAGCTGGGCGATGGTCTTACTGAGGGCTACGAGGTCGTCTTCCAGGGTAGTATTCTTGGTGCCGTCGACCTCGACATTCTGCACGTTGCCGAAGAAGTCGGTGATCAGCCGGCTGCGCGCGGCGTCGGCCCCGCCGCGGAAAAGATCGTACCGCACGCCGGCGTGAGAGTGTATCTTCTCGTAATCGTAGCTGTCAAAAAGGTCGCCCACCGTTTTCCTACTACTAAGGTCCTGCACCTGCGATTCCAGGAACTCTAGGTTGTAGTACGTGTACCGGTCAATCACGGCGACGCCCACATCGTTGTCGGCGTGGTGCGAGTATGACGACTGGTCGAGTTCCGAGCTGCCGGTCGCGATGATGTTGGGGGAGTAAAGCTTGCTGTACATGGTATTCGCCTGGCACGTGTCGATCATGAACAGGATTTCGTGATACCTATGGGCAGATCCCGAATGTTAGTTGTGTTCTGCATAACGAAGAGGCAGGGCAGGGCAGCTTACCTCTTCTTCTCCCACATCTGCTCGAACGCGTCTGCCAGGTCAAAGGCGCCGATCTCCTCGGCATCCTGGAACTTGAGAAACTCGTTTCCGCCGTGGCCCGTCATGTACACCAAGATGTTGCTCCGGTCGTCGGTCAACAACCTCTTGCTCCGCGGCATTTCATCGCCCACCCTGTCCGTCAGCAGCCGGATGAAGTTCTCGACGGTGACTTCATAGCCGCGGTAGTCAACCTCGATGTTGTCGCCGTACAGGTCCACGGCGCGGTCGGCATTGGAGTACACGGTGCCCGGGAAGGCGTTCCTCGGGTTGCACGCCATGTCGTCGGGAAGCATCAGGATGATCTGGGAATCGGGAATCCCGAGGCGTTTGACAGTCCGGTAGATGGAGAGCACGTTCGCCAGATGCCGGTAGTTGAACCAGAAGCGGGATGTCGACACGAGGACTGCCCAGTTGCTCGTGTGCTCGGCATCGACGAGGGCGGCCGGCGCCAGCAGCGTCGCCGCGAGCAGGGCCGGCAAGCGGAGAATGCTGGACAACTTCATCGTAAGACGGGCCTCGATCAATCGATTCGTCCCTTCTATTGCTTGTATCGAGTCTGTGCTGGTCCAGGGAGCCAGGAACCAGGTCAGGAGTAGATCACCATTCGGCCAGTTGCATCGCCTCAGTAATGTAATCGTGTCGTTACTAAGCGTGGGTATTACGCATGAGCATTACGAAGCGTGAAGCCTAGCGCCTATCCGCGCCTGCCTACCTTACCTAATCAGTGCAGCTCCGTGCATGCCTGCGGTCCCTGGTTTTTTAGTGGCCCTACGCCCTTTCCGCAGCCCCGGTCGTGCCACTAGCGCAGGTCTCCCACCCCATCACATGTGATCCTAGGATTTCTGGGAGATGTTGTATGCGTGGATGCGCTCTTTCCGCCAACTTTTGAATGCAGCCTGCCTTTTTGATGCTGTGCAGGCCCGTTGAAACTTCAATTGCGAGGCATCTTGTGGCTTCGCATTCCTTGTTGCTCTGTAGGCTCTCTTATTAAGCTCTCTCCTGCTTATATCTCGCCCAATTTCTCTACATTCCCGCCGCCCTTGCCCCAAACCAACATCCCAAGCCCACCTCGCTCTAGGCTCTAGTGGACTTTCCTTCGCAAGTTCGCTCTGGCTCGTGACTGCCCCTCCAAGCTAGCATTCGTATATAGCGTCGTCCACCAACCCATTCTCACAGAGGAATTCCATATTCTGTCCATACCTGGCCCCCGACACCTCGGCATTCATCTGCTGGCTTTGCCCTCATTTTAGACCCTTTCGGCAACCTGGACAATATAATATTTGCGGCATAACCCAGGGCGGCGGAGATTCAGTCCTCCCCCCCACATTGAGTCATGGGGCGTCTTCCTGCCTACTTGTTTGTCGTGAGGTTAGTCTCGTGTACTGGGCAATCTCCAGCGCGGAGGATGCGGGCGAATACTCCTTCATGCTCTAGCCAAACGAAGACAACTAACGAGAGACTTCAGGCACGGAAACCGACTCGACGCCGCCGACAAGCAGTGGCACCTATCGTCTCCAACTCCATACGATCCCCCGTTGACCTATGGCGGCTGGATACAGGCGAGGGCTCTCGGAGCCCGCATAGGTGGAATCCTGCGCGACAGGATACAGGAAGATGAGGCTCAGCAGGCCGACCCAGGGGCCGACCCGGGATCCCAGCCAAGACGGCGCCGGAGGTATAAGGTCGTCATGCACAGCTCGCCTTACCTCCGATGCGTTCAGACTTCGGTCGCCATATCTGCCGGCCTTGCGCAGGACCCTTCACCTCTCCAAACCACAGCGATGGACGAACAAGCACCCAACCCGCCCTCCCCTCTTGGCCCCGGTACTAGGCCTCCGGCGGTCGCCGAATCGGCCGGCTCCGGCGCTGCTGACCTGAAGTCGGGTGAACCTCACAAGACGCGGAAGTCGATTCTCCGCCTGGATGCGTTCCTGGGGGAATGGCTGGAGCCCAGCTATTTCGAGCTGATCACTCCTCCCCCAAGCTCCGTGTTAATGCTAGCGAGCGCAAAGACGGCCTTGTTGCGGCTCGAAGCCTACGAGAACTACTCACCATTCAACACGCATAGCCACTCGGGATCGCACGGCCAGTTGTGGGGTGCTGGGCCTCGGGCAAGTCCTGTGTCCCCCACCGCCGGAGGGGATTCGGACGGGTTGGAGACCATGGCTGCCATGTCAAGCTCTTTGCCGAGCGGCGGCCGGGGCATAAACAGCCAAGGATTTCAGCAGGGCGGAACGTCGGTCGTACAGCCTGCTGAAGCGGGCGGGTATGTGGCACCAGTCCCCAACTATGCGGTATCTTCGAGCGCAACTATTCCCCTGGGTTATGTCGCGCACGCGCGAGATGCCTGCGTTAATTTTGACTACCAGTGGGACTCTATGAGAGGCCCGCTCGATTTGGGAGACGGCGGCACCTTTGGAGAAGAGTGGACCGCGATGCACCACAGGTTTCGTAAGGGACTCCAGGGTTTGGTGGATTGGTATGTCCAGGCGGAAGACCCAACGGACATGGTCACTAAACTAGCACGACAAGACTCGGGAGATGACACGGAATGTGCAGTCGAGGACCCGGACGACGAGGACACGGAAGCGGTGGTGATCATGGTCTCCCATGGAGCTGGATGCAATGCATTGATAGGGGCAATCATAAACCAGCCAGTGCTAAATAATATTGGCATTGCATCACTGACGATGGCAGTGCGAAAGCCAGAGGCCGAGGTTAGCACTGCTGGGATGGGCGCCCGAGTCGACGCAGGTCACGAACCTGGCAGAGCAGCCACGAAGGTACCGATTCATGAACACTACGACCTCAAGCTGTTCGCCAATACAGAACACTTGCGATCAGCGGCACCTACACCAGCCCCATCACGTTCTGCATCGATTGTAGGCATGGCCGCCGCTAAGACCCGCGGCCGTTTCTCGAATTCCTTCTCTGCCCCCCTGAGCAAATTCTCGTTCAACGACGGCACAGGGAGTAGATCTTCCTCGGCCAACGCAGCGCTGAGCGGCGTGCGGCAACCCTCGGTGGCATCGCCCTCGACCCCACGTGGCACCTGGACTAGCACGTTACCAGAGGGCGGGATCACAGTCGGGAGTGGCGTCACGTCGTTTACCAACAGCAATTTGTCCTTCGGCCTGTCGCGGACCCCGTCCATCGGCCTCTGGTCGCCCATCTCGCGGCGCGACGACAGCGAGGCAATTGACGACGAAGAGGAAGAAGACGACAACATGCTGCTCAACTTCAGCCACGAGAAGATCGCCGCTCCAGCATCTGGGTCGGCCGCGACCGGCGCCGGAACCTCAGCTGCGCCCGCCACGAAACGGAAGGAGAAGGAACCGCCTGGCGACGCCGAGGTGCGCGTCGCCACGCAGCCGGAGGGCCCAGGCTCCGACGGTCTGTGCGGTGGGGATCCCCGGCCGCCTGGCGAGGAGGAACCGATACGCGACGTCAGCTCGGCTAAGCGGCGGTGGACGATCAACGAGAGGCCACATCCTCGCGCCAGCTGAAGCTAGGCTGACGCCGGACTGGGCACGCCTCGGAAGCCTTTTCTTGCCAGTGCGTCTGTGCTGTGTGTGCGCGCGTGACGGCTGGTTTGGTTTGCATTCAGTGGTTTATCGATGAGCGACGTTTCTCGATACCCCTTCCCTCACGATGCAGCCTTTTTTTTTCTCAACATGCTTTCCACTCAGCAAGGCGTAATTTAATTTCTTTCGGGGCGAACCATTGCGGCGGGATAAAAAGCGGGATGGCATCGTCTTGTCTTGTTCTTGTTTCTAAAAGGGCCAGGGGCGGCGGAACAAGTCCATCATGAACCAGATGCGTTAAAAAGGCGTTCAAGAGGTTAGAAAGGTCTCGACTCTAGCGTTTTAATCTACATACAGGAGTGCTGTGTTACGAGGTCCTTTTGCTAATTAGAGAGAGAGAGTGAGAGAGAGTGTGAGAGAGGAAGATATTTGCGGGACACAGGTGCATCTTCGCCCGCAAGGGGACTCGTTCTCGCCTTTCCCCTTGAAGGCCAACGACTGTAAACTGAGTTACAAAAATAGATCGCCTCAGCCAAGCGATGATCGTCTCATCTGGCGCTTGGCCTTGGCCAATCATTGAGGAAGCTGCGCCTGGGGCGCATCATTGCAGTTCTGTTTTCTGTTTTCTGTGTCTTGTGTGTACAGTTTGCGGATTACGGTTCATGTACCTCCGTACTCTTTCGTCTTAGCGCTTACACTTGGCCAATCATGGCCTGTAGCCGCCACATGGGAATTCTGTTTTCTGTTTTCTGCGTTTTTGTGTTTACGGCTTTCGGATTACAGCTCATGTACGAATACTCTTTCGTCCTAGCGTTTGCCCTTGGCCAATCATTGAAGGAAGCTGCGCCTTGGGGTTGCAGCTCTGTTTTCTGTATTCTGCGTTTTGTGTTTAAAGTCGTATGTACGGTTTGCAGATTACGATTCATGTACTCTTCGTCCTAGCGCTGGCCCTTGGCCAATCATAGCCTGTAGCCGCCACCTGGGGCTTCCGTTTTCTGCGCTCTGTGTGTTTTGCGGTCCCAATAATCTAACAGCCCTCAGTAATACATATATGTAGTCTGGCAGACTCTAAGCCATTTTGGGTTAGCCAAACGGACCCCAGACTGGTTCTACCTACAACACACCTAAATTGACCACCTACCAAAGGAATCAACCCTCAAATAAAGCTGAAATGGGCACCTAGTTATTAGAGGTCTTACGTTGTAGTACCTAGATATTTGGTTACAGGTAGTTGTTGACCCTGTCATATGTTTCATGTCAGGAAGACCTAAAAGGGTTTAGAGAGTCTATCAGACCATTTATTACGCAGCACCATCAGAATATTGGGACCGAAACGCGTTTACGGGTTGACAGCAGTTTGCAGTTTACTGCGTCTGGCTGTCTTCCCATTTCCGATTCTGGTTCTGTGGGCTGCATTCACGTTCTGGCTCGAAGTCTCACTCAAGCATCGCCATTCCCAGGGTTGGGCATGGCTTCAACCATCATCTTGTCTCTACCATTGAGGATGACTATAAAATGGCCGCGTCGTCCAGCGATTTTGTATTTCCTCTGGCCAGATCCTTCTCATCGTCAAGGCCGCCTCACAGTACGCAAAGCATACACATTTCTCCAGTCGAGAACCCTTGGCCCATCTAGCAACAAGTGCTTACCTCCAACTACTTGTCTTCCTTCCTTCCTTGTCCTCGACGCGACCGCCTCGTCCCTCAGCAAGTGAAGCTCGACGGTCATTTAAGAAATGAACAGCGTTTTCTACCTCCAGACATCCCAAGATGGGCAGCTTGCTTTCCCCCTCGCTACCTCGCAGCGAGAGGGATTCATTGCTCAAGCGCACGCCTCCTTCTCCCACGCGGAATATCCACATACCATGGCGTGGAACTTGCAAGTTCACGCCAACTTGACAAGCAACCTTGGCCAGCTGTCGGTAGTTTGGGACTTCCAGCAGGCGCTCCATGCCCCAGCGGCTCCCCCTCATCTACAACCTGCCTCCCAACTCTTAACCACCCGCCAACCAGGACACCTGTCCAATCGATACCAAGGATATCCCCAGCGCTTCTCGTGCTCGACCTCCAGGGCCAGGAAGATGTCGCTCCGGGGATTGAGGCGCGATCGCCACAGCAGACGCACTAGCATCCACCGCCGCCTGATCCGAGCCGCCCTTTGAGGCTTTGACGTCTACCCGCATCAACAATCTAAGGCGTTAACCAGCGTCGGCGGTGCGGTAACCTACGACATACACGACCAGCTGCATGGCTGGCCTGGCTGGGAGAAGAGGTTGGAAATTATGGTTTCCAGAGTTGAGATTCAGGTTGATTACTTACCAGGGATTTCAGGGGGTCGAGAAACGGAAACGGGGGTTGCTTTTGCCTGGTTTTTTTGGGGGGATTTTTCTTTGATGAGTTAGCCTTCTCTAGGGCCAGGTAGCTATTTCCACGGCGAAGTCCAATGCCATGACCGTATTTTGAATCTGCCAAACTTCCATGATAAGCTACCTACTGTCCTCTTCGCACAACCGAGACACTAAGAAGGTTCATTGTCCTGCCGACCAGCGATATACTCGATAAACTGGCCAACCCTGGAAAGGTGGACGCGCCAGTTATTCATCCGCGGCCCCCTCCGCACCTCGAACGGTGCCGCCTCCAGTGCCTCGCCCTCGAGGTAGGACCCGGGAGGCAGGGCCAGGCGGTCGCCGGCGACCAGCTCAGGCAGCAGCAGGACGAAGTCGTCTGCGCGCGCGCGCCCCAGGGCGGCGAAGAGGCGTGTCTCGACGACGCGGCTGTGCCAGGGGCGCAGGTCCCTGGAGTCGAACCAGACGTGCAGGCGGCGCAGGCGGGTCTGCGAGGCCAGGGCCTGGCACAGGTGCAGCCAGGGGTTGTTGTCGACGGTCACGGGCGGGCCGTTGGCGAGCTGCGAGGGGGGGCCCTGCGGGGAGGGGAAGTAGAGCTCCGTCAGGAAGTTGGTGGCTGCTAGGCATATCTCGACGGAGCGGACGGCGTGGGGCGACCAGAGGCGGAGGAAGGTCCGGGCTACGACCTGGTCGATGAAGACGAAGGTGATGCTGTCAAAGATGGATTCTATGCATTCCAAGTACCTAAGGGGTGGTGTTAATAAACTCTGGTGAACCAAGTACGCGAGTGTATGAGGCGCTCGAGATACTCACATCCGTTTGCAGGTCAGCAAGGCGGGCAGGAAGGAAGACCATGGCACCTGCGGCGGATTGGTTTGGAACGGTTGGACAAGGCTGGGGTTTTCGAGCTCCTCGCAGGCCCAGTGAATGTTCCAGTCGGTATTCAGCCTACGTCCCCGGACACCCATGTCCTGGCCGACTCCGGACGTCTCCAGGAACTCCTCGTACCTCGTGTCCCGCGCCTCCTGGTCCGTGATGCAGGGCGAATGGTAGAGCTCACCCGAGGGCTCGCGGGCGAGCACGTGCTGCCTGAGCCCGGACAGGCGCCAGAACTCGACGTAGACCATCTTCCGGATCTCGGGCGGCAGGGCGGAGAAGAGGAGGCACGCGCCCTGGGCGTCGGCCGAGGCGGCAAATGCGGCCCCGTCCGGGGATGATGGCGCCATGGCGTGAGCTGGTCCTGTCTCCGTCATCTGCAGGAGGGTTGTCCTCGGGCAGACGATGAAAATGCTTGAAGGGGGAAGCCGTTGGTTCTTTACATTGGCATGTTTTTATGTTTTGTTGTTTCCCACCACGACGGGGGGAGGTAGAAACGGCGCAGGTGAGGCGCTGAGCAGCGGGGTTTGTTGTCTGCATTAACCATGGTTGGTACTTGCAGCTGCTAGGGCTGCAGCTTTTATTCCTGGTGCCTGAATCTGAGGCCTCTCACATCTCGTTCCGCCTTGTGATTGACTGCTGCCTCAAAACATGCGTCAAGTCGTCAACCAACCACACGATTCCCACCATGCAATTCGCCGAATTTCGGTGCACCTCCGCATATGCGTAGGTCCATACATACATACTGTTGAAATGCAATTGACTTTGTGCGTGTGTTGTGACAACCCATCCATGCCATCCTAGAGAAACAGCGAATGCCCACTCTCCAACCGGTCAATCTCCTTCTTCAGGCAGTCCACCCGGAAATTCCTATACGCATTCTCGACCCGCTCCCGCCGGTCCGGATCCAACGTCACCATCTGGGTAGCCGTCCACGTCCCCGTGAGGAAACCAAACTCCCCACCCAGGAACAGCCCCCCGAGCCCGAAGAAAAAGTACGACGCGTAGTCGCCCACCCTCGTCAGCTGCGCCATCGACGACGTGACATCCGGAATCGCCTCTGTCCGCGTTTTCAAGGTCAGTTCCGCCCTCTGTCTCTCCACCTCGCAACCCCAGGGACCAAAAAAACTCACCAGTCCTCCCATCCCCAAACACCACCCTGACAGGCCTCTCGGCCCTCGCACCCATGCCCCCAACCCTCCCCGCCAGCGCCGCCGCGCCGGCGATCCTCCGCAGGCGCACGGCGGACCACACGCCGAGGGCCAGCCCCGCCAAGGACCCGGCCGTTGCGGAGCGCGACACGCGCCGCGACGCCCGCTGCAGCGCGTCGCGGTCGTCGGCGGTCAGGTCCGAGCGCAAGTGCGCCGCCGCCAGGCGGGCCAGCTCGTCGTGGCGCGGCGAGGGGCGGAAGGCTGCTAGGCCGTGCATGGTCTTTGCTGTGCTTTTGGAGAGGTGGGTTTTTGTGGTGAGAAGAGTTTTTTCTTCTTTTCTGCCGGTCTGGGATGCTCGGTGGCTCGGTGTTGTTTTGAGGGTTTTTGCCTTGAGGGACAGGCGATATATTGGATTGACTGCGTTATCATGAGATGGTGGTTAATCGTTGTGTCTCTACTTACGCGCTAGGTTGCTGATGATATCACCATGATGGATCACTAGAGCGTCTCTGGCGTGACCCACTGCTCACCATCATCATGGAGCATTGAGCATTGACCACCTATCATCAACTTCAAGATCCATGGCGGAGACCATAATTTGGGTCCAGAGCTCTGGCCAACAATCACGAGAAAAGTGCGGGCCAATGCGTGTGAACGAGTGTGGTATTCAGCTCAGCTCTTCTATCGACTTTCCCCATCCCGTCCCTCCCTCTCCTTCCGGCGCGTCCGCGTGCCAGCCTCCCCTCCATTCCATGATCCAGCGGCCAACAAGGTCACGATAAGTAAACCCCGTACCCATAATTCTTTCTTTCCCAACCTCCCCAGCCATCCAGCATTCCTTCCAGCCTTCAGACGTAACAATCCAAGCTGAAATCTCCAAACGGTTCCTGCCTCCCGCCGAACCCAAGTCAAGCAGCGGTCTACCCCTGCGCGAGCGCCGGGGCAAGAATAAATATGACACATTAACAAGAAAGTAAAACTGGCCGCAGCAGACACGCGTGATTAACGGGCGTGTCCGCTCAGCCGCCGATCTCGGTATGACCTAGCCTCTAGTGTAAGAACTGCACGGCTGATCACTATGAGATATATGAAGAAATAAAAGCCAGATAGACGGAGCGAACGAATTTTGTACAGGCACAAGCCAAAGGCGACTCCGCGAAAGGGCTCGCCGAGGCCGCCCCGGGTTCTGCACCACCAAAAGGTAGTATCTCAACGGACATCATTCGCAAGAAATTATACAGATTTTCCCCGTCGTCCGATGTGTTGCCGTATGGAATGCCCGACGCGGATCACGGGTATCGCGTCCAGAGCAGGGCACATGTTGCACCGGTGTGTCCAAAAAAAAGGTCGTCTAAGTAGGTCGGTAGCGAGTGACAAGAAGGGAAAGGGGTTTTCGTTCGATCCGGGTTGGTGTGGTTTGTTCATCAGGAAGTTCGTTCACGACCGGTTTTTGTGTCGCTGTTCCACCTCAAATAACGTAGATGCCTTGATCCAAAGGGTCTAATAGGGCCGCTCCGTCTCATGGCAGCATCGTGGCTCAACCACATTCCTTTTGTGCTCGGCTTCGCACAAACATCTAGTAAGCTTGCCCTGGTACGGGCTTCCGTCCGACTGGTCCAGTTGGTGGACCTGGCCGGTATTCCTGGTTCATTGGGCTTGGCCCAGGTGGACTCACACGTCGACCCGCCCCGCTCGGGCTCTGGGGTCGACCTTGTTGCTGTCGAGGGCCGGGAGATTGTGACCGTGGTCCGGGGCTCATGGACCTTGGGCCGGGGCTCATTGCTCGGCCACCGGCGGGTGAAGAGGGGCGCCCACCGTGTGGGCTCATGGCACGCTCAGCCGGAGACTGGGGACGGCCTCCTTGTGCCATCATCGGCCCCGATGGCGACGCTGATCGCGCGTATGGCGGACCACCGTGGGGACCGCCGTGGGGACCGCCCTGTCCGGTCATAGCCCTGTTTGCTGGAGGGTAGCCCGGTCCCCTGTTGGGGTTCACTGGCGGGCCAAAACGAGGTGCTCCCTGGGGTGGTCTTGGCTTTACAGGGCGAGTTGACAGGCAAGTCCTGGGGACAACACCCTGTTGAGACCTGTCGAGACGGATGCAAAGGGCCTATGAACGGTTAGTAATCTATTATTCTTGGCTGCATATCAACGGTTGAGACTCACCCATCCGTCATCATATTCGTGCAAGAGGCGAACAAGCTGGCCTGCAACCAGACCCATCTCGTCTTCCATGGTCGGGTTAAAGTCCAGTTGAACACGGTGAACAGTAGAGTGGGCTGGGCCTCCGGCAGCAGCAATCGCTGCGGCACTGGTGGAAGCAGCGGGAGGTTGGCCGGGCGAGACAGAGTGCATGCTGTATTCCGTCCCCGCTGGACTGGGAGGGACAGCTGAGAGATGCGGGGGAGGCATGGGCATGGTGAGATCGAGAGGCCTGGGCGCATTGTCCTTTCGCATGGACGTCTTTCGTGTCAAACCAGCAACTGCCGCTGCAGCGGCGGCGGCCCCGGCGACGGCGACGGTGCTAGAAGCGGTTCCGTTATGAGGCCCCCCAACCTCACTACCGGCAGGGCTGGTCGGGTTGCTATACTGACCTTCCTCGGAGATGGGAGAGTACAGTCGCTGTGCACCGCTGCCGAAGGGATTGGCGCTGTTTGTGCTCTGACTGGTGGTTGGGCGGTCCCACGGACCTCCTCCCATGCCTCTGCTGGTCTGCTGGGTCGGACTCTCGACCATCGCAATGGCATTGCCGCGGTTGGCGTGTTGATTCGCGGGCCCTCCGAGATTTGGTAGGAATTGTGTGACGGGACGCAAGCTCAGGCGAGGGGCCTTGGCGGGCGTCGGCGGTGGCACAGCTCTGCTGTCAGAGAAGGGCCCATTGATCTTCTCATCGTCCTCCATCCTCTGCTTCTCCATCTGCTTCCTCCGCTTGCTGAAGGCGAAGTACACGGCTAGGAATACCAGCAAGACGCCGCCTAGGACACCAATAGCAATGCCGGCCTTCGCGGCTCCGCCAATTGCTCCGGTGTTGGCTGCGCTAGATGTTTCCGAGGCTTGAGCACCTGATACGGTAGGTCGCGCGCCAACAGAAGTCGGCGGGGCCCCTCGCTCTCCAGTTGCAAGGGCAAGGGTGGCAGGGATAGTTCCCGTCGTCGTGGGGGCAAGCGACTTAGGAAGGGAGTCTGGGGTCGAGGTCTTCTTGACCGAAGTTGATGAAGATATCTTGTTTGTCGGCTGCGTGGATGTGGTTGTAGGGACAGACTTGGTAGTCTTCTTCACAGCCAATGTTGTCCAAGCAGCAGCTGTACCATCCCAATCATCAGGCGTCATGGTGCGAAATACGGTGCGGAAGACGGTAGAGGGGCCAGCCTTGGCTTGGTTCTGGAAGGGATTGACATCGTCCCAAACGCTCTGGACAGCGCCGGTGAAGTCGTCCCAGGCACCTCGTCTGTGGTGTTGGTGGTTGTGACGGATATGGTGGTGGTGAGGCATCGTGACGAGCGCTCCGTTGCTGTCGACAGCCGGCTGGTTCTGTTACCCACAAAGTTATGAACGGTAGCGTCTAACGCATCCGACGAGATATCCAGCTCAGCGCAAGAAGCGCAACACGACACGGCTTCTGAGCCACCCCGAGATATTTCTGACTCGGTTGGCGACGAATAGGGCTGAACAAGCGTGTTGGTTGGAATGCGTCGTGCCGCGACGTGTCCCAAAGGTCGAAGGGTCGAAGGGTCGAAAGGAATGAATGGCTGGCAGCAACACAGCGCTGCAGAGGGAACGACTCGATCGATCGGGTGTCTTGAAAGGAAGGAAGCCAGTTGGAATTTTAAAAGAATGGAAGGGCGAGTCGAAGGTCTCACGAACTCAGCACCAGAGGGGAGTCTTCCAGAAAAGGGAGAGTGTGGAGGATTTGGGGGGAAGGGAGGGGGGGGGAGGAGGCAGAGTAAAGGGATATTTCCTCGATCCAAAAGGGTCCATGGTAGCCGGGCCGTCGAGCAACCCAGCCATGTACAGGTACCTAGGTTCCTTCTCTTTACTCTCAGTCATTGCAGTTAAGGTACATACTAATTACCCAAAAACCCTTAACCTGGTCAGCTCTTGACCAACCCGCCCAGCGTTGGCTTCAGCAATTTACGACTAATCCAACGGTTATCCATATGTGGTCAGTTTCCTGCTTCTCTGCCTTGATGATCTGTCAATCGCTGCGCATACTTCGCAGCTGATTGACCACCAGAGAAACATTCCAGTGGGACAGACGGGATTGGAAGGGAGCGCTGTTTGTTGGTAGAGAGACTACCACAGTCTCTCTACGTAGTACACACGAGCAGAGAGAGGCAACCTCCTTCCTCTCCCTTCCTTCTCCGCCTTTTCGCTCGTTCCTTGCAGATCATGGTTCTGTTTTTGGCGCAGGGGCCCACCCTTAGTGCCCTTTCTAGGAACGAACGTGCGCTGATTGGCGACTAAGAAGATCGTCCCTGAGCCGAAATTGGGAACCAGGGTTCGTCAAATTGAGGCCTGACAAGGGGGTTTCCAAGGAGATGTTCTCTGATTGGATAGCCTGGCTTGTTTCAAGTACCTATCAATTTTGGACCCAGCGAAGCCACTGTGATGGGTTGGATCCCGTCAACTCGGAGGGTCTTTCGGCCAGCCAACAGGATTCTTCCGACTGGCAAAATCTCATCCCAGCAAGGCCCTCTTACGCTGTCACAGATAGACTGTGGTTGCAACGATTGCTTGCCGTACTGCGTAAGAAGGGCACACTGATCGACCGTCGCTTCAGGGAGCACGCCCGGAGACAGAGCGGTTCGATCCGCAGCTTCCATCATTACATACGGATTACGTACTGCGTAAATGACAATACTATACATCCGTATCTTAATGATGATCCGATAATTACCGGGATGTGTCCAGCAGTCGATTTGTTTGCACGTCCATCAATTTTATGCATAGGGCACGGGCGTCCGAGCCCCTGGCCCGTGTGGGACGAAAGGGCTGTGCATCCTGTCGAATGTCGATCCCCCAGGGAAAACCAACGGGAGGGGCATGAGATGCCGAAGGACGGGAGTTTGCCATCGTGATGTGAACCCCTGCCAAACTGCCTAGGTATCGTGAGACTGCTATGAGCAGTATGTCTTTTTTTCTATCATGGACCTGGAATAAGCCAGCTCTACCACGTGACACTGTTTTCCTACATCTAAGGCACATCCGCCTGTAACCTGTAGCCAACGCCGTTACAAGCATAACTTCTGCATTCTCCAATACTCTGTAGCTGCCCTTGCTCAGTCATAAGACTTTCATCTGCCTCTCACTTGGGACCCTGCCCATAGCCGCTATGGTGCTGTCCCCAGTACTGCTGGTGTTGCCCAGGTTGCGGCTGCGGCTGCTGGCCCTGCAATGGACCGAAAAAAGCCGGGTTAACGTAGGTTCCGCTGGGCGGAGGGGGGGCTGGTACAGGCGCTCCAACCCCTGGCCATGCTGGCGGCGGCACTGGGTAGCCGGCTGTCGGGGGCTGCGGGTTTGCGGGTTGGTGGTGGTGAGGCTGATGAGGATATTGGTAAGCCTGGCTCGGGTTCTGATTCCAGGCTTGGTAGTTAAAGTTGAAGGCTGTGGAGGAAGGGGGCGGTGGCTGTGGTGCACTCTGTCCGTGCGAGTAAGGCATGGGGGGAGGAGGCGGCGCATATGATGCCGGTGCAGGAGGCCACGGATTTGAGGGGACGGCTTGCGGTGGAGGCACGTTTGCTCCATATGGAGGAGGGGGTAGGTGTGGGTTTTGCGGTTGCTGGGTCATCGGAGGGACCCCGTATGAGGTTGGGCGTGGTGAGTCTGCGGCTCCGTCATAGCCAAAGGGGGCATGGCCGCCTGCTCCTCCACCTCCCCGCCCATGTCGACGGTCTCCTCTGCCACCACGGCCTCGGCCCCGGAACTCGCGTCCTCTAAAGGAACCGCGGTGCCCGTGTCCGCCACGGGGTTGGCTGAATCCGGTTTCCGGCTTGGGTGGTAGGGAAGGAAGTCCCTGAGCATAACTCGAGGGCCGCGCTAGTGGTTTGTAAGGACCATCCTCTTCCTCGTCATAGTTGAGGTTCCCATTGGCACCGTTCGGTGGTGGAGGCAGAGTCGAATTGCTCAAAGGGTGCGGTTGGCTGTGCTGGTCAGCACGGTCGCGTCCGCCCCGGCCAGCCTTTCCGCCACGTCTCTTTGCCTTCAGCTGTTTCTTGTACTCGGCCTCCTTCTCATCGTCGGAGAACTCCATCTCATCTGGAGCAACCTCCTCGTCGTGTAGATTGCTCGCGTCCGAGCCCTTTATCTCCTTCAAGACCTGCGTGAACACATACTGAGCATGTTCGACCGAGTAGAACACCTCAGTACCAACTGACAATCCGAGCCCCTTGATTTCGTCTTCCGTCGAGAATCCAACAGTGTATAACGGGCTTCGGACATTCCCTAATGTCTCGGCTAATGCGCCGATAACCGTCCGATCTGCGAGACACAACACAGAGCCGATATTTAGGGCTTGGACCTCTCCCGGATTCCTCGACTTGATGACAACTGTTCTCTCCACAACAAATTCAACCAGGCCGAGCGGTTCAATCTTCATCTCGGGGGTGATGACGACGTCGGGCTTCGGGATAACTTCTTCGGGCACCTCATTCTTAGTGCGGATCTGCCCTGCTCCAGCTCCCCTGCCTCCTTTTCCACCACCGTCACCGTCGCCGTCGCCGTCGGCCTCGGCCATAAGCAGCCTCGCTGTTTCCTCGATGCCGAGAGGTTGGTAGCCACCTTCATCTTCCGAGTCATCGTCGGACGAGCTGTCGGAGCTATCGGACGATGACGAAGACTCGTACGGCGACGAGTCAGCTTCCCATTCTGGTTGCCCGTCACCATCACCGTTCTGCGGCTGGACAACCTGCCCTTGAGCGGCTTCGCTGCTTTGCGCGGCGGTTTGCGCGGTGGCGGCTGACAGCAGGCCATCAAGGGCGGCTTCCAACGCGTGCGCAACGTGTTGGCTGGAGGATGCATGATCCTCGGCTTCTGTCCTTGCCTCCTCATCACCCTCTTTTGGAACAACCTGGGGCCCTTCCCCTGCATTGGTCCTGCTTTGAGCCACCGCGGGTGTGATATTGCTCCCTGCTTGCTGCTCCGGCCGTGTCGTTGACTCTTCGGGTCTATCGATTTCCATAGCGTCCTTCCCCTGTTCCTCCGAACGAATCCCTACCGCATGTTCGGGTTGTGCACTATCCGCTGCTCCCACTGCTGCTGCTGCCTTGTGCTCTTCCACTTTGCTCCTCATCTCGCGGGCCCACTGCGTCCCGCTAGTACCCTCTACCACTTCCACCCCATCAACCCCACATATACTTGCAGCTGCGGCGAGCAGATCGGGTGCAAAACTCTCGGCGGGGAGGTGCTCGTTCGGTGTCGCATGGCCGAGGCCAGGAATCTGGAAGGGCGGCTCTGACATTGATGTCGCTTGATGGCTTCGAGGATTACGAGGAAAGAAGTTGGTTTATTGTTGGCTCCGGATATAACTGGTGAAGTATCGGCGTCGTGCAGAATGCCTCTCTGTCGAGTTGCTGGCGCTTCGAGTATGGGAGAGAAGTGAAGATGGGTATCGCGTAGAAGAAAGCTGAAGAAATGGTTGGCGCCACTAGTCCCAATAGACTGAGGCAACCCAGATTATCTAGGAACGGGAATGATAAAAGGAAAAGTACACCGGAATTTGGTATGTTTCCAAGAAAAATATGAAATGCTTGATCCCCTTGGGCAGTTCTCGACGGGCGATAAGAAAGTACGCGTAAAAATTCAACGATTATCGGTACGTACCACCCAGAGAGTGATGTAATAGAGCTGGCACGGGCCAAATGATCTTCGGGAGCGCTTTACTCAATCTGGTTAAGCGTCTGCCTTATCACATGGAGAGCTTGTCTGTTCTTTGAGGATCTCATTCCCAACATTTCCTCTTTAGCCAAGGTTGCTCTTCGATCGCCGAGCAAAGTCCGCGATCATGCCTCCAAACACGGCGCAACGAAGGGAATTTGTGCATCCAGAAGCAGGGCATGCGAAAAAGAAGTATGGCTTTGCCCCATGCAGCGAACTCGACCAATCCGAATGCCGTGACTCCAGAGCTAACAAAGTGGTTCATAGAGCGAAGAGCCCTTATGGGATCGAGCCCATCTCAGTGTTTTACATCTTCCTTGCGGCCAATGCTTTTGCAGCACTATTTGCCCCAATCCAAGATTGCGATGAGACCTTCAATTACTGGGAACCGACGCATTATCTCAGCCACGGCTACGGATTGCAGACCTGGGAATACTCGCCCGAATTTGCCATAAGAAGCTGGCTCTATGTCGGCCTCCATGCAGTTGTGGCCAACATCCGAAGGCTCCTGCCTCGATCAACGAAGGTACAAAACACCGGACCTTGGGCTCGCAGTTTATAGGCATAGTAGACATGCTGACAGGGGATAGGTTGCCGAATTCTACTTCGTTCGCTACGTCCTAGCCTTCGTCTGCGCCCTCTGCCAGACCCTGATGTGGAGAGTTGTCTGCCTCACACTCAACCCCCGTATCGGAATTTTCTTCATCATGGCTCTTGTGCTCAGCCCTGGAAATTTCCACGCAAGCACGGCATATCTCCCTTCCAGCTTTGCCATGTACACAGTCATGGTGGGAGCGGCAGCATTGATGAACTGGCGAGGAGGACTCAAGACCTCGATGGGCATGTTCTGGTTCGCCGTAGGTGGAGTGCTTGGTTGGCCCTTTGCGGCTGCTCTCTGCGCCCCTTTCCTCGTCGAGGAAGGACTCTTTGCTCTCCTGGGTGACAAGGATCGCTTCCTCGAGGCTTTCATCCGAGTTTCGAGGGGTGTTGTTGCGGCATTGGTGTTGGTGGTACGTATCCCTCATGGCTCTTCGCGAATACCTGCACAGCTGATGCCCATGGTGCCTCCAGGCTGCCGACACGTGTGTCAATACATTCTTCTACAAGAAGATTGCGGTTGTCCCGTGGAATATTGTCAAGTACAACATCTTCTCATCTACCGGGGGACCCAATCTTTATGGCACTGAACCGTGGACTTTCTACTTCAAGAACCTGGCGTTGAACTTCAACGTATGGTTCGTTCTTGCGCTACTGGCTCTGCCCTTGTTCTTGGCGCAGAAGGTATTCTTCCGATCCGGGCATGGGTTCCAGTCAGGGTTACGGAGCGTGGTCTTCATGGCCCCTTTTTACATGTGGCTCGCCATATTTACGTTGCAGCCACACAAGGAGGAGCGGTTCATGTACCCTGCATATCCATTCCTAGCGCTCAATGCCGCCATGGCTCTGCATATTCTGCTCACGGCCGTGGGGCATTCAGACCCCAAGACACTTATCGGCAAGATTCCCGCGCGGCTCAAGCTTCTTGCCGCCACCTTGACCCTGCTCCTATCAGCCGATGTCGGGCTCTCCCGCATCTGGGGCATCTACTCAGCATACTCGGCGCCTCTGTCTCTCTACGAGCCCCTCGAGACACTCGGCGGGGCCGGCGAGAGCGTCTGCTTCGGCAAGGAGTGGTACCGCTTTCCGAGCTCCTACTTCCTCCCTCACGACATGCGCGCCAAGTTCATCCGCTCCGAGTTCCGCGGCCTCCTGCCGGGCGAATTCTCCGAGGCGCGAACGGGCTTCGGCTTCTGGAGCGGCACCTGGCTGCCGACGACGGGGCTCAACGACCGCAACGAGGAGGACCTGGGCAAGTACGTCGACCTCCGCACGTGCGCGTTCCTCGTCGACACGCAGTACCCGGAGCGGCAGAGGGAGCCCGGCTGGGCGCCGCCGCCCGCCGAGCCGGACTTCGTGGCCGACGTCGACCGCTGGGACGAGGTCGTCTGCCTGCCCTTCCTGGACGCGGCGAATACGCCCTTCCTGGCGCGGGCTTTGTGGGTTCCTGACTGGGACATCGTGCCCGGGGCATTCCGCCGCAAGTGGGGTCGTCACTGTCTGTTGCGGCGCAAGAAGGCATGAGCTACGAATGGTTTCCATCTCAAGGCGTTTTAAGGTTAGAGTGTGAGTGGTACTCGTGCTGTTTGGAGAGAGGTCGCCACATATTTTGGGCTGGGAAGACATAGACTATTGACGTATCAGGAATAAATAAAGTGGACGCCTCTCGGCTGTCGCCGTCACGAACATGGGATAATACACATTGAACTTGCGTGGCATGGCATAAGGGATTGTCCATTAGGTACAGTACATGTCTCATGCGAACCAAGCAGGTCGAAGGCGGAATTTACTATTAATTCCTACAACCCAAAATCACACTGCCTACCCAATTACGAGTTACAGTCTGAGCCTTCGGGCCGTCATTTCAGATCTATTCCAGCGGCACTTCTGTCTTCGTTCGGTCCTCCGAGCAGGCCGTATTAAGTCAACTCCTCAGTCGTTTGCGGTCTTGTCGTTGTAGTAGTGGATCTAGAGAACCGGACCGAGTCAGCACAAGCTCACCTAGCAATTATATCCCCGTCATTGCCCCAACAACACGACACTTCAACAACGCATGACCCAAGCAATTTCGAAAAGAAGAAAGAGGTTCTCACCGTCTGATCCGCACACCCCTCAGGGGTCTGGTAAGCGTAGGCGCCCGTGTTGATGAACAGCTCCTGGTTCTTGCAGACGAGCCAGGCGGCCAAGTTCTGGCGGTTGATCTCGGGGGTGCTCCAGGTGAGGGCGTCGCCCTGGAAGACAAAGGTGCCGAACTCGTTCTTGGTCGTGTTGAACCACGTCGCCAGCGTCCGCTGCGTCAGGTCCGCCGGCTTCTCGACGTTGAGGTACAGCGGCGACCCGCCCTCGCCCGTCCACTCCACCAGCTGCCCGCCCGCCACGCTGAACTGCCCGGCCGTCTTGCTCGACCCCAGCACCGCCACGCCCACCTCGTTGGCGGGGCTCGTCTGCAGGTACTTGTGGAAGTTGGGCGACGCCACAGCCCGGATCCAGTACTGCCCGTCCTGCAGCGTCGTCGGCGTCGCCGCGTGCGCGCCGGCGGGCGTGCCGGTGATGACGGCGTCGCGGCGGGGGAGAACGCCTGGGTAGCGCGTCGAGGGGGAGTCGGAGACGTACGTGTAGGTCACGCCCGAGATGACGACGTAGCTACTCGGGTCCGGGGTCGGCTCGGGGGTCAGGTAGGTGATGTAGGTCGTCACGACTGTGGGCCTCGAGCCCCCCGTCACGGTAATGGTCGTCTGGAACGTGCTGGTCTGGATGGGCACGTCCTCCGCGTAGGGGAGCGGGTCGTCTTCTGTGCCGGGGAGGCATTGGGAGTACCAGGGGCTGCGAGGTGGGTTGGTGTGAGTCTTCTCCACTGGTTCTTGCCAGGAGGGGTGGGTCAAATACGTACTTGCCAAAGGAGCAATAGGAGTCCTGCGGGCAGATTGTTGGTCCTGCGAAGGCTGAGCCGGCACCTATGATGGGTGGGTTGGGTGGTCAGCATAGGTAAAAAGTGCATGCAGGTACCGTGCATTGCGACCTTGTGGACGGATCAGGGGTCTTCATTCTTGCTTGGACATACATTGGCCCCATTGGGTTTGCACCTGATCCTGGGCTATGACCACTCCAGCCAAGAGAAAGGCCGGGATAACTGCTCTCAAAGCCATGGAAAACATGAGATGGGGCCGTACCCGGTAAGTCTGCGCGATGGTATCAAAAACCAGGGGTCCGGTCTTTTGGTCAGGGGTTAAAGGGCGAGGTGCGAGGAAGAACGGCGAGGTCCCCAAAGGTTATATATATCTACTCTCGAGGGGACCTACTTAACCGATGATTCTCGACAACGGGCAAACGCAACCCGGATTTATTGGGATTTATTTATCAACAACACCGGACTCCGGGTCTACATTAGCTTCCACCTGAACCCTGCAGAGCTGCGAGCGTGCTGGAAGCGGGACGGAATTGGGCTAGGGAGAGGTATAAACAATGGCTATATTGCCATATCCCCGTCGTCTGGAAGCGGGTTTCTATTTTGGTATTGCAGCTCTGGGCCGTTGTCTCGACGGTGCATGGGCAGGGGCATTGGATACTGGTTGATCATGACCTGACCACCCCCTGTCCGGTTGGGCGGTGGGGCGTTCCCGAGGGCTAGGCGGTGCAGACAATAAAGATTGAGTATGGTCTAGATTCCGCCGCCGATTCGAGGTCTAGATCTCCTCATCGCCGGCCGGTGCCTAATTGTCGGCCTTGGTGCTGGGCTAATGGAACGCAGGATCCGATAACTGGATTATAGGCTGATGTCCACGCCCTCTTGGGCCGGACCCCTGGCTGGGTAATAAAGAAAAGAAGAATAAACTCCTAATATATTAGATGGCTGTTGATCTTCTGGGTCACTTAAGGTTGTCATGCAATTTGCCAGAAATAGCGTCCGGCACGATCTGCTGCAGGGGAAATCCGACACCAGTAGGCGAGCATGATGGGATGAACCACGAATGATAAGAACAAGCACAGAAATTTGGTAGATCGTTGGAAAACGGGTTGGGATCCTTGCCGAATAGAAGAGTGACGCAGTGTTTCAGCTCATAGTAAGTCTGCAGCTTTGCTGGCTACTTGGACTGATTATCTAAAATATGGAGTTGCTTTATTAGAACTTGGACTTTGCAAGCATGAGCGACAGTTAGAGGCACAAATAGCCAGTCTAAAACCAGATGTCTACGCCTCTATGCTATCGCCCAAGAACTTGGAACAAGATTCAAATATGACACATTAGTCCAGATTTCAAAGACTTCGTTCATGCCTTTCTGACTACTGCATTCGGGCATCCAAAACCTGTGCGATGCATTGATGGATAACGCCGTGACTCTGTTATAAATATGCTTCTCCAGTGATGCGTATCCCTAACATTAGAAGCACTCCAATCCGAACAGAAGTTGCCTCTGCGCCCAATGTTGAATCCCTCGATGGATCTTGCCTCACAGCTAAACACTCCTCCAACGAGGAAATTAGATTGCGAGTCCTAAACGACCCAGCGCTATGGAACCGGTAGCAACTATAATATAACACGCAAGGTACAAAACGCTAACGACGAGAACGGATTCAGAACACCAGCTCAGTCATCCACAACCAGCAGCACGCCACGGGCACAATGGCAAGCAGCACCCACCACATCTCGACGGTGAGCCGGGTCCGCAGCCAGCGCTTCACCCTCGCGCTGAGCTTGCGGCGGTGCGTGCACGTGCTGGTTCCGTAGACGAGACACCCGAGACCGGGCCGGGACTCGCACTCGACATGCTCCCTCCGCCGCTGCATGAGAAGCCTATCAAAAGGAAGAGGGTTTCCAAGTCAGCGTCATGTAATATGCGAGAGATCGTTATTACTCCAACGCAAAGGAAATAAAAAAACTGGGCTGCTGCGCACCTCACGCTGCCCCGGCAGAACCGCAGGTCGCTGCCTAGGTCGCATCGCCGGTTGTTGGGACACTCAAGGTGGAGGCGGCGGCGCTCGACGAGCCAGTCGATCTTGAGTTTGACGCCCGTGTCGACCAGGTAGAAGAAGTAGCCGCTCGTGTGCTTGAGGGAGAGGGCGTCTGGGTAGATGAGCTGCTTGCTTATGAGGAGGTGGATCTCCGGGGGCAGGTCGAAGAGTGTCCGTGTCTGTGTGCTTGCTGGCGTGGCGTCCTTGGGAGTGGGCCCGGTGCTCTCTGCTGGAATTGAGTCTTGGTGTTGGAGGAGGATGGATGCCATAACTGCTAGGGTTGAATGAGATGATGCAATTGAGGGGGTGTTCCTGAATGGGATATGTACATATATATATATATATATATTTAAGTAAACTGATGAGGTAGGAAGATAGAAGATCCTCTGCAACACTCTCGAGTGGACATGGCTGCGGTATTTGAATGTGGGTGTTTTTGCTGCTGCCTTCAGAAGAGGACAGACATTGGCGATGGTGGCGCTGGAGATCCTGGCATCTCCCCCCCAAGGCAACAACGTTTCTCTCTGCACAATACGAGCCAGCTGTGGAAGCGCAGTGACTTCAGCTCGATTTGGGAGACTATTGAGTCCACCTTTCCGCTAATCGACGCCCAGTCGACAGAAATAGTAACTACATGCGTCCCTCCTGGCCTATTACCACTTCATACCGTTGGTTGACGGGTTGACAGGATTAATGGTGAAACACAGGAGATCTCACGTGTCGTTCTCCGCTTTTCGTCACAGAGGGAGCACGTGACACGCGCATTGCCACGCGATTGACGCAGTCGCGTCTGGCGGGGTTGTTGCGACTCGTGCGGTCGCCTCCATGATTAGGTACCTAGCCTGCACCAAAGTTGTGACGCATAGGCCGCCAGGCGCAATAGGGTATCGACATCTCCTCCCGGAAATGCATACTCAACACGACCTGGCATGGCGACTCTAGCGCCAGATAGCGATAGCGACAGCGACTACGGGTTCGATCTGACCCCCGAGCAGGAAGAACTGTTCGCGAACCTCGTCGCGGGCGCATCATCACAAGCCCCCCAACTTGCCTCCGGAATCGCCACGCCTTCGCGGACCTCTAATGCTGGTTCTTCGCTGAAAGCAGATATCAACGCGGCTTTTGCTGCCCACGCGAGCGTCAAGTCGCTATCCTATGACGAGCTCGACTATGATACTGCCGAGCATGTCCGTGGGTTTACATACAATAATCCGGCCGGGCTTGCGCCGCTGGCAAAAGGGAAGGGGAGACTATCGCCATCTGCTGCCAATAACCGCACCCCAATTGCCCCGTTGGTCGACAAGTCGAAACCTCGATCGATACCAACCCACTTCGAGGATGATGACATCAGCTACCCGGACTGTGAGTCCCTCTATCTACCCCCCATTGAACATCCCAGCACGGCTCTGACTGACTTGGAAGCGCTTAGTGAGCAGCGCATTGGCAGAGGTGCTGGACACATCTGCCACTGACTTAAAGCCCGAATCCGAACGGCAGCCTACTCTTGATGGCGAAACCAGGTCACCCTTGGCTCGATTTCGAAGCTTCCCCAAGAAGCCTTTCTCCGTATCCGACCTGACGGCAGGGGCATGGTGCGAGATGCAGTATTACTATACTCTGACGAAGTTGCCAGGGGGAAAGAAGACAAGGACGGCTGCTATGAAAGGGGGCACCAAGCTCCACAAGCAACTGGAAGAGCAGGTATACACAACGGTAAAGATCGACATTGCAAAGAAGGAAGATGCTTTCGCCTTGAAGCTATGGAACGTCATCCAGGGTCTCCGGACCCTCCGAGACACTGGCATGACGCGAGAAATGGAGACCTGGGGCCTGGTAGACGGAGAAGTCGTGAACGGCGTCATCGACGGGCTGAGCTACGAGAACCCGGACCCGGATTTCGAAGAGGAGGTTCGCAGCAGTCAGGGGAACCAGAACTCGCAGCCGGCCAAGGAGCAACCGAAGATCACGGGCTTCTTCGGGTCCACGAAGGAGAAGGAGAAGGAGAAGGTGGACGACAGGCAGATATTCCTCTTCGACGTGAAGACGCGCGCCTCGAACACCCTCCCCTCGGGCGCCGTCGTCCGGCCGACCAAGATCCAGCTCTTCCTCTACCACCGCTTCCTCGCCAACATGGCCTCGGGCAAGCTCAACTTCCTCCGCATCTTCGCCCGCTACGGCCTGGGCCCGGACGAGCCCCTCTCCGACTCCTTCATGGCCCAGATCGGCGCCCTGCACGACGAGATCTTCGACGACGACGACGACGACGCCCCATCCGACTACGTCTCCGCGCCGTCGACACCACCGCCGGGAAACCCGGGCCCCACAGCCGGCCCGACATCCTCTCAGCGGCTACCGCCGCCGCCGCCCCCCGACCTCATCCACTACCGCACCCTGCGGGAGCTGCTCCCGCTCCTGCAATCCGAGCTACGGCTCACCTTCCCCCGCGGCGCCGCCTCCCTCGGCGCCCTAGTGACGGTCGAGTACCGCCGACGAGCGACGCCTGCCGAAGAGGAGGACTCCGGGGGCGGGGGTGGGGGTGAGGTGATCGGCGAGAACGTCTTCTACGTCGACGACGAGGTCCTCGACCGCTACCTGGCCGAGGACATGCAGTGGTGGCGGGCCGCCCGGGAGCCGCGGGGCGTGGTCATCGAGGAGGCGTACAAGTGCCGCGGCTGCGAGTTCGCCGGGGAGTGCGGCTGGCGCGTGGGGCAGGAGGCCGAGCTGCTGAGGCGGTCGAAGGCGAGGCGAGGGGGGAGGAAGGTGTAGGGCGGATTGGAGGGGGGGTGGCTGTGGGAAACGGAGAGTTGTGTGGGGAGGAGGGGCGTAAGGAAGAGATGAGTACTTTAGCGAGCTCTGCGAAAGATGGAGCACTCACCAGGAGAGAGAGTATTTTGAGAATATCTGGAGTAAATCGGTATATCCCCAATCGAATCAGGTTGCAATAGATCACGGTTACTACGGCTATTGGCTATTTAATGAGTTAGACAACTAGGGTCCATGTTCACCACCCTCTCAGATTTCACTCGCCTTCCATCCGACGAGTAACCCCGAACCTGGAGGTGAGGTGTCTGTCAAGGGTTGGTAAATAGACAGACAGCTGATTCAATACCGGGAGTTGGTGTACTCGATTCGGACGCGATGTTACAGCCGCACCTACGACAGCCACGTCTAGGAGGTGTCAAGTCGGCTGCTTATTATTCTTAGAGCATGCATTGTATCGAAAATTGGTTACAGTCTTTGCTAGAGTGTATACGAGACAAGATCCAGGTAGCCCTTCGTAGTTTCTCTCTCAGGCAAACGGATAGGAAACAAGGCAAACCGACGCAACGCCGCCAAATCCGGGAGAAAAAGAAAAAGAAAAAAGGAGCCCCCAAAACTCCCACTTCGAAAGAAGAACAGCTCTATGCCTTCCCCGTGCCCCATCACAGCCCAAACCCACCCCCAAGCCCACCAAACTGGCCCCTATACTTCCTCGCGCCCCTAGGCCCGACCAGCCTCTTGGACGAGAAGGTTCCGTTAAACCCGGCGTACGTGCCGAGGCTGGGCGGCAGGTCCTCGACCCTGGTGCCCCAGTCGCTCTCGTTCCTGCCCAGCGTCAGGACGAGCTCCCCGCCCTCGGTGAAGAAGCTGTGGGGCAGCCAGTTGCGGCGGTAGTCGGCGCCGTCGAGGGTGGCGCTCTGCACGTAGATGGCCTCGTAGGTCGAGTCGAAGTTGACGGTGCGGACGCGGGCGGTCCGGCCAGTCGTCGGGTGGGTGATGTTGATGGCTGGGAAGTAAGGCGCCGTAATGAGGTAGACGTCCTGGCCCGGGTTCGGGAATAGGCCCATCATGGCGAAGGCGAGGAAGGAGCCCATGGCACCGCTGTCGTCGTTGCCTGGCAGGCCCGCCGGCGTGGGGGAGAAGAAGGCAGGGATGTAGGTGTGCGACCGCCGCGCCGACAGGCCCGGCCGCCCAGCATAGTGGTACTGGAAGACGGTCAGGAAGGCCGGCTCGTTGCCGATGTAGGTGATGTTGTGGTCGTGGAGGTAGTCGAGCCGGCGGACAAACTCGGCCGGCCCGCCATACAGGGTCATGAGCGTTGCTTGGTCGTGGGGGACGAAACTGGGGGGCGTGGTTAGCTGATCAGATTGCTTTTCTCTCGATCACGCTCCAAGCGGGTGCGAACTTACAAGCCATACTCCCAAATACTACTCTCGAAGGTCTCCGGGCCCGTGTTCTGCAGCGAGCAAACGCTGAAGTCGTCTGTATTGCTGCAGTTCAGAGGGTCCTGATAGCCCCATGTCCTGTTCAAGAAACGCGGCTGGAAGAAACCGCGGAATCCCGTGTCGGTGCCGTCCCAGAAAGCCGAGGGCTGGTCCGGCTTGTACAGGTTCTGCCAGTTGCCGCTCGACTCGACGTACTTGTCGACGTCGCCCGTCTTCCCCAGTCCCGCCGCCATCTGAGAGATGCAGAAGTCGTTGTAGCTGTACTCGAGCGTGCGCGAGATGCTCCTCGTCATCGTCCCGAAGCCCTTGTAGTCAAAATCTTGTACGGGGATATAGCCCAGAGCCTTCCAGCTGTCAAGCCCGCCTCGCCCTTCGTTGGACCAGTCAAGCGGTTCAACTTCGGCGTCCTTGACGACTGCTGCGTACCCGGTTTCCCACTACATGCACATCGAGATCAGTATGCCGACTAGGTACACTCGCAAGGGTGTTGTTGCTCTTACGTCGATTCCCTCCTTAATCCCCTTGAGATACGCATCGACGAGCACAACGTCGGCGTTCGAGCCCCCCTTTTCCCATTGGTCAGCAAACAAATTTGTTTGAGGGGTCAATGGGAATCATGGCAGACTTACTTGTGTGTAGCCCTTGCAGAGACTCATCCGGCAGTCGGGGAGCCAGCCCTGGTGGACATACGTATCGATGAGAGAACGAATCATGTGGCCCACGGCTGAAGGGTCCACTATGGTGAGAAATGGGATCTGAGACCGGAAGGAATCCCACAAACTAGGTCTCGGTCAGTCATGGCATGTGTCACAGCATAAACATGCGATCCTCACCAATAGAACGAATCAAAGTACGGTTCGCTGCTCGACCAGAGGGGGTTCTCCCCGGTATAGTTCTGGGGATTGATCATGGTCCGGTAGATGCCGCTGTAGAAGTTGGTTACGAATGACGGATCCACGCCTTCGGTGGACACCCTTATTGGGCTGAGCTTCTCCCTCCATGCCTCCGTTGCGGCCTTGGCGACGCCGTCAAAGTCAAAGGACGGGATCTCAGCCTCGGCATGGGAGCAGGCCTGGGCGGTACTGATGAAGCTGACGGCGGTCCGGACCAGGATGGGTGCGGCGGCAGACTTGAACCTTACAAATGCTCCTCCGGGCAGAGGATAGCCGTTGATGGAACGCGATATCGTCAGGTCCTTGACCGACGTGCTCGCTCGGCTGTTCGCAAAGATACCGTTGTCCAGGATTTCGGGTCCGGAAAAGTCGGTGCAAAAATGCAACACGAAACTACCGCTACCGAAGCTTGGGAGGAAGCGGGCGGTCCCTGTGATCCTCCCCGTCTCGGCATCCACAGACACGGTCGCATTGTCCTGGCGGGTGTCGGCGAGGTCGCTCAGGTCCTGGAGGATCAGGGGCTGGGCCGGCTCTCCGTCGTCCCCAAGCTCCGGGAACGTGAATCTGAAGAGCCCTGTGTGGTGCGTCGTCGTCATGTCGGCACGGATGCCGCTGTTGAGGGTGATGCCAAACTCGCCTGGCCGCGCCGACACGTTGCTGAAGGTGCCGAATTTTGCCCTGCTCTTCTTCGGAAACACGCATCTGTCGACGTCGCCGCCGGGGCAGTTTGTGTAGGGGAACAGCGGGAAGTTGCCCAAGCTCGGGCTGCCGCCGGTCCCGCTGTCGTGCATGACGGAGAATCCCGTCACGTTGGAATCATCAAGAGTAAATCCGCCTTGGTTACTGCCGCTGTTGGTGTCGGCAACGGCCTTGGCCATCCCGTAAGGCAGGGAGGCACCGGGGAAAACATTGCCTCCGTTGGATGAGCCGATGAGCGGATCAATGAAGTCGAGAGGATCGAAGGTGCTTTGCCCCAGGGCAAGGCTGCTGAGTGCTAGCAAGGCAATGAGATGTGCCATTGTGTGTGTTCGCTGAGCGAATAATGGGAGATATTGTCCACAACGGGCAACCAAGTCCAGTACGCACTTGAGACTGGGGAGAGGGGGGGGGGGGGGGGGTAGGAGGAAGAAAGAGTGCGGAAACTCGGCGTTCTTAAACTAGGTGGGCGAAAGTAACTCCCGGCCCATCGTGTCTCGAGACCGACATGCTTCTAGAAATACACTTTGAGCAAGACGCTTCGAGCAAGATGCTTTGCGCCCTTGGCCGTGGCCACGCTGGCGTGTCTTGCGGCGGCTGGGGAGGGATGGGTTGCCGATCATGATAGTGGAACCCTGAAGTCGCAGCCAGAGAGCACTTGCTCAATCGAGACGTACGTAGCAGAGATGGATGTTACCAGGTGCAGACTCGCGCGTCTGCATGTAGCTGTCGCTGAGATAACTGGATCCCACATTGACTCCCCATTATTCTCAACTCCTGGCTGGTCGACGCATGAGGTGACGACGATACGAGTGCCTGCACGACACGAAGCGGAAATGAGGAAGTGTAACGCAAACACTCCCAGCTACCAGGAAATGAGAACGTGTAGATTATTACCTGCATCGGGCGATCATCAGAAGAATCGCCAGTGGGGTTCACCCAAGGGGGAAGCTTGTATGCAGAGAGGATCGAGGAGTAATTTTAGATTTTGGACGGGGTTAGGGTTCGTTCCCAAAAGCGTCATGCGTCGCCGTGGATGGCAATTTCCGCCCTTGCCTCGACCTGACTGATCTGGCAGGTGCTGTCGGCCGCGCTTTCCCCTTCCAGATCTGTGGAATCCAACGACGACAGCTGACTGCACCCAGATGACGCATTACAGAGCCACAGCTTCTGCAACAGGCAAGGGATTTTGGATTTTCTCCCCAGGCTCCCATAAGTAACAGCTATCACGAGTAACGGGCTTGAAACTGAATGAAACAGAGGTCAACTCTATTATTAGGGAACTTGGTCATTTGGCAAGCGCTGCAGCTTCCTTTCTACAATAAGCTCACAGTTTGCATGCATGCATACTCACATATGTCGGGCAGAGTGTTCTTATCGAAATGCAGCTTACCAAGGATGCCTGAAGTTCTGAACTCTAATATCATTAGAGCTTGGGAATGCCGACGAGGCAAAGAGAATCTGCGAAGCCGAGCGAGTCTCGTTGAGGGTACTTCTGTAGTCATCCATGATTATGCCCAATGATAGATTCCAATGTCTGCTGTTTCATCATGGCAATAGTCAAACTTAGCATTAGAAACCTGAATAGATAGGGAGGCTCTATGGTCTTAAGATTCATCTCTTTTCCTGCCCTTCCACATACCTTCGACCTGTAATTGACCAAGTTAATAATCAACCATCTTTTCTTCTGGTGCAAGAGATAAATGTCGAAGTAGCAAGGACATTCACCTGTTCTTCTTGCTGAAAATTCATAACTCTTTGCATCAACGGAGCATCTAAATGCTCCCTTCATTGGCACCGGCGACTGGAATTTGCTAGTTTAATCAGTCAACCCCAGAGATGTGAACACCATATCCAGCAGCCTGAGTCTGGACTTGAGACCTACCTTCTAGATCTCTTGACCATAAGTATCAGGAGGGTGCTCTCAAATGGCTAATTTCTAGTTGAATGCCAAAGAACCCCAGGAAAATATCCAGAGAAAGACTGAACTGCCCCAATCAAAGTCAATGTAACCCGGTGCTTCATTCTACCCATCGATACAGCCGTTCCTGATTACTCTCATCATTTAGCCGCCAGAGCATTCCAACCGCCGGAGCCAACCGGAATATTGGCGCGCAAATAAGAGAGGGCAAAAAGGACAGCGCATGGTGTGGCAATTGCCGTAAGAAGCCAAGCACTTTCAATATCTTCGGGTCAAGGTGTTAATGAGGGGCGTGATAGGCCCGGGGGGCAGGAGCCTTCACAACCCCAACACCATGGATATATACTGGGCATCAAGTCCGTAGACTATTAGCGACCTCGGGTCTAGCACAGCACCGTGTCTGACAATAGAAACCGGTCCGCGAACATGGCCGCCTCCGCCCTAAGTCTCCTCCTGTTGTCCGGGGCCGCCCTCTCCCACGCCGGGGCAGTCCGCCCCCGCCAGGCCGGCTCGACCATCACCGTCGACCTGTCCAAGACGTACCAGACCATGGATGGCTTCGGCACGTCGGAGGCGTTTCAGCGCGCCGTGCAGATGAGCAAGCTCCCCGAGACGGAGCAGCGCAAGGCCCTCGACCTGCTCTTCTCCACGACCAAGGGTGCTGGCTTGTCCATCCTCCGGAACGGCATCGGGTCGTCGCCGGACATGAGCTCCGACCACATGGTGTCTATCGCGCCCAAGAACCCCGGGGGCCCGACTAAGCCGCTCATCTACTCCTGGGACGGCTCCGACAACAAGCAGCTGTGGGTGTCGCAGGAGGCGCAGAATACGTACGGCGTCAAGACTATCTATGCCAATGCGTGGAGCGCGCCGGGATATATGAAAACGAACGGCAACGATGCGAACGGCGGGAGTCTGTGCGGTGTTAGTGGTGCGTCCTGTGCTAGTGGCGACTGGAAGCAGGCTTATGCCGATTACTTGGTGAGGTACGACGAGAGGCGACGAGAAACCATGGGGGAAGCTCCATGAATTCTGGCTGGAAACTTACATGGGTCCGTGTCCAGGTACATCCAGTTTTACCAGGAGTCAAACGTCACCATAACGAACCTTGGGTTCCTGAACGAGCCCGAACTCACGTACGAACCACCCACCCTTCTTTCCCTCGCCGTAATCCCTCGGCAAATATTAGCAGTTCATCTCTCTAACCCCTACTAGAGCATCATACGCCTCTATGACATCCAACGCCCAGCAGGCGGCAGACTTCATCAAGGTGCTCTACCCGACGCTGCAGAGGGCCAACCTCAGCCACGTGGGCATCAACTGCTGCGACGCGGAAGGGTGGAGCAGCCAGGCGGGGATGCTGGGCGCGCTCCGGAGCGTAGACGACCAGCTCAGCGTCATCACGGCGCACTCATACACGTCGTCGCCGGGCAGCCCGATGAACACGCCGCACCGCGTGTGGCAGACCGAGGCCGCCGACCTCAACGGCGCCTGGACGACCGCCTGGTACCAGTCCGGCGGCGCCGGCGAGGGCATGACCTGGGCCAACAGCATCTTCCAGGCCGTCGTCAACGCAAACGCCTCGGCTTACCTCTACTGGGTCGGCGTCCAGGGCGGGGACACCAACTCCAAGATGGTCCGCATCAACAACAACGCCGTCGAGCCGTCAAAGCGCCTGTGGGCCCTCGGCCAGTGGAGCCGCTTCGTCCGCCCCGGCGCCGTCAGGGTGGGTTCCTCCGGGGGCGCGAATGGCATGCGGGTGGCGGCGTTCAGGAACGTGGACGGGTCCGTCGCCGTGCAGATCATCAACAGCGGGGGTGGCGCCGCCGCCGTCAGCGTTAAGGTTAGCGGTGGGGGCGATGCGACGGCGGCGACGAGGGCCAAGTCCTGGGTCACGGATAATACCCGTGCGATCGAGGAGCTGGAGGCTACTTTTAGCGGGGGGCTAGCCAGCGCGAATGTTCCGGCCCGGTCGATGGCGACGATTCTCCTGACCCCGGGTGGGAATAGCACCGAGGCTGAGGCGAGGAAATAGCGGTTAGTTATCATGACTCTAGGTAGGCGTGGGTGCATTTGAGTTGGGTTGCTCTCTTCAGTCTGTATATATTTACAGCACATTATCAGACCGATGTATACGGTATGCTTATGCAACATATCGTCACCTCAGTCCAAAAAGGGAGCAATGTCTGGGCATGTGATTCTCCTGTGTTAGCCACGTATTTATTTCCTACACCTATGAAACCAAGCCCCTATATATCGAAATTGCATGGTTCTGTAGTTAAGATGCCATGAAAAAGGAGCGTCAATATCAGGAGGTCGATTAATTAGCTATGGCAGGAGGAAGACAAATAGTTGGTTGAATCCCGGCTACGAAGAGTCAACTTGAATGTCCCACTCAACTCAATGGTTCTTTCTTATGCATGGTACCCATGCAATGCCTAATCTAACCCAACCTGTGTTAAACATTTGTTAACCCGAATCTAAGGATCAAGGCCAATAGGATAGGTAGTTTTTTTTTCTTCTTCTTCCAAGGTTCACCCATATGGAGCCCCGAAAGCCATGCGTTTTTAGATGAATCAAGATGAAGTCCAACTCCCGGGTCCGATCAGGGGGCGAGACAGATGGACTGGATGAATATCAGTGAGTGAGTTTTAGACTCTATATTACTTTATGTGTGTAGGTGAAGCTGCTGCTCATCCAATATTCCAATTTACCCCTTTCCCTCTAATTATATACCAGTTGGCCCCCCAAATAAGAAGTGCCAATGGGATTTAAAACGAGACGAAGGCGATCAGGGCTGCCATCGCAGAGCCCGCGGCTATGGAGAAGCCGGGTCTCCCCAGACGGATGCCCCCCGAGACGACAGAAACAGTTGCGCCGGGAACCGGAGCCGTCGTAGGGAGCGTGTTGGCGAACGTCGTGCTTCCGGTCCCGGGCTGCGGTGACGTCGTCGCGTCGGATCCCCCACCGCCGCCGCCGATGCCGCTCGCCGTGGTGGTCGCTGGCACAGATCCCACATACGAGCCGGAGACGGTCATCGATCCGCCTCCGCCTCCCGGTTGTCCTGCTGTCGCGCAATCGCACACTGCGAAGTGGAAGCACAAGGTCAGCTCAGGGTTCACTCTGGAGGTTCGACGGCGAATTGAAACTCACCAGACGATGCGCCGTCGATGACGGCCTGGTACGACGCCGACGGGCATCCCGAACTGACGCAGCCCTCGATGGCGGCGTAGAGCTTCGCCTCATGCTCACACTGGCAGGCGAAGTCGGTGCCGTCGCACCCCACGGACGGCGCGCCCTCGAGAAAGCACGACTGGGCGCAGGACGGGATGGCTCCGAGCGCGACGCTGGCGCAGTCGGCTGCGCGTGCCGGCGCCGTCTCGCTCGCGAGGAGGAGGAAGGCGCCGAGGAAGTGTGTCGGCTTCATTGGGGTGGTCCCTCGGTCTTGATATCGCTGTGTTGCAAATGTCGCGACGCTTTTGTTTTTCGCTCGCTCGGCTGGACGGACTGCGGAAGCACTTGGATGGACCGTTACGATATCGGAGGCAAGGCAGGAGGGAAACGCGAGGAAATGCGACCTTCTGCCTTCTTACCCCCTGCTCACTGAGCACACGAGGTAAATATTATTACACAGGCACCACCCCCTCCACCTCCACCACCAAGCTCCCAATCTCCTTCCAAGGTCCTACCCAGCAAGTTCCGCATGTTTAACCAAGATGATGGCATGTCGTTTCCTGTTCCTTCTCTTTCCCCGGTTGGGTCCTATTTCCCCCGCTGCTAGGGCCGGCTAAGGGGCGGATCTTTTCCAACATGGGAAGTACAGCCGGTGGACCTACATCGATCGCTTTCTGCATTAGTCGGGGGTTGCCCTGCCTCGGCCTCGGCCAGTCGATCTTTGGGAAATTCTTCCTCGTCGCGGCTCCGGTTTTTTGCATGTGCCCGCGGCATGGGCATGTGCAACTCGGTAAAGCCAGACAACCACCCCCGAGTCCGTCGACGTCATTTTTCATTTTATTTCTCACCTGGTCGACTTGCAGATGGTGTGCACAGCCTACGAACCCCCGCCGTCCATAATCCAATCGATGGCCATCAGTTTATATGCTCCCACATTTCTGGGGGATTTTTGCCTAGCCTGAAGGGTGGACTTGTGTGGTGATAAGCTTTTTCACAGGTTGCAGCTGGGCCTTGGCACAGTATTAATAATCCCTGTTGACATACAGTGAAAAGGGGCGAACAAGTCATGGTGTCTATTCACGAGGGTTAGTAAGGAGTCCCCCCTTTCATACCTCGTATCTTCTTCTAATATATAGTCTAGCACCACCAGCACTTTTTCTACGGACGGCTGATCAGTTGGTCCTGATCATGCTCCTTGTGTTTGTTCTGTTGTTTTTGTTCCCACCCACGGGCGCCTCTATTACCTTCGAAGTCTTGCATCGCCAGGAATAGATAGTCGTAAGGTTTAGCATCGTTCCGCGCGTCGACCTGGGGCATCTCTCCGTCCAAGTTCACTAGATCTTTGGGCTCGACGTACAAGTCAATCGCATTCGGATCGAGCTTACAGCGCACGTAGTGGCTCACGGGGCCGCTCTTGAGGGGTTTGACGCTCTTTGCGGTGCGCATATCTTGCCCAATCGGTGAGAAGAACAAGAGCTTTTCGGTTAAACAAGCTTCTTGCCATTCCTATCGAAGAGGAAGTACGCCACGTCAGTTGTCATGTCGCCTTGCGCCTCATAACTCATAGTGATGAATCCGCCTGTGTGAGGATCTAGCTTCGGGTGGGCAGTAAAGGTTAGGGCTGAGTACTGCCCTGGGAAGTCATGGGCCCCTAAGAGCATGAAAGTGTGTATCAGCAGCGGAATACACAAACCCATGGATAATCACCTATTCGGCACCTTTTGGATTTTGTCACTGATGCGATGCACATACCTTTGGTCTCGAGGGTATCTGGGTTCGCCGCATATGGAAGTGAGTCTTCTTTGAGTGCCAGAATCTGCTTCCCGAAGTAGATGACGTCGGTATTGGCTGTGAAGTGAATCTTGTGCCTGACGCGTACATAATCGGTATACCGGTTGCGATATTTGCCAAAGATTGTTGTCATCTGCTGTCGACAATACGCTTATACAGAGGCATCCGAACAGGGAAGGGTAGACCACCCTTCTGCTGCTAGCGACACTGTCTTGCCGACAAGGCCTGCCTATAGCCAAGCTACCCCATCTTTCTTCGTTGTCATATACCTACCTATCTAAACTGGCATGCATCGATGATTAGCCAGATGGACGGCATCCCTCGATCAAAAGAGCCACCCCGACAGCAAGAGCGATAGACAGCGACAACAAGAGCGATAGACAGCAATGGCAACAGCAATAGACAGCGACAGCAGCCCTTGCCGATTCCCGCCACCTAGTCTAAGTACGTGGGTCGGCAGCCGTACATAACCACAAGCTGGCAGACAATTCATTGGGATCCAGGGAAAACGAGGATCAACACCTCGCCACAGCCTCTGTGTCTGATGTTGATGGGCGGGCCGACGCCCCCTCCTACTCGCCCAAATCCAGCCAAACCTCCGGGTCGATGGGCGCCTCACCATTGCCGTACTCGTCCTTGTATCCGATCCACCTGTGGCACTCCTTCTGCAGCTTCACCAGGCCCTCGCGCGCCCGGGCCCCAAACGGCGAAGAAGGAAAGAAGGTTGGACTCGCGGAAGTCGATACCGCGATTATATACACCTTTGCACCGAAACGGCAGGGGGTTTCGGGACCAGTGAGGAGGCCAACGTCGGGGTATTTTTACCTCGGGCTGTACCTCCAGCTTCGAGGCGGCCTTTGCGATGCTAAACACGGGCGTTGGTCATGTTGTCTTCGCTGAATGAGCACGGCTGGGGTACCGGTTTTGGTGTGAAAAGGGGATGTGTGTTAGAGTCGACAATCTGCGTCTATAGCTCTCTGATTAAGCCGAATGATCCTCAGATGTGGCATCTCAACCCCACCCTATCACAAAACGCTGACCCTTCCGACGATTTTCTATTGTCAGGCGCATGCTAGTGCTATTGCTGCTTTAGTCGTGTAGTCAGGAATATGTGGGATCGCAGGATTTCGCCCACTCGGGGTGGTTGGTGCATGATATGCTTATGACGTATGTACATACTTTCTCCACGAACAGCACTAAACAACCTACACTCTTCCCCATTCTGAACATTCAACCAAGTCAAGTACCGACCTCAAGCCATCTAATTACAACATAAGCTAATAGCCGGGCCGTAATCAAATATCAACAATGTCTTCCTCTGCCGCAATTCCAACTTCCACCTCCGTGGTGGAGAGCGCCGTCATCCGAGCACCGCTCTCCCATGTTTGGCATCATATCAAGCTGCACGACTTTGCCAACTTCTGGACGGCCCTGAAGAAGTCCGAGTTTGTCAAGGGTGTCAGCAACGAGACCGACGTGGTCAAGTGGACCTTCAAGGATGGCACTACCGTCGAGGTCAAGCAGGAGGAGCACAGCGTGAGTTTCATCCAAGGAGACTGTGATACCGTCTGGTGTATTCTGAACATGGGCGCTAACTGGGACGCAGACCATCAACCACTACATCACCTATAGTGTCATCACGGCCCAGCCTGAGCTCACGTATTCCAGCGTGTTGAGTACTGTCCGCTGCTACGCTGTGACTTCTGGGGACCTGGAGGGAAGCACCTTTGTTGAGTGGACTGGGAACTTCTCCAGCGATGCTGATGCCGGTCCGTACCTATCCAGCTTGCCACACGTTGATATTCCCCGCCCTTTCCTACTGTAGAAGAGCTCGATAATAGCAAAGCACTAACCGTTCTATAGCTGTCATCCAGGATGCCAAGTTCAAGCGCCGCGACGCCCTGGCCGACTTGGCCAAGGCCGCTGCGAAGGTGTAGTGGGTGATAAATTTACCCATTGTTATTTTGACTAGCACAAGTCCCTGATGGTTGTTGTTGTCATTATCATCGAAAGGAAGTTGGTCTGATTTATCGATGGTGCTAGCTGAGAATGTTAACTACGATGCATTTCAAAGAATAATAAGCTTCGTGACTGCGAACTTCGTTCAGACTCTCTAACCTTGTTGAACATTAAAAGGTGCTAGAAAACGTTAGTTTGTAGGGATCTCCGCGTCTAGAGTTTGGCCTTTCTCAAGAAAGTGATTCTTGATTAACCTTTGCTCTTGGGATAAAAGGGGCCTCCAATCCCCTTCAACTTACAGACATCGTTGCCAGCTCCAGCACCAAGCATAAATCTTTTTAGGCAATCCAAAGGCATACTTCACTGTGTGCAATCACCGAGTCCAACCCCATTTTAAACTACAACTTCTCCTCTTATCAAAAATGCATTGCCGCTCAACAACCCCCATTGCGGTCCTCGCAATCCTAGCCAGCTTTGCCAATGGCTTCCCAATCCGGAGCGGCCAACTCACCGCGCGTCAAGATCTCCACCCTCTGAACCCCGGGCCAGGCCCCATCCACAGCTACAGGTGTTCCGGGCAGGCACGGTGGAGATGCGTGCGACGGCCGCCAACTGCATGCCGCTGCACTACCACGAGGTGGCGGTGAACGACGGCATCACCGACAGCCTCAACATCACCATGTGCTCGCCGTACGCGGCAGTCGAGCTGGACAAGGTATACCCAATCATCTATCTGCAGACGGCCCACTGCCCGACCAATAACACAGGCGTCTGGACGCCGACTTACTCCGACCCACAGGTCATCCGCGCCGCCGACGGGACCAAGATCCTCTCCATCCCGCCCATCACCATGATCCTCTGCTACAGCCCGCCCGCTGACCTCGAGAGCGGTTGCCTAGCCTTCCTCCACGAGACCTGGTACGGCGCCAAGCTGGGCTGGGCGTACGAGCTGTACGTGGCCCGGGAGGCGCGGTACGAGCAGCACTCGTGCGGGCATCGGGTGCTGGAGGAGATGAGGCGGGTGGGCTGTGACGTCAAGGACTTTGACCCCAACAACGGGCTGTGGAGGTGCGACGAGGAGGATTACGGCGCCGCGTACATGCGCATCTGGACGCCGACGCTGTCGTGCACGCCGGATAAGGTGGAGAGGGCGTTGTTGGAGATGAGCCGCCATGAGCTGGTGGTCCAGTGCGAGGCTAAGAAGGCTTGTTTTCTTAATGCCCACTTGCGCTGTGGCTGATGATGGGCCGGCTTTTTTCTTCCTCTTTCTTCTCTTGTCCCAACAAATCTTACCCTGGCTCTCTATAGCTGGTTCTCAGCGTGTAGGATACATGTGGGAAGGGATATGGGGGATGGGTGTTCTGCTTGGTTTCTACTAATTCTATCGAGGTGGCAGATTATTTGTGATTTCTCATGGTTCTGTGCTATTACTTCATAGCAATGTTGAGTTCCTTCCTTGTCGTTTTTGTTAGTCTGTCGATAAGTGGCATTAATAGAACCAGTTAAACAAGTCGGATATCTACTGCATGAAAGGGAGGAGCGAGAGATATGTAGAGAACGAGATGCAGGTAATGGTCCTGCTAGACTAGGTAACCGTAAACGACAGCAACTCCAGCAGCAATGGGATATAAGAACCTAGAGGATCAAAATTTCCATGCTTTAACCAAACAACCGTCTATCCAATCACCATTGTATCCCAATAATGACACCATACGCCTTAACAATGCATTATAGTCCCAATATCTAACCCAATCCTCCACTTACTTACTCCCGTCACCCGGCACACTCTCGGGCGCCCTCAGGAACCCGGCCCGGCTGGCGTCGGCGATGCCGCTGTACCAGATGGCGGCCATCTTCCGGTAGCCTTTGTCGTCCGGGTGAGTGTCGTCAGCGAGGTCGGCGAGCTGGGGCCCGTTGGAGCCGTGCATGTCGACGAAGACGACGGGGTGGCCGGTGGAGCGCAGCTCGGCGGCCAGGCGCTGGTACTGAGCGTTGACGAGAAGCACGTTCCTGTCGGTGGCGGCGACCTTGTTGACGAGCAGCGAGCTCAGGACGACGGTCGAGCGCGGGCTCATGGAGAGGACGCCGAGGACGAGGCGGCGCATGCGGTCGGCGGCGCCGCTGACGTTGAGGTTCTGGATGCAGTCGTTGGTGCCCGCGTTGAGGAGCACCAAGTTGGGCAGCAGGCGCGGCACGGACAGGTTGGCCTTGGCGTACACCTCGTCCACCACGAAGCCCGGCCAGCCCTCGTTGTCGTTGTCGCGCATCTTGCCGTGCCGCCGCGAGCCCACCATGTCCACCCGGTTGCCCCCGTCCACGAGCCGCTGCCGCACCGCCTCGCGGTACCCGTTGCCGTCCGTCGACTCTAGGCCCCACGTGATCGACGCCCCCAGCGGCATGATGCGCAGCGGGACCCCGTATCCCGCGTGCCGGCGCTCCGCGTTGCCGAGAGCTGGTCCGGCTTCCGCGCCAGGGGCTAACAGGGGCACGGCGAGTGCTGGAGGCAAGAGTCAGCAGAGGCAAAGCATCTGGAGAACTTGATAAGGAATTTACCGGATATGAGAGGCGATACGAGCAACAGGAGCAGGAGCATGCTCGACTGGCAGGTATACACAGAGGGGGTGGCCATCAGAGGTCGCCGTCACACCAACCAAACCCGGTTGGAGTAAATATATAAGAGTAAATATATAAGTGAAGTGCTTTGTAACGTTTGGTGAGGCCCAACTGATATGAATGTATGTGCTGCTGTAGATCGATGCCAAGCATGGGGAGAAAGCAAGCAATGGGAGGAGGATTAATTAAGTAGGTAGGCAGCTCGCACACTCGGAGAAGCGAATGCGGGGAGGCTGTCGGGTGACTGGCGGAACAAGCAGATCTAGACCTGTACTCGATCAACCACAACGAAGGATTGGGAAGGAGCAAAGAGAAACAAGGCTCATGAGGTACAGCAGGCCCAGCAGTCTCAGCCAGCGACAATGCCAAGTGGGGGCGGAGAGGGTCATTGGGACAATTGCTTTTTGCGGCCTCGACGACGCGATGATTTCCCGGGCGGCACGGGTCTCATGACGAGATCTCATCGCGGTCTGGGTCCTGCCTTTTTAAGAAATGATAACGCGGCAGAATTCCACCCAAGCCCAGGGGAAGCAAGCCATGTCTCAGGCGCGCTCTCGGGGAAAACGGGTAGTCCCCGACCTCCCCCGTCGCAGACCCGGTAACGGGGGTAGCATCGCTGGGGGGCATCGACGGCACGAAAGCTTGTCCTCCGAGCGTTACATGAGGTCACGCCAGCGTCAAGGTGACCACGTTGGATGTCTCCCTCCAAGGCCTGCTGGTGACCGCGAATAGCACTGCATTAGGCCCCCGCTCGGTGCCTTTGAACTGCCCGGCTTTGTCCTGCCAGCGGGGTACCTGGGGATCCCCAACACTGGCTAACAACCTGAAAACCAATAGAACTGGCCATGGGTATTCGGTAATATATCTTGCAGGCATCCAGCCCCGGGATACGATTAGATCAAGCTTTCCAACAACAAATGATTAATATGAAGCGGCTCTGCAATACGCCGATCGGATGCGAGGTTAAGACATGCCAATCATAGAAGGTCACACTCGCTAATGATCCGCGGCCCTCGTGACACCGAACCAACGTTGCAATCGACTTGAAGAGGCAGCAGTAACAGTTAATTAAAATGGTTGCCCCGAAGGGAAACTGAGGAGGTAACAAGAAAAGAAACAAACCGAAAAAAAAAAGGAAGAGGCATGGTAGAGGAGCAGGAAGGGAAGGGAAGGGAAGGGAAGGAGAAGGAGAAAGACATGTTTAAAAAAAAAAGAATACGACATGATAGAAAGAAGGAAGGAGGAAAATGACGATTTGACAATGAGGTTGGGTGGGGGGGCGCAGGGAAGAGTTGGAACGGGCAAAAAGAAAAAAAATTTGACTCGGATGCGGGGAGTCGAACCCCGGGCTGCTGAGAGGGTACACTACTGGGTAGTGAGAGTCAGCGATGTTACCGCTACACCACACCCGACTTGAATCGATTGTGGTTCCGATTGTTAGGAGAACTCCTCTTAATCTTACTTATAAGGCTGTCATTTCTGAGAACCCGGTTGCATGTCCAAGCAGGAGATTCCATTGGCCACAGGAGAGTCAGATAAGTGGATACCTGGACTGGGCAAGACATACCAAGGCACGCTAGGAAAGCACTGCACTGTTATGTCGGTGGGAATTCTCATGTTTGACATGGGACAATAGAATAAATCCCATAAAAGTTCGTGACATTGACTCCCAAGATACCAAGGTAGGTAGCCGGAGACATCCCACCAGTCTATCGTAACGCCAGAGGGTATCTCGTGTGTACACAGTCCAAAATCATCAACACCTAGCCCCATCCGCATTCCCATTCCCATCCTCACACTCGTCTACATCCTCCCCCTCATCCTCCCCCTTCTCATCGCGGCTCATCTTCCCCAGCATATCCCTAACACCGGCATCCCTCTCCATCTCCTGCCACATCTCCACCCCCCACTCCTCAACGCTATTCCGCACGCCCTCGCCCGACCAGACCGCGCCGGCCCCGACCCCCCCGCGGAGCAACCTCCCCCACGTAGCCCACGACAGCCTGCTCCACCCCCACAGGCCCATGACGACGAGGCTGCGCTTCACCGCCCGGTACCCCAGCTCGGCGACGGCCAGCACGGCCAGCACGACGGCGAGCGTCGCCCACCAGGCCGGGTCTGTGCCGAACGTGATCGCGAAGCCGCCCTTGACGGCGTATGGCGACACGGCGCTGAAGTAGGCCGCCGAGAGGAAGCCGTTCCACGCCCACCAGCCGCCGGTCGTTATGGTGAAGGAGGCGAGGACGATGGCTGTTTTGTAGTGCGTGTCGATAATACTGGAGCGAAGAAGAGGGAGTCAGCCAGCCAGCCAGCCAGTCGGTCAGTGCATGCATGCACAGCCAGGAGGCGCAACTTACAGGAGCTTCAAGTTGGTCCACATGATAGCGACCGAGAAGACGAGATCGCCGAGGGCGTATAGGCCCTCGTCCTGCACCCGGCCCAGATATCCGTGCCCAGCCCAGCAGCCAAACCAGACGAGCACGCCCTCGGCCGCAGCGGCGACCATCCACCCCACGTACTTGCCCAGGTTCAGCCCCTGGTCCCGCTGGCCGTAGACGTACAGCTCCGGCACGGCGAGCAGCGTCTCGGGGGCGAGGTCCTGCTCCCATATGCCCGGCACGATGACGGCCAGGCTGGTGAAGAGCGTGTTCAGCACCGTCAGGCTCCAGTTCTCGTACAGGCTCGTGCCCGTGTACCCGTTGGACCGCTGGTACAGCGCGGTGGGCAGGTAGAAGAACATCTCCTTCCAGAAGGTGGCGAGCACGAAGCGCGCGGTGCGCGAGTAGCTCCACCGCCCGTGCACGAGCAGCAGGCGGGCGAGGAACCGGAACTGCGCCACGCTGTAGTCGGCCACGCGCGCCGCCTGCAGGCCCTCGCGGCCCGACACCCCGACCCCGACGTGCGCCTCGGCCAGCATCGCGAGGTCGTTGGCCCCGTCGCCGATCGCCAGCGTCAGCGGCGCCGTGCGCGCCCACGACCACCACGACCACCACGGCGACGACGACCCGCGCTCCGCAGACCCGGACTTGCGGATCGCCCGCACCAGGTGCGCCTTCTGGCCCGGGGACGCCCGGCAGCAGATGACCGAGTCGACGGTCGGGATGAGCGAGTAGAACAGCACCTGCAGGTTGGCAGCGCCGGGCTCGTCGATGGCCGCCAGGGTCTGGCCGTCGACGACGACGACCGAGTGGCCTAGGGTGGAACCGCCCGTGCCGCCCGTGCCGCCCGGCAGCACCTGCAGGTCCTCCATGACCCCCACCAGCTGGGCCTCGAGGTCCCCCTTGGTCACGTCCAGGATGTACATGTCCGAACCAGGGAGACACACCCTCGCGGAGTGGGCAATGTTGATCGCCGTCTCGCGCTTGTCGCCCGTGAGCATCCATATCTTGATATTCGCCCTCCTGAGCCTGTCGATCGTCTCGGGGACGCGTTTCTGCAGCTTGTCCTCGATGGCAGACGCCCCGACGAGCTCTAGCGACTGTTCTATCAGCTCGCCTGCCGCCTCGATGCGCTCCTGCCTGTCCACCAGGCTCGTCGTGGCGTCGTCAAAACCCTTCTTCCAGTAGAGATACTCCTGCTCCGGCACGTACTTCTGGGCGTAGAGCAGAGTGCGCAGCCCCTCGGTCGCGAACTCGTCGAGGTGCCGGAAGCATCGCGTGAAGATTTGAGAGTCGTCGCAGACAGAGGGATCTTCGAGAAAGGCGAACTTGTCAGGCGTAGGCGCAGCACCCTGGTACGGCGGAGGCGGCATCCGAGCCCCGTACGACACATCCAACGAAACCGTCCGGATGGTGAGGGAGTTCCGCAGACGATCCTCCGACTTGCGGAGTCTGCTGCCCGTCTCAAACGACCGGCTTCTGTTCTGACTCGGCCGCCTGCTCGGCCCGGGAACACCCGGGCAGAGCCCGATGCTCCTCCTGATGGCCAGGCTCGGCCGACCGCCAAAGCTGTTGCGCGGCTCTCTCGCCTCGCTCCTCCTCCAGAGCTCCTGCTCCGCCTCCGCGCTCTGCCGGACCTCGTCGGCCTTCTGGAGAGCGAGATGCGCCATCTTCAGGCGCGGCAGAATCGCCGAGTCGGCGCCCTTGGTGATGAGCCAGATCCGCCCGTCCGGGCAGCGCACGACGACCGTCATTCTCTTCCTCTTGCTGCTGAACTCGATCACGTCGAGGATTTCGTACACCTGCTGCGTCTCGGCGCCGTCTCTGTCTGGGACTCTGAGAGTGATAGTGCGGGTCGACCTCTGGACGACGACGAAGCCGAGCTCCATCGCCGCCTGCACCAGCGCCAGCTCGTCGGGCGAGGCCGCCTGGAAATTCAACTCTCCATCCTTCATCTCGGGTAGGCAGGTGTGGCAGAGGGCGATGGCCAGAAGGTACTGGGTCGCCCGCTTTGCAAATGGAGAATCTGGCTTCAAGCGAATGTACTCGATAAGGTCCCTGGTGTTGAGCTCCGGCTGGATATGGTCGGGCCGCGCTGTGGAGCGCCAGTGCGAGGAGGACCGTCGACCTGGCTCCGGCGATGTTGGGGAGGCGGGAGAAACCACAGTTGGTGTTGGCCTCAGGGAATCTCCCAAGGACCGTCTCTCCAGTTTGGGTGGCAACATCTCCATTCCATACTCCATCTCCTTTCCCTTAGCATTGTACTCCTCCTTTGTGTCGAGCGGCAAAGCGTCTTCCCCGGTATCAATGTCCGTGTCGTGCAGCCATGCAGTTCCCGCGATGCTCAGCTTCCGGAACTTCATGACGTTCTCAGTCAGGGTCCCCGTCTTGTCGGAAAAGATGTAGCCAATCTGGCCCAAGTTCTCGAGGATGGTGTTGGTGTTGCACCTCGCAGGTGTATCCGAGACCTCGTCGTACATCTCCGTGTCCGAGTTTAGGAAGATCATCTGGCCGATCTTGACGATCTCCAAGCTGATGTAGAGCGCCAGCGGGATGACGTTGTTGAACTGGATGGCGAAGCCAATGATGATCTCCTGGAACGCGACCGACGCATTGTCAAGATACCAAGACTCCCGCTCCGTCGACTTGCGCCAGATGATATAGCCCATCGAGCAGCCCACAGACAGGAGGACGACATAGATAGCCAGCGTGATGACGATCCTGTTAGCGACTCTCTCCAGTGCCGGCTTCTTCGCGGTGGGGTGCCTGTTCGCGTTCCTCCTGATCTTGCACTCCTCGCCCGTGTTAATCACGATCCCGACAGCGGACGCCGTATTGCGCAGCGTGCAACCCCTGTAGACGACCTCGCTGAGCGTGAGGGGCAGCGTCTGGCCGCCGTCGGCGCCGCCGCCGACGACGACGCGGCCGTCGAACCGGTACAGGTCCGGGTTCGGGTCCTCGACGACGAACTCGGCGGCGCAGCGCGCGACGCCCGCGACCGTGCCGCAGCAGCCGTCGAGCGCGGGCGACACGCTCCTGGGCTTGAGGTTCGTCTCGCCGTCAAGCGCCATGGTCTCGACGTACGCGAGCCCGTTCTCCCCGTCGGCGTGCAGCAGCACCAAGTCCGCGGGGACCTCGTCGTCCCGCGCCAGCCGGACCACGTCGCCCACCCGGAGATCCCGCCACGCCACGCCGGTCCACTCAAAGCCCGTGTCGTTGGCCTCCCCGTCGGCGGGGACGACCCGAAAATTGCCCGGATCGTAAGGCTTCGTCGTCGCTCCGAGCTTGAGCCTGCCGAGCAGCCTGCGCCTGAACCGGAACCACGTCCCGGCGGCGCCAGTGCGCCCCGCTTGCGCCGTCGCCGCCGATGACGACGACGCCCGCCTTAGAGCGGTGGCGGTGCGGGCGTTCTCGACGCTGTCCAGGCGGTGGCGCCTCCAGTCGTCGAAGCCCTCCTTGGCGACGGTGAGGAGGACGAAGAAGAGCAGCGGCAGGATGGTGGTGTAGCTGCCCGTGGTGCTCAGGCCGGGGATGGTCTGGGGCACGCCGACGCACAGGAAGTAGAAGTTCGCAAGGCGCGAGAACTGGAAGATCAGCTGCTTGGGCAGGAAGTTGTACACGGTGTACCGCGACGTCCTGATGACGTTGGATATGTAGGCGTGCCCGCGCCGCTCGTCGATGAGCGGTTTGTCGTCGTCTAGCCGCAGCGGGATGCGCCGCCCGTCCTTGCTTGGCGGGAGCGGCTTCTGGCGCAGGATGAGCTCGGCGACGTAGTGCTGGTACCATGCGCGAGCCCTGGGCTTGAGGCCCATCTTGGTGCGCTTCCCCGGCGCTGATGCGCCTGGCGGCCCCGCCCTGCGACCGGCGCCTCCCTTCTCTTCCGAGGCGACGGTGTCGCCATCATCAACATTCATCGCGTCCTCCTAGATTGAGGAGTTTGCGCTGCACATGTCACTCTAGTTCATTCAATCAAGGGCAAGCGAGAGTCGGGTCAATCCCAGAGGCAGCGCGGGGTCGGGGGCGCGAAAGCGCGACTCGAAGACAAGCGAGAGGATAAAACCAAAGCACACGGTGATAACGAAAGGACGTCTCGAACAAACGACTAGTTTCGAGACAGGCAATGTGTGATGTATGTACGATTAACGATGAAGGATGAAAAAAGAGGGGGCAACCAAGAGAAGAAGCACGCCAGGAACAAGATCGCCATGTGGGGGTGGGAGGTGGGCGGTGCAGAGCCTCTAGTAGCCCTCGTTGGCTCGAGTCATTGCAGTTCCCGATCCATATTAATTATTGGGTTGTCTAGAACCTGTTTTTTGGCGAGGATCAAGGGCCCAGACGGATGCCCCCGTAGTCGATGATTACACTAAATTGAGGCGACAGGGGGGGAACACGAGGGTCCTTCCAGCAAAACGGTTCGCTTGTGGGAATAACAAGCTTCAACTAGTAATAACCATCCCCGCCTCCCCGCGTATCTACAACTTTTTACAGACAAGAGTACACCGAAAGAAAGACATTTAGCATAGTTTATTATCTATCCATACCTAGCTAATTAGCTAGTATTTCGCAGCGCAAACGCCAAATACAGCGGCTCTTCGTGAGATTGCTCCGCATTTCCAGTCCTGGAGGCACCACCTCAAAATTGGTGGCTCCTTGGCTCCTTGGCTCCTTGGCTCTTTGCCTAACGCCCTTCCATGCAATGCTATGCCGCCCATACCAATCCCTACATGATATAATACAATTCGTAGCCCAGGCCCTTGCCCAGCTCTCGGGCGGTCTGACGGCTGTGTCGCGGCTGCGAAGGGAGTTAAAATAGCAAGAATGCAGCTCCAGTGCTACGACACGGCGCCCATCCAAGCCTACGCCCACTCATCGTCGTCGTCGTTCGCGAAGGGGTCAATGTCCTCGTCTTCTTCCTGGAAGTCGTCCTGGTCGTAAATGGCGGTCTGATCCTCGTCCTCGTCTTCGGCGACATTCAAGTCCACACCGTCATCTTCGTCTTCTCCGTTCCCGTTGTCCGCATCGACGACCTTGGCGGCGGCTTCGGGCGTCTTGCTCGCCGACTCGGCCGACTTGACCCGCACGGCCGCCTTCCCGGCGACGCGGTCGTCGCCAAATTCGCTCCCGCCCTCGCTGGGGGCGACGCTGCCGGCCCGGCTGTTGCTGCCCATGGTGCTGGTGCCGCCGAACTCGCTGCCGGGGCGGTGGTACTTGCGCATGTCGAAGATGTCCTGGAAGGCCGTGTAGTTGATCTTCTTGCTGACGGCCCTCATGGTCAGCGCGTTGACGGCCGCCTCCCCGGCGCTGCTGGCCGGGCTCGCCTGGCCCTCGCCGATCCGGGCCGTCTTGATGCGCTTGCGCGTCTTCTTGGGCGGGCCGCGGGCCTCCATCTTCTTTCTGAAGATCTTCTGCTGGTTCGAAGACATCCAGTCCTTGTTCTCGTTGGTCCACAGCTGCTCCTTGATCTTGGCCTCTTCGGGCGTGAGAAGGCAGCAGATCACCTCGGGGTCGTTGGCGAACTCCTTGTCGCTCACGATCGGGTCGTTGGACACTTTTGATCGGGGTGTAAACCGGGGGTCGGACGGGGTGTCGTCGGCCGGTTCTTCCTCGGCGGCGGCATCGCCTACAGCAGCCCCTGGGAGATTTGGAACGGCACCGGTCTGATGCAGGGCCTTGTCAATGGCCTCATCGACGCGTCTCTCCTCGGCAAAGTCATTCAGTCTCTGGAGAGCCTGGGAGTCGCCTTCTTTCTGTGCCTCGTCGCGAGCGACTAGTATCATTTGCGGATCGGAAAGGTGGACCTCCATCTCCTCCTCGAGGGCGTTCTCATCTGCCTCCCACTGCTCATCGTAGGCCAACTTCGGCCCCGAATCATCCTTCGCTTTGCCTTTTCCCTTCGATTTGGCCTTGCTGATGCTTGGGGAACGCCCGGTCTTCTTCCCCGCCGGAAAGTCAATGCCCATTGCTGCAGCCATGGCGGCCTCGGTGCTGCGCTCGGGAACCACATCCTCGACATCGCCAAACTCCCGTGCAAGCAAATCAAGTTGTCCGTCGCCACCGCGAGCGGACGCAATGGCCACTCGATCGACCACGCGGGTTACGTCCCCAACAGCTTTCTCCGGAAGGGGAGGGATGACAAAACCGTCCTTATCGGTGGCTGTGGCTGGCTGGGGAGTCGGTGCGGGAGAAGGCGAGGGTGTGGCGAAGGCCGTGATCTGTGCTGGACCGGCAGAGTCGCTCGAGGAAGTGGACTGCGATGCCTCTGGCGTCATCGTCTTCTGACGCTTCTCTCCATTCTGGCCCTCCGCAGCTTCTTCGGTGGCGTCGGCTCCGTCCTCAAGTTCCTCCACTTTTCGCTTATTGGTCCGCTGGTGCTTCTCCTTGTATGCTGCGGACTGTTTGTACCACCAAGGCGGGTCGTATTGCTCATCCAGAAAGTCGTTTGTGTGAAACTCGTCGATGGTCATCTGGGCGGACGGGACATTCGCAAACTCGTCCATGCGGATTTGGAGGGTGTGGGTGGTGACCTTGGCGATGTAGACGACTTCTCGGACGGTGCGGCGGTAGCTGTGAGCTCTGGCAGCCATAATGATGGCGGCGCCGCAAATACCCGCGGGCCGGCGACCGTGGGTCATATGGTCCTTCTGCATCCGGTGCGCGATCCGTACCGCCGACAGGGCTACTTTGTTGGTGTCGCCGTAGAACTCGAGCTTCGAAGCGAAGCGCCAGATGAGATCCTCCAGGATGATGGGGTTCGGCCCCTCTTTGACCTCGGGAAACTTGGCGATGAAGGCCTTGTAGTTCCGGCCCAGCTTGAAGACGTTTTCTTTGCAAATGTCGGCGAGATCGATCAGCATGATCTTGCAGTTTTGCTCCTTGCGGCACGCGGCATACAAGCACATGGCGACAACGTTGGTGATTTTGCGACCCTGCACGAAGTTGTTCATGGCGGCCATCCTGTACAAGCGGAAGCCACTCTCGGCCAAGGCCGGAGAGAGGTTGAGCCGGTGGACATACTGCTGCATGAGAGTCTTGGCCTCTTTGAGTGAGCGCTCGCGAGCCTCGCCGGCACCGCTGCCAGCAACGCGGCGGAAGGCAGGGCCGCCGACAGTGCGGACACCGCCTTGATCAGCACCGAGGAAGCTGCCCTGGACGACTGCGGCACCAGAGGAGTTCTCGCCGAACTGAATCTCGGAAACGATGTTGCTGTCATCGGCAACACGGCCACAAGTCTGGCATGTCCCGTCAACGACGTTGGGGTTTGGACAAGCCTTGTTGGGACACTGAAGGCCTGAACCGGTAGCGCGAGCCGGGCCGGACATTGCCGAAACCGACGAAGCCCTGGCAGCCGCAGCGGAGTTTTCTCTCACACGCTGCTCTCTCTCCATGATCTGGCGGACGGCATTCGGTCGCCGCATAGCCTTGGCTTTGGAGCCGGGAGCTGTGAGCTTCTTGGGAAGCTTCGCAAGGGAAGCCATGGTAGCATAAACCGACGGATTGGTGTTTCTGATATTCTAGATATTGAATGATGGGGTGTGGTGAAGCTTCCACCTTCGTGGCTTGAGAAGTAAGTAACCCAAGCCGGCGGCAGTGGGAGGCGGTGGGAGCGTCGTCCCCAACCAGGCTGCCTGCTAGCTAGGCTGGGACAGTGGGATTGATCGATTGATGGAAACTTCTCTTCTCTTCCTTTGGTATGAACGGGTAGCTGGAAAATCGACCGAGTCTTAAACTGTCGAAGTATGTTATGCCATTGGATGATAGCGAAGGGAGTGAAGCTGCATGGGGGATAATGGCTGCGGCGGCAAATCGGTGATGAATTTTTGGAGGGGACCAGAGAAAAGGCGGGGTGGTCAAGTGGGAATGGTGGGCGTCGAAAAAAGATTCGCAGTGAATAACGCTAGGGCACGAGCCACATCTAGAAGTGACTCAGCAACGTGACGGAGCCACGGGGTTCAAATTCAGTCGGGATCAAATTTTAATAATGAAAAGGTTATCCATTTTTGCTCGCGTTGCAACAGTTAGAGTTAAATTTACGACTGAGTATTTTAATTTTTCCACTTAAAACCCTTTTTCAAGCTTCCAGATGACAGCCTAAGGACGACGGTGGAAGTCACGTGATGCACGGCTCCGCCTGATGAGCACTAGGCACCTATTATCGCGGCATCTTGAACAGCACTGGTGAGTCAGAAGTGGACCATAGATTCCAGGTGACGGATAGCCTGTCCTCTAACTGAGAGATCTATTCAGTACACCGTTTCAGTCCACCGTTCTACGATCTTCGACGCGTGCTTGGCTCATCCGGTAGGTCGGCCCGACACAATCAAAATTCCCCGCCATGCCTCGTATCATTGACTTGGGTGAGGGGCAGCCAAGGGGGCTGTCTCCCCCACTTCTGTCCTTCTGCCAGCTGTGTTCCCATATAAGAAGAGACGGAAGTATAAAATGTAGGCCAGACAAGATAGGTAGGGCGTAAGAGAGCGTACGTAACAAGAGTCAACGCCAAGAAAGACAAAACAGCAACAACCATGACCATCATCAGCATCTCCGCCGCTCCTGGCAGCGACATCTGGCGAAAGCCACCCCAAACCAACATCTTCAACGGTGAATATAACCCCCATCCTCCCTTCTCTCCCCACCCCCTTCCAAGCCAACCCCAACTGACCTCCCACAGCACCAACCAACACCCCATCCTCACCATCCCGCGCCATCGGCCCCCTCCCCTCCTTCGTCTCCGCCCGCCTCTCCTTCTCCTTCGCCTGGTCCGTCCAGTACGACCAAGCCGGCCTCCTCCTCTCGCTCCGCAAGAAGGGCTCCTCCGACACCGCCGCCCCGCCGACAAAGTGGATCAAGACCGGCGTCGAGTTCTACGACGGGACCCCCCGCCTATCGACCGTGGCCTGCGACGCCTGGGCCGACTGGAGCGTGGGGCCGCTCGAGCCCGACGCCAGCGGCGAGACGGAATGGACGACGGTGTCGGTCGAGCGCGCCGGCGACCATCACGGCGCCAGCCTGTGGGTGTATCGGGTGCTCGCTGACGGGACCAAGGTGCCGCTGCGGGAGGTGTGCTGGGTGTACGGCGGCGGGACCGGCGCGGACGCGCCGGCCGAGTGGGAGGTGAGCGTCGAGGCGTTTGCGGCCCGGCCGGCCCCGGATGCAGCGGCGGGGGAGCTGGTGGCTAAGGTTAAGGATTTTGAGGTCAAGTGGGATGATGAGTAGGGGGATATCACGGGGACACAGTAATGGGGTTGTCGTGTCACCACATTCACGAGGGAAGAGGCGGAAACAAGAAAGTGAGGTGGCCGAATCTCCCATTACCTAGCCCCTCAAACGGGCGTAGAGCCAACGGGGCCGCGGAACCGCCGTCCATTTGGGGACGGCGAGTCTCACGGCCGGATGAAGTAGAGTTCATCAAGAAGTCGTCGTCATCATCAGTCATTACAAATGAGTGATCACCAGCTCGTTGTGCGCTAGCGAGAAAAGAAACCACCATGCAGGCCCAAAATTCTGCTTACGAAGTCCAGACATCACCATCCCTTGGGGGAGTGTATACACCCCCCGTATCTTTTTTCCGCCTGACAAAGGAAAACTGTGTGTGTGTGCGCGCAAGAGATGCGATGTACGGCAGCGAAGGGGGAAAGGTCGCGCCAGCCTGTGGTGTCGGTTCGTTTTTCCATCCTCTTCCTCCCTGCACTGCTCGTTCGTGTTCCAGTCTGAGGGGTGTGAATCCAGTTGCCTTCCTGTTTTTCCCAAACGCCGGTGAAGGTGTCAGTCAAAACAGAGATTTCGCCGAAACACCCAAAGGAGAGAAACCAAAGCAGAATTAGGAACAAAAAAGACCAGTGGGCTGAATTTTTTTTTCTTTTTTTTTTCGAGATGGGAATTTGTCGAAGAGTGGCGGTGCGGCGTGTTGTTGCTTTGTCGGTTTTGGGACGGGGAGGGATGAGGTGGGAAGCTGTGGTTTCCAAGCTTATGCTTCGCCTTTTTCCCTGGTGTTGCTTTTGCTCCCTGTGATGATTCGACCAGCGAACTTTGACCAATCTGATGCATCGCGGAAAGACTAGACAAAACAAACGCCAGTTCCAACGGTGAGATAAAGCAGTCCAACATCCAGAATGATCGCAGTAGGGAATCGAGCGAGAAAGAAACCATGTAGGAGAGCAGTAGAGGGGACGGGTAGCACGTATCCTCCTGCCCATGTTCTTCGTGTATCGGTATTAAGATCCCCCCTCTCACCCCATAAACTCTTGCATCAGAAAAGGTCGGCCAACCTCGCGAGAAGTGAAGATCGTTCAAGTGAATGAATCATCTCCCAAATGGTGTTCCAATCTGATGAAGAATTCGGGAGCATGTAAACGAGAAAAAGAACCCAGGACCCCAACGAACGAAGAAAGCATGGAAGACAGCAAGCAAGAACTCGGGAACCCCGTCGTATCCGCAAATCCAAAATTTAAATCAGGCCCATAGCGATCCCAACATGCGCCTATAGAACACCAGAAACCCGCTCGTGCGTTCTAGTGGCAGACCAACCGGTGCCGAGGCACCGGACGGAGCCCGTCAGATGGTCTTGGGCGTGCGGGCGTTGCTCGCCTCAATAACATCGTCGAGGTGGTTGCACATGGCGACGAACAGGTCGAAGAACAGCTTCCCGCCGGCCTCGCCGTACACGCCGGCGCCGCTCTTCTCCATCTCGGCCTGCATGGTGCCGCTCCGCTTGAAGGTCTTGCGGCACCTTATGATGAGTGCCAGGTAATGGGCGCGCAGGCGGCTGTCCGAGTCGGGGGTGTGCGCGTAGCAGTACTGGGCACTGCGGAGGATCGTGCCGACATCAATGCCGGACTGCAACCCTTGCTTCCGCAGCGCCAGACGCTTCAGCTCCTCCAGCCCGTAGCGGTCCGCGGCACAGTAGATGACTGTGTCGCGGAGTAGATGCTGGTCTACGCTGGAGAGATACACGGTCGCCTCGACAGCCGAACTTGTCTGGGGGCTCTGGCCTGCGCGGCCGCCTCCCATTTTGGGGGAGTCGTGGATCGTCGGGGAGGACTGGGCAGTGGCCCGACGGGGGAGCGCGTCCTCGAGTTCCCAAGAGTTCCGGTGCTTGTTGTGCAGCAAGCGGGGGTAGTAGTCACCCTTGTAGAGGTACTCGAGAACAGCGCTGAAAACCTCTGGCTCCTCTTCCGGGAGCGCGATCCTCTTGCTCTGCGCCTCGAAGTAGTTGCCGTGCAGGATCCTCTCGAAAAAGGGGGCCTGGCACAGCACGTCCTCGTGCGCTGCAAACAGTCGCCCTTCGGCGCCGACCGTCAGGGTGACGATGGGCGCAGGGGCGAGGGCCTTGTCACTCAGCCTCGCCTGCTGTTGCATGCGCGAGGCCTCCTCGCCCGTGAGCGACCGTTGCAGTTTCGACAGCTTCTGGGGGTCCCGCACGGAGCCCGTGCCCTTCTTCATCAGCCTCGCAGACTTGTCCACGCGGTGTTGCGAGTCCATTGGCGCCGCCGTGACCTCCCGCTGGGAGGGGGCAGCGTCGCGGGACCGGAACGATCGCTTGAACATTATATCGACTGCGGAAATGGCGGGAGAGCTCGATGAAGAGGTTTCGGGACTCGGACTCGAGACGCGCGGAACGGGGGCAAGAAAGGGCAGCAAAATCGGGGGATTAGGCCACCTGCTTTATTCCTGCTGATTTGTCGAAGCGAGTGATGCGAAAAAGAGCGTAAGGCCGTCTAGGCAGACGACGCTGAGAAGACCAGAAATGAGAGAAATGAGAGATAACGCACAAAAGAGAGATTGACGGGGTCCGGGCGGAGATATCTCTAATGAACAAGTCTTCGAGATACTCCAGCGACAACTTTGCGACCCTTTCGGTTGTGTGTGTGGGGGGGAGGAGAGAAAGAAGGAAAAAAGCAATGAGAAGTGGGAGGGGAAGAGTATTTATGTTCTCCCCAATTCAGCAGGCCGGGATGCGGTTGGCTGGGTTGCCCAGGCATGGCTTGTTGTGGCGGGCGTAAGTCAGTCAGGCTGACATTTTGTGTCGCCATCAGCAAACGCGCCAGATGACGAGGCATTGGGCAAATTGGTGTCGATGGCGACTTGCGTGGCGCTTCAGATCTTCCTGTAATTCAAACATGGAACCTAGGTATGCTGCGATTCATCAAACGATCGGGCCCTGGAGGCTGGGCCCGATCTTAAACTAGGTACAGATTAGATCCCGTCGTCAGCGGAGAATAAAAACAGGCAGCCACGCACGCGTGAGGCCAGATTGGGGGGCCATGTCAGCAACCTCGTGACCTGCCACACCTGCCAGCCGGGCATGTCGCAGCCCAGCAGAGCCTGAGATAAGGTGTGTACTGTACATACCTTAGGTAGGAGGGACCGGACCTTACCCTAACATCCGTCTCCAGCCTGACTGTTGCAGTGCAGATTGCATCAACATTAACTCTAGGTACCTAGACAGCGTTGTTGACCAATCGGTTCCTTGCTTGTCGACGCCCATCCAAGATAGCAACGACCGAGAGAGGCGACATCGACACCGTGGCTCGTGAGAGGCGGTGACGTGCCTGGTTTCGACTCGCACGCCAATCCCTGAGAAGACTCACAGTTGGTCGTCTGATGCTGTTAAAGGTTCCAGAGCTGTCATCGGAAAATGGCAGTTCTGCGAGTTCTGGCCAACCCCGCCAATTCGCCCTGGTTTTCGGGTCTGCTTGGGTGTTATTGATTCGCATTGATCCGCTCCACAATACGGCAGGCGGGTCAGCCCTGTAGAAGGCTGCCGGCTCTGGCCCCTACTGTGGTATGCCGACAGCCCGAAACACCACACTCTTGGTCGCCTACCTCGCCAGCCTCAACGTATTCTCGACTTGTTTGGCATATCTGCGCGAACAGCCAGGCACCTGCTCTGACTCCCCTTTGCAACTCTTAACTGCCGTCGTTGGGTTCAAAATTGTTACTCGACGTTGGTCATCTAGGTCGGTCGATAATAATGTGCTACTGCGTGTATCACGAGCCGGCGCTATCGACGCCGTCCAAAAAAAGATCACTCCGCCCCCTTACCAGAAATTGTCGAGGATCGCGACCCCTGTCTTGCGCCAGCACTCTGATTCGTGACCTGGTCGACTGCGGTGGGGACGGGGGGCCAAATGAACTAGTCTAGGTAAACGAATCTTGGCCAGGCACCCTTAGATCTTTCCTCTGGGCTGTCATTCCCACCGCCGTCGTACCTGATTTTGATTTTTGCTTTCTCTTGCGATCCGTGCAAGACGCGCCATTGTCCTTCGTTTCTCACACTCGTTCCTTGCATTTTACGGCTGCCCCAAATTGCCGTTTCTGCGTTTTCAAGTGTCTTTATTGCAAGCACTTGTTCGTTCGTTAGTTTTGCCATCTCGCGTTCCCGAGATAGATCGGGCTGCCCAGAAACCATACCATGGACCCCAACGCCCCGACAGAGACGACGCCGCCTCAGCAACCACCGCCAGCGCAACAGAGAGACCAGATGCAAGCCCAGCCGCAACAAGTGCAGCAGTATCCTCTTCAGCAAGGCCCGTATGCAGGTCTCCAGCAAGGCCCGTATGCCTCCCAGCCAGGCCAATATGGCCCCCAGCAGGTCCCGATTCGGGCTTCGGACATGATTCCCTTCAGCAAGCCATGGCATACCGCCAAGATTGTGCTCGGAACCATATCCCTGGTCTGCTGCATCATCATCTACGGCGTCGGCATCTACTCCCTGACCATCCACTCCTACTATTATGACGAGGGTTATCGGTTTTCCCTCGCCGGCGCTGCGGTAAGCTACTCGTCGAACAAACGCACCCCCCACTGTTCTAGCGGCTGACCATGTTTGTCTCTCCCAGGCCGGCCTTGCACTTGTCTGGCAATGTGCCGAGTTCATTACCATTTGCGCCTCATCAAAGCATCGTGGCATCCATCCCGGTGCAAACGTCGCCCTGCATCTCGTGATATGGATCCTGTCCGCCTTGGCCGTCGCCTTCGAGACCATGTTGGTGGTCATTGGAGGGGGTTACTATGACATTGACACCGACGAGCGATACGCGGCGCTGGAGGCGGCTATCCTGGCCTTCCTCTGCATCCTGCTCATCGTGCACTTTACCCTCTTCGTCCGCGCCTGCGTCGAGACCCACCAGTACAACAGCGTCTCCAGGACCGTCTATGTGCCCATCTCCATGGTCCCGCCGAGTTACAACTACTACCCTGTGGCTCCGCAGCCGCAGCAGCCCATGGTCCAGATGACCGTCCCGCCCCAGCAGGGCCAGCAGCCGCAGATGGTCGCCGCGCCCCAGCACGCCCATCTGTACGGCCACTACGCCCCTGTGTATACCCCGAAGGGCGCGTCGGTAGACTCGACACCGAGTCCCCCGCCGCAGGGCCAACCCGGGCCGCACAGTGTTAGCCCGGTGACGAGCAGTGTTTAGCAGTGAAAAGGGCAGGACAAGGGACTTTGGAAAAGCCTGCGGTAGATTTTGGGCTATATTTGCACATCCTTGGAGTATCTGTTACGGACATTTAGCTGCGGGAAAGTTTGGGAGCCGATGGCCACAGTTGGAGTGCGAAGAACCACAATCACCCTCGACCTCTTTCGCTCTCCCTGTGTGTGTGTGCTTTCATTCCGCCGGGAGACTTTCGTCGTTCGCTTGCATGGCGCTTATTGTGTTATTTCCCCCGGGATTTCTAGTGGTCGTTGGACACCCCCTATCTAATGAGGACAGAGATGGAAGCGTTGCTCGTATACTTGGTGGATGATACCCAGCCGGACCAACGGCATCCTTAATACCATAATACGTTTATTTTGTCCTATGCCATGCCTTAAACAGCCGTGAACTCCCCGGGCAGTATGAGACTATCGAGACCCGGTTACTCTTTGGCAGTTGGTGGCCGAGGTCATCACCACAACCAGGGTTATTACTAAATGCCTCTTCCTACAAGCTAACCTTCGATCGTGCAGGTCAGGCCTCCGGCTAGATGTTAGGGGTAAGTAGGCTACCCACAGTCAGAGAGAGGAAGAGGGGTGAGAAGGCAGGTAGTAATTGGCAGGCGCGAGGATTTATTGTATATGAAACTGGCCTCTTAGCCCTGTGCTATATTTTAACGGACGGATTCATCAGATAGCATTTCTGAAGGTTAACCTTGAATCTATCTTGTCTTGCTATACTTGCGGGATTCTTAGTCTATCAGTACAACCCAGAAGGTGCGGTATCCCATCAAAGCACCAACTGTCGGATTGCGGGAGTACCAAATGTGGCGACCTTGAAACAGACATCTCGATACAGTCGAGAGAGAGTTGTGGTTTATCAACTCCTAGGACTGGTTTTCTCTACCAGGGTTCGGCCTACCTTCTGCCTCCCAAGGTCCTGAACAACCTGGACCAAAACCTCCTGCTGAACCTGGCATGTCAAAGTCCAGGCAATGGGTCATCGTGCGGATGGGCATTAATCCAGACATTATTCCTGTTGCATGCATTTATAGCGAAGCGCCTGAATCCAGTTAGCAATCTTACCCAACCCCAAAATGGCAAAAGGAGCTACATACCTGCTCAGCCGTCGCCCTCCCACCACCATACCTCACCAACGCAGCCACCAGCTCCCTCCACTCGGGCTCCACACCAGGCAAGATCTCCTCCCACCCCCTCCCCTCAAAGACCTGATACATCTCAAACGGCGGGGTCCTGAGCCCCACAGCCTCAGGCCAGGTCTCGCGGGTGGGCGATCCGAGGGTGCGGAAGATGCTCAGGATCAGCCCGAGCTGGCTGCCGTCCTCGTGGGCGGCGCGGGACTCGAACAGCGGGCGGCGCAGGAGGCACTCGGCCAGGGCGGCGCCGGCGGCCCACATGTCGACGGCGGGGCCGTAGGACGCGTCGCCGAAGAGCGCCTCGGGCGCGCGGTAGGCGCCCGTGCCGATGTCGAGGATCTTGCGGTCGGGGGGCTCGGTTGCGCGGGAGAGGGTCGGGTGCCAGGCTGTGCCGAAGTCGGAGAGGTGGGCTGGGCCGGAGGGGGTGGCGAGGAGGATGGCGGAGGGCTTGATGTCGCGGTGAATGATGCCTTGGGTGTGGATGTGAGTTAGGGCGGTGAAGAGGTCGGTGAAGATGCTCCGGATTTGTAGGTATGAGAGTGGACCTTGCTCGATGAGTGTGGCGAGGCTGAGGGGCATGTATGGGAAGACCAGGACGAACCGTTGCTCCTGGTCTCTGAATGTCTCGAGCAGGGGGATACACGGCCTCTTCAGGAGCTGGAGAATCTTTGCTTCTCGATGGGGATTGTGTGGCTCCATGTTGCTGGTCTCGACGATGACTTTGAGGGCCCGGTCTTGACACCGGTAGACCTCGGCGGTTACGCCGCTGGCAACATATGAGCAACCCCGGTAGAGGCCAATTCTCGTCCCGCCGCCTGCATGTATGGCATCATTGGCCGGAATAGAGGAGGAGCTTGGCTCAGGAGGCTCAGGGGGCACAGAAGCTACTGAGTTGCCATGGAGGTCACAAGCTGCGTCGTATTGCTCCTGAACCGGGCAACCAGTCAGCTACCAAAAACGAAACATCAACTGCCATTATCTTACACGGTTGAGAGAAGACTTGTATGCGTCGTTTTCGACCGTAAATGCACTTTGGCTCGAACTAGAGCCAGTCAAAGCCCGCTGGCTGGCCAGACGACCACATCAGCAAACGCAACGGGGCCACTGCGGAACCACTACGGCAAACCCGGGATGGGCGGAAGGGTCACCAACATTCTCTGGACGTTGTCATATCGCTGCGAGGCTGTGAGCGAGCTTCTCCAATCAGTTGGGCTGGCCATTTCGAGCCAACGTCATCATGATCTAGGGGTTCGTCAGGTTAGTGCATTGTTGGGAGATACAGGCTTCTCTTCCTCTGAAGAGTAGCTAGGTTACATATCTTTCTGGGAAGAATAACATGGATGTTGTGGCAAAGAGCCACGAGTTCTTTCGTTCTCAGAGCTGAAGCCGACCAAACTACAGTAGGTACTTCTCTGCTGCTTATATTCCCAATTTGCTGCGCAAGAACGAGCAGCAGTTCAAGAATAGAATAGTGTGGGGTTATGCAGCATCTGGGGTGGTCTGAGCACAGTGGAGCCTCAAGCACTGCGTGGGTTGACAATACATTAATAAGACCGGAAGACAGGGATGGCTGGCCGAAGTTGGGAGCTCCCGTGACATAGCCAGGCTTGGATTGACTTCTGGTTTTGGGATGCGACTGCGGGCCTCTCTCCTCGATCGACAACATTCAATTGCTTCCTTCCCCACTGCATAAACATTGCCTTTCGGCTGCTATCTTTCCTCTCATTTCTTAGCCATTGGGCTTTCCCTGTATCCATACTGCTATGTGTAGACTTCAGTCTCATTCCATTGCCGCATAGTTGCGCTTTGCTATTCCGTCGCCATGGACGACCTCTCGCGGTCCGAGTACCCAGCCATGCTGGTAAGTTCGACCCTCTCCTGCCCTGCCCAATTCCAACGGGGAGAGACATTGGCAGTTACTTGTTCCTGAATCGGCTAACCAGAGTTTGTTCTCTCTCCAATCCAGGCTAGCCTCCAGTCGGGCCAGGCAGCTCAAGCTCTCTCCGATCGAGTCAAGCGAATCTCCCGGGTGAATCAGGAAATCGCAGATTGGCTACAGGTAAGATGCTGCTTCTGGGCATGCGGCCGCGCATCTGGGGGAACGCAGACTGAGCGATAAATCCAGGAGCGCCGGAGGGTCGAAGAGCTCTATGCTAGCGGCCTTCGAAAGCTCCTGCTCTTCAAGGTGCCTAGTGCGCAGTCTGAACTCGGGTATGTGTGCCCCCTGATATCTGATCGTGCAGCTCTCGCATGCCTGCTAAACGCGTCGTTCGTCCCAGTGTATTCCAATCGCCATGGGACAAGATCCTCCACTCCGTCGATGCCATCGCCGCCTCCCACCACCTCTTTGCGCAGAGGATCGAGAAAGATGTCGAGCATGCTCTGCGGGGGTTCCAGAACAAGAGGGAAATGCAGAACATGCAAACCATCGGCGCGAACCTCCAGACGATGGCGAGGGAGCTTGACGAGGCCCAGGACAAGTCCGACAAGCTGACCAAGAAGGGCGGTAAGGCGAACGCTCAGAAAGTCGATCAGGTGACCTCGAGGCTCGAGTCCGCAACCCAACAATGGGAATCCCAGGCACCCTTCATCTTCGAGACCTTACAGGCCCTCGACGAGCAGAGAGTCAATCACCTGCGTGACGTCTTGACACAGCTGGAGACGCACGAGGTGGACCAGGCTGCGCGAACCCAAGCTGCCGCTGAAGAAGTATTGAACACGATGCTGGAGGTTAATACGAGCCAGGAAGTACAGAATTTCGTGCAGCGGACGATTGCGGGAAAACCCAAGCTGGAGAGACGAACGCCGGCGGCGACAAGGCAGAACAGTGTCGTTGCCCCTTCCGCCCTCTCGCCTCCGACCACGGCTGGCCACGAGGACGATGTGAGTGACCATTCGGGGACGAGGGACGGGCAATTGCCAGACTCGTCAAAATTGCGAAGCCGGATTGGGACCATGTTCGGGCGAAGGCGGCAGAGCATCCATGGGGGATTCGGACCAATATCACCGCAGAAGAACATGGGCAGCTTTACGAGGAGCATTGGCAGCAGCCACGGCAGAGCAATATCCCCGCGCGGGTCCTCGCACAATCTTGCCGACTCGAGCCATCGACTCTCGTCCCTCGCCGAGAGCCCCACGTCTGCGCAACCGCCCGATACGTCTGATGGCAAGCCGAAGCCTTCGCACGAAGGTACCAATGGGGTGACGGGTGGAGATGACGCTGCACCTGTCCAGTCTTCCTTGAACATGCTCAATGGCACTGCCGAAGATATCTTCGATGCGCCGCCGCCGGCCGCCGGACCTCAGCCCACTGAACAGAACAATAACCAGGAAGCCGTCAAGGATGCCGAGGGATACACCGTTCCGGCGCCCCTAAACGACCCTATTACGCAGGCGCAGAAGGAGGCCGCAGCTGCGGGAGAGGAGGCTGACCGGTTCTTCAAGCTGAACATCCAGAAGGAGCCCGTGTCTGAGGAGGATCCCGATGCGAAAAAGGCGGCGCTGTCCAACGTAGCGAACACGCTGACGCAGATGGGCATGCCAAGCCGGAGCAATACGATGAGGGGCCGGAGAGACGTTCGCAACACGATATACATGCCCAGCTTGCCCGTTCCCGAGCCGACTTCAGAAAATCCCTTCCCGCCATCACCGGCATTGCCTAGCTCCACCTCACGGCCCTTGGCTGTTTCCGCCCTAGCATCGGAAGCCAGCATCGCTGGGACATCGGATACGCAGTCGGTACGATCCGGCATATCTCTCGGCAGCCTCACGCAGCACAAACACCCCGAGATGTACGGGCCGGGGTTGAATGCTTCGATAATCGAATATGTGTCGGCGTCGTTCGATGGCGGTGAAGTGAAGGACGCAAGGATCAATGGCGAGATTGCCTTCTCGTATAATGCGGATCCAACCTCTAGTATCCCAGGTGAGTTGACTGGCTTAGTGGTCGAAAGCCCCCTTGATAAAACGGACATTCTGACATCCCCCTGCGTTCAAGATCACGAAACAATTCGCATAAACAACTTCCCAGTTCTCGCTGCCATCGGACCAAACCGTATCGTGGTCAACAACACCCCCTTCCCCGATGAGTTCACGTTGGATTTGACCCACCTCGCCAAGCCATCGCCATCCTTCACCTACCGCGTCCACGCCGAAGATGCTTCCAGCTCCCTCGCATCGCACTGCCCGCTGGTCATCAAGCCGACGTGGAAGCCGGCGGGCGACAAGCTCGGCCTGCTGATTCAGTACCGGCTCAACCCTGACAGCAAGGTGCCGAGGCCGGCGACGCTCAACAACGTCATCATCTTCGCGACCTACGAGGGCGCGCGGGCGAGCGGCGCCCAGAGCAAGCCGGCCAGCACACACCTCAAGGACAAGCACGTCGTCTACTGGCGCCTCGGCGACGTCACGCCGACCGACGACTGGTCCAAGATCGTGTGCCGCATCATCGGCGAGCAGGGTGGCGAGCCCGCGCCCGGCCACGTCGAGGCGAGGTGGGAGTACGCCGCGCCCGCCTCCGCGGCGGCCGGGATCGGGAGCGGCATCTCGGTCTCGAGGCTGGTCGAGGGCAAGGGCAAGGGCAAGGCCGTGATCGAGGAGGAAGAGGACGAGGAGGAAGGCGGAGACCCCTTCGCTGACGAGAAGGGTTCCGTGTCGCCTGCGCTGAAGGACGATACCAGGACCTGGGCTGACGTGCTTGTGGTGCGCAAGTTGGCGTCTGGGAAGTACGAGGCCAAATGAAAAGGGATTGGAGGGGATGACCTCCGAAGGTGTGAAGCTGGAGATGAATGATATGGATACCTGTACCTATGTTTTGATTGTCCAATTTGTCCGCCTTGCTCGGGACCTGAAGTTTGTTTTGGAGGGATCTTCTTTTTCGTTTTGCTTTTTACCTTCTGCTAGCAGAGCAGATGGATGTTCTCTGCCATTGTATAGCAAACTGGAGCTGGAAAGTTCAGCTTGTCTTTGTCAGATTCAGAAAGTTACGACCAAATTTGATGGGAATATATCAAAATCCTGAGCCAATAGAGTGCAAGAGTTAATTAACCCACTGTTTCCATTCATGGATTGATTGATACTTTTTGCTTCATGGGGGTTCCACCTCGCCGTTCTATGCGTATGTACAGTACAGTATAATATCCCCCAAACCGACAAGGATGTAACACCAAGGTTGGGGGAAAGGCCTTTCCAACAGCCCAAGTTCCCCAGCTACCTACCCAGCCTTCTACACCCTAGCCCCAACCTCAAACCGGCCTCGCGGCCCTCGTGTGCTCCTCGTAAAACTCGAGCGTCAGCGCGGCCAAGAAGCAAGGAACGCAGCCCCTCTCGCGGACCCAGAACTTGATATTGTCGGCGATGCGCTGGGCAAAGGGGCTGCGGGGCCCGCCGCCCACCTTCATGGTCCCCCTCTCGCCGTCGAAGACGATGCTGTTTTCGTGCTCGTCCGTGGCCGAGGGCAGGTAGACCGACTCGACGCGCATCTTGCCGTTGGGGATGAAGGTCACCGTCCACCCCAGCGTGCTGAAGATGGCTTCCTTGAACTCGCCGCTCTTAGACGCCCACACCTCCTTAAGCCGCCGCGCCGACTTGTGCGCCGACGCCGTCTCCGCACGGGCCGACTCCACCTCCCGCCGGGCGGCCTCGAGCTGCGAGGCCGGCACTGTCGCGAACGGGCTAGACGACGACAACGACGAGGATGACCGTTGGTGCTGCTGCTGGAGCTGCTCCAGGTGGGCCAGCAGCTCGGCGTTCTCGCGCTGCAGGGCCCGCAGCGTGTCCGCCTTGACGGCCTCGTAGTCCGACGTCGGGTTCGACCGCAGCGCGAGGACGCGAGTCTTGTCCCGCTCCCGGGCCGCGGCGAGCTGGCCCGCCGCGACGGACTGCTCCCTCTGCAGGAGGGAGTGCGCCCTCTGGAGGGTCGACAGCTCGTCCTGCAGTTTGCGGTTCTTGCGCGCCAGCTGGCCTAGCTGCTCGTGCTGGTCCTCCCCCGCGCCGTCGTCGTCGTCGGGCCTGGGCCGCTTGCCGCCGGCTGTGGCTGCGGTAGGTGGGCTGGTAGACGACGATTCGATCGAGGTGAGCTCCGAGTGCAGGTTTTGCACCTCCTCCCTGTATTTGTCTACGAGGTCCTCCAGCTCCTGGATCCGGTCGCTCTTCTTCTGGTCGAAGCTCTCTGGCTGGTGGGTTACGTCCTCGGTGTCGAATGTCTTGAGCTGCGCGCGTAGATATTCGACCTCCTTGATGGCGAGGACTCTTTGTCTGTCGACGCGGATCCTCGCCTTGTCGGCGGCGGCGGAGTTCGACGTAGTCCTCAACTTCTCCATCTGCTCCCTCAGGCTGGCCCTCTCCCGCTCCAGCGTCTGGATGATGTTGTCGCGGTCCGCGATCTCGGGCTGCAGCCCGCCGAGCTTCTCGACAAGGGACGCGCTGTTCAGGCGCTCTTGGACGAGCGCCCTCGCCATGGCTTCTGGTGAGTCGAACTCGAGTGGCCCGTCCGCGCCCGTCTCGCTCTGCAGATAGGAAGCCCATGCGAGTCGCTCGTCTTCTAGTCTCTGCCGTTGTCGCCTTTCTTCGGCAAGTTCTGTCTGTACGGTTTCGGCAACCTCCAGCTGCCGCTGCAGCGACATCTTTTCCTCTTCGACAATCTCCACAGCCTTGTGGACCTGGCGCAGGTGTTTCAGCTCCGTGAGCTGCTCTCGATTTGCCGCCTCCAACGTCCGGATGTGTGTGACCTGGTCCGTCAGCTCCCTTCGAATGACAGCTATCGTCTCGGCATCGCCGGTCTGCGCCTTCAGCCGTAGGACATCGGCCTCGAGATGTGCCACGGTCCCGTCCCTCTCCGTCAACCGCTCCTGCGTCTTCTGCAGCATCGCCTCTCTAGACTGGGCGTCCTGCTCAAGCTCCTGGACCGTCCTCTGCACGGACGCGAGCTGGCCCTTTAGCTCCTTGACCTCCCTGTCGGCCATGCGTGACGCGTCGTCCTTGGCAGCGCTGAGATCCTCCAGCTGCTCCTGCAGCACGCGCGCCTCCTCCTCTGCATCCCGGGCCCGCTTGTCTAGCGTCCTCCTGAGCGCGTCCTGCTCCGTCCGCAGCGCCTCCAGCTCGGCACTCAGGGCCTCGGCCTGGCGCAGCGCCCGCGCCTTGTCGGCCTCGGCGGCCTGCTTGCTCTTGAAGTCGTCGTCGGCGCGCCGCCGGGCCTCGCGCAGCTCGTTCTCCTTCTCTAGTGCGGTCATCTCCTTCTCCTGCTCGTAGTTTCGCATTGTGTAGCGCAGTGTGCCGAGCTCGGCCTTGAGCTCCTCGATCCGTCGCCGCTGGGTCTCGTACTCCTCGGCGTCGGCGGGCGCGTGGTTCTCCTTGCTGCTCTCGCGTGAGAAGTTGGTGCCGACGGTGCCGGCGCGGCCGCGGGGTGGTGGTGACGGGCCACCGCCGGCGAGGCTGTGGCGCGAAGGCGGGGCGGCCATCTGAGTGGTGGTGTTGCGCGTCTCGCCGGTGAAGAAGTTGAAGGATGGTTGGGTGTTTGTCGCACGCGTGCTACCTATCTATCATCCGTTTTGTTAGCTGGAAACACTACACAAATCGAGAGCTCCTTCGCAATTGATCGGGGTTTCAAAGGGAGGCCGCTGGAGGTCTTGTCTTTGTTCGGATTCTCTAACTCACCCTTGACTCTCGAAGCGAGGTTTGTGGACGAGGGAGGCCGCTCCCGATGCTGGATCGGAAACTATTGTTCCCAGTAATAGAATTTCTCCTGGCACTCCCTGGGGGATCGCCGCCCTGAGGCGTGTGTGCCCGCATTTTGGTCAGTTTGTGGTCAGAAACGCGTTGCTTGTCTCGGTTGGGGAGTCGTGGGATCCAAACAGAGCTTCCAGCTGCCAGCCTACTGTGTATGTAGATCGTTGCCAGACGAGTCACGTGATCTGGCCGAGTGCAGCAGGGGGAGGAACCGCACGTTTCTTTGTTATACTGCCAAATTCTTGCTCCTTTTCAATGATCTGGACTCGACTGAGCCCTAACCTAGATTTGACTTTGCTTTTCAGGTTGATCAGGGTCATAATCCGATTGTTAGGATCAAAGGTTGGTACATAGCTAGGCAAACGCAATGAGTGCACCCACACTGACATGCTAATAAACCGGATGCACCACTAACACAGCTCCTGTAAGTCTGTTCCTACATAGTACATGTAATGTACTATGAGATGCTTTGCAGACAGCAAACAAAAGAAATACACAACTTGATACCTATGCAACGACAGTCCAGATCGACAGCATATGCCAACCAATGACCATAACCAATGCCTTCCAGTCTTGGTTGACCCCAACAAGGTGTGGCTGAGGTTGCAGGTTGTCGATGGGGGGCGGGTCTAGAGCTCAAGGTCTGTGCCACAACTATCCCTGTTCAGTGATGTCGTTGCGGCTTGCAATTTTATCCTTGCAGGGCGGGAGCTGCCCAGCTCTGAGCTTCCTAGCTTCCCATCTTTCAACATTCTCACCCCATCTCCACCACACATGGATCGCAAAGAAAGATAACTCCTCTGCAGCGCCCGCTGCTTTTCCTCCCTCCACCCTATCTTCTCCTTCTACCATCCTCCCGCAAAATCCACAATTCTACCGCGCATTCCAAGCCTTCGCAATGGCATCTCGCATAGGCGCAGCCCGCATGGTAAGCTTGCATTTGGTTACTCGGCTCGGACGTCATAGCTAATTTGAGCTCAAATCCAGGGCTCGGCGGCCGTGCGAAGGCTCTCGACGAGAAACACCACGCCCTGCCCGTTCTCTGCTTATCGGATCTCCCTCCCTCCTCGTCACCTTCTTCTTCGAACTTTCGCAACCGACTCCAGCGGTTCCTCAAATGACCTCCTCCCCAACAACCCGAAGGAACGCCCAAGGGAGAAGGCGGCGACCGGATCAGCGGCGGAAACTGCTTCGAATGACTCCAAGTCCCCCGAGGATGCGGTGAGCGAGGCGTCAAGCGATTCGGCCCGGTCCAGCATAACTGCCATGCAGGACGATTGGGAGGTGCATCCGAACTTCGACATCGAGGGCTTCAACGAGCTCCCACATGCCAACTTTGGAGTCAATCAGCATATCCTGATCAATGCCGAGTTCAAGGAGGCCCTGCGACAGATTCTCTGGCAGTTCCGGGCCCCCATCCGATACGCCTTTGCATACGGCTCCGGCGTCTTCCCGCAGTCCAAGAGTGACGGGCGCGTCCCCACCGAGGCCGAGATAAGGGCCATACATCCGAAGGCCCCGGCGGCGGTCCAGCGGGCACAGGATGGGACGCCAAAGATGATCGACTTCATCTTCGGCGTCACTTTCACCCAGCACTGGCACAGTCTGAATCTCAACCAGCACAGAAACCACTATTCCTTCCTCGGGAGCCTGGGCTCCGGTGCCGTCTCCACGGTGCAGGACCGGTGGGGCGCCGGCGTCTACTTCAATCCCTACGTCGTGATCAATGGCATCCTCGTCAAGTACGGCGTTGTCAACCTCGACACGCTATGCAAGGACCTCTCCGAGTGGGACACGCTCTACCTGGCCGGCCGGCTGCACAAGCCCGTCAAGATCCTCCGCGACGACGCTCGCGTCCGGCTGGCGAACCAGATGAATCTCCTCTCCGCCCTCCGCACGGCACTCCTGCTGCTCCCGCCCAAGTTCACGGAGCGGGAGCTCTACAGCACCATCGCCAGCATCTCGTACCTCGGCGACCCGCGCATGTCCCTGCCGACGGAGAACCCGCGCAAGGTGGCCAACATCGTGGGCAACAACCTGCCCAACTTCCGGCGGCTGTACGCGCCGCTGATCGAGACGCTCCCCAACGTCGACTTTGACGACCCGGCCCACGGCGCGGACGGCTGGGTCGCCGACGCCGAGGCCAACCTCTCGCTCCAGCAGGACATGGACCCGGTCAAGCGCGGCAACATGGTCAGCCGGCTGCCCAAGTCGTTCCGGCAGCGGCTCTACTTCCAGTACCAGAAGAAGTTCGCCATCCCGCAGGACGAGTTCGGCCGCATGATGGCCGAGTCGAGGGACGAGGACGCGACGTCGTTCAGGCGGCGCAAGGGCGGCGGGTTCGAGCGCCGCATCGCCCAGGACGAGCCGGCGCACCTGCGCGAGTACGTCCGGAAGGTCATCAAGCAGACGGTCAGCTGGCCGTCGGCGACGCAGAGCCTCAAGAGCGGTCTCACCGCGGGCGTCGGCAGGACGGCGAGGTACATCGGCGAGAAGATGGGGAAGTTCCGCGAGGGAAAGGCGCAGGGGAAGGCGCAGGCCGGTGATGCTGCCCGGGAGAAGAAGTCGGAGGAGTCTGAGAAGTCTGACGAGAGGTCTTCGTAGGCTTTTCCCCCTCATTCCCCTGCGGGGCGCAACAGGCAGACTGGCCTTTTTTTCCCTTTGTGTGTATTTACCAGACATTTTTTACCCTTTTTTTGCATGTTAAGATCATCGCATGGCGGGGCTGGGTGGCATGGCATGGCATGGCATCCAGGAAGGGGAGCCATTAGACCCAATATGAAAGGCGTTTTGAGGGAGGCCCGGGGGGGGACCTAACTAACCTGGGGTACGGTAGATAAGATAAATGGTTAATAACTTCAGCTTTTGCTTACCGCCAGGCATGCCACCCGATGAGGCTCTCCTTCGCATCGGGTGGTTATGGGGTGACTCGCGTCAAGGTAGAGAAGTGCGGTTTGCCTTGTCAGTGACACTGTTGTTTTTCGTGACACCAAGAGAATACTAGTCGGATGACATCAACTGGTCTGCCCTTGCCGTGCTCCTCTTCCTGCCTACCTTGTCACCTTTCCGGTGCTAATCCATCTCTCCAGTATATGCAGAATCACAAGAAAAGCATATGAGAAACATGGGGGGGGTGGCCTTGGCGGATGATATCGTCGACACACCTCTCAGGGCCAGACAAACCAGTGTGAGAATAGTTTCAGCAGGAAGGAGATTCAACAAGCACAAACAATAGGTAGCCTCATTATTTTAACAAAACGCCGTGACCAGCCCGATGGATACAATTAACGCCTCGTGTTCCCCGTTTCCCGGTGGACAACACCCATCCACATCACCCCTGTTTCCAGACCCCGGTCGTCAGAAGAACCAGCTCTCCCTCCCCCCATCCCCAGGCAGCAAATGGATCGACCCCATTGCAATCCCACGCACTCCCTCAATCAACAACCAACTCCTCCAAAACACCCATCGCCCTAGTCCCCTCCCTCTCAAAAGCAGAAACCATAGCCTCACACTCATGCCTCAGCTTCCGCTCCGCCAGCCCCGCGTTATGGTAGATCCACTCCTCAACAGTCATCCTCTTCTCGGGGCTGCCGAGCCCGTCCGCGCCCCTCCCCAGGATCCCGTCCACGCCGTGACTCGTCGTCGGACCCATGCCCTCAAACACAGTCTCCAGGTCCACGGCTGTCCACCGCGCCGTGCTCTGTAGTCCCGCGACGACGTTGCGCCTCGAAGAAGGCGATCCGCGCACCGGCGTGGCCGGCACGGGTGCCAGCGCCAGCGCCGTCCGCTTGGACGACGGCGGCTTGGACGACGGGGGCCGGTTCTCCGCGTCCGAGGACTGCGGCGACTGCGAGGGCGACAGCGTCGCCTGCTTGGCGTTGGCGGTGGGTGGCGTCGCGTTGGTTGCGCGGGGCGTCGCGGGGGGCTTTCGCGGTATCGAGAAGGGCGGCGGCAGGGGAAGCGCTTTGTCCATCTGGACAGGCGTCGGTCCCGAGGGGGTGTGGGACGGGACTACCTTCCCCTTGCCGGGGGTCCGGTTCAGGGCGGAGAATGACTCGCGGACCGTGGGGGACGCCACTTGAAACTCAACGTGAGCGGGGACCGGGGGGGGATGGTCCTCTTCGGGCTCATCGTCTGCGGGTTGAGAGGTCCTCGCATTCTTTGGGGGACGGCCCCTGCCCCTCTTCCCGGTGCTAAGGCGGCCACCAGATGTCTTGGTGACAACAGTTGCATTGCTCGCATCAGGGTCGTCGGCCACCTCTGGTTCGGGAGCGGCAGCAGGAACGGGGGCAGGAGGGGGAACGGGCTCGACAAGCATCACCGCCTCCTCCTCTGAGGGCTCCTCAACAGGATCGGGGGGTGGCTGCGCAACTTCCTTGGCCTTCTTTGTCTGCTTGGAGGCCTTGCGCGTGCCCGCTTTTCGCCCTTTCTTGGGGACCTCTAGAACCTCTACCTGCTCCTCGGCCTTCATCTCGGCCTCCAAAGCCTTCAGCTCCGCGTCGACCTCCGCCTCGTCGGGTTCGGGGGGTGCGGGGTCAAACATGGCGTAATCATTATTCTCCTCTTCCTGGCTCTGCGCAGTGGCTTTCTTAGAAGTAGTTCCTTTCCGAGCCCTGCGCTTTGCCGGCGCCGGCGCCGCTTCGCCTTCCGCCTTCTTCCTCTCAGAATCAGAATCGGCGGCAACATCTTCATCGTCGGTGAGGGGTCGTTCGAGATCGGCCTGCAGCTGGCGATCAAGCTCGTCGTCGTCGGGCACCTGTGCCCGCAGAGATGCAGTGGAGGCCTGCGACCTGAGGGATGAAGACGACGAGGCCTTGCGGGTTGTCCTGGCGGTCGAGGCCCGGCCCTTCTTGCGGCTGGTTGGCCGTTTCGCAGGAGGCGCATCGGCCATGTCTATATCTTGGGAAGCAGTGCTGAGAACCGAGGCATCCACGTTGTTGCTGACACTTGCCCTGGTCGCCCGCTTCTTGGGTGCCGGGGCCTCGGCATTGGTGATGATGGAATCCTCCACGGCATCACTCGCCCTCTTGCGCCCTCTTGTAGCCTTCGGTGGTGGCGGAGGGGGCACTTCTACATCCTGCTCATCCTCCAGGACCTCAACGGCGTCGTCCTTCTTCGCTCGTGTTTTCCTCCCCTTTGTCGTTGCCGCCTTTCTGCCTCTGGTGGTCTTCCTGCCGCCTTGTGTCACCACAGATGTCGTCGTCATGACACTGTCGTCGTGGTCTACAGTGACATCTGCGGCCGAAGGAAATTCAGACGTGGCCGTGGCAACAGACTGTACTGAGAGCCGGGAGGCCTTGGAGGCTCGGGCTGCCTTGGTGGCCCGGCCTTTCTTGGGTGCTGGGTTTTGGCTGACGAGCTGGAAGAACAGGCAGTCGGGAGCGCGCTTGTAGTGTTCCTCACTGGAAAATGTTTAGCAGGACCCCGACATTGGGGGCACGCCCTACTCACATCGGTTTGTCACCGGACTCCCAGCCGTCGAGTCCAAGGTGGCAATAGGGACAAGTCGTCATATCATCGGATTCGAGAGTGGGCGTGTACCTCCAGCCCGCCTCCACCAGCTAGGTAGTTAAGAGTCAGCCGAGATCTCTATAGCCGCAGACACGGAGCCAAAAATGCTTACCTGCTTGGTCTTGCACTTGAACGCCTTCTTGGACTCGTACGGCCACTTCCCTCCGAAAGTCGCCTTACGCGCCTCGACCATCCTCGGGTCGAGAGGGTGCATCGTCGTGAACTCTGCCACTTCTGCCTCAACGGCCGCTGTAATGGCCCAGCCGCAGTCGGGCCAATGCTTCAGGTGCTCGGCCAGCGGATCGTCATCCTTCTCCCAGCCGTCGATGGTCGTGTGGCAGAGGAAACAGGCGACATTGTCGGGATTACTTGGTTGTGGCTGGAAGACGAATCCGGCTTGTGCCATCTACGAAGGGGGCAATCAGTCAACCAACAGCCCCGAGTATCATGAGGTATGCAAAGGAATACTCACATCGGTGGGGGACAGGAACTTGTGCGGCCATGTTAAAGTCTTTGGAGCCCGCGAATTGGCGTTGGATGCCCTTCGCTTGGCGAGTGGTTGAGGCGCTTGGAAGGATGCCAGCCGGTTCTCGTACACAAAGTACCATTCGTCGGCGTCGGTCATCGCCATTCTGAGTTTGATCGGGTCCGCTGTGTTGCCCTTAACGTTGTTCTCGAGGCGTCGAATTCAGGATGGACGGCGGAAGCTTAGATTGGCGGTGTTTTTGGATGAGAGGGTTAGTTCGAGGGCAAAGGTCAAAGGAGCCGGTACATTGTCTGCAACGGCCGAGAAAAGGGGAGCTAATTGCCTCGAAAATTGTGGTTGAATGGGGAACAAATGTCGAGTGGGATGCGGCGGGTTGTCGTCATGGGGGAGAAGGCGCATCCAAACTACACGGGCGTGTTGGTTGGCTGGAGCTGGACGCGTTTGTTTACTTCATCACGTGACACGCAACTGTAAGTTTGGTTTCTTGGTTTCTGGCTTGAGTGGGGACACATTGGGCATGGCGGGGCTGAAGCAAATGCATGGAGAATGTGAGATGATGGGAGTGACGATGATTCTGTTTCTAGATGGGCAAGTCGTGTTCTAGGAGAATACACACACACACACACACACACATGCATATATATATATTAATGCACCAAGCTCTGTCTTCCCTCCACAACCTTCAACTCTCGCAAGACCCGCATGGAAAAAGCGTTTCCTACGCCAAGCCCAACTCCTTGTAGAACGCCTCCGTGCTCGGCTTCCGCCCGAGGAACTGCTCCAGCGTCAACATCTCCTCCTGAGAACCGCCCTTCTCAAGGACCGTGTGCCGGTACCGCCTGCCCTGCACCCCGTCCAAGGGGTTCTGCTTGAAGACGGAGTAGAACATGTCGGCGGAATAGACCTCGGAGGACAGATAGCCGTAATAGCCCGCATCGTATCCCCCGATCAGGTGACCCATCGTAGCCTCGCCGTGTCCCCAGGTGCTGCAAGCATCCATGTTAGTAAAATGAAGAAACGAAGCTGTGCGACACGCTTACCTTGGCTCGCCTAGGGCCTCAGGCCCCTTCAACCCGGCGATCTGCACCCGCAAGTCGTTGAAAACCTTGCCCATATCCATGGCCTCGAGCTCGGCATGTGACTTGGGCGTATGCACCGTCATATCGAAGAGGCCAAAGTGCAGCTGCCGCAGGTTGAACAGCGCGCCGTTGACGTGCTTGGTGGCGATCAGCTTCGCAATCAGGTTGTCGGGGATCTTGGCGCCCGTCTCGTAGTGCCCGCTCAGGGACCGCAGCTGGCTCGGCGTCCAGCACCAGTTCTCCAGCATCTGGCTCGGCGCCTCGACAAAGTCGCGCACCGTCGACGTGCCGTGGAACCGGGCGTAGCGGCACCGGCCCGCCAGGTCGTGGATGCCGTGGCCCAGCTCGTGGAACAGCGTCACCACCTCGTCATGCTTCAGCAGCGACGGCTTCTTCGGCGTCGGCTTGCTGAAGTTGCACACCAGCGCCGTCGCCGGGTACCGCCGGCTCCGGCCGTCTTTCTGCAGGAAGCCCGGCTGCAGGTTGAAGTTGGCCGCGTGGCCGTACTTGCCCTGGCGGGGGTGCAGGTCGAGGTACAGGTAGCCGACGAAGCCGTCTCCCTCGGAGCTGTCGTTCCACACACTGAACAGGATGACGTCCTCGTGCCAGGCGATGTCTTCCGCCCTGCCCGTGGGCGAGAGGCGCGCGCGGTCCTCCGGGGTGAGCTCGACGAAGGCTAGGCCGAACAGCTCCTCGAAGATGTTGAGCATGGCCGCGACGGTGCGCCGCAGGGGGAAGTACTCGGCGATGGCGTTCTCGTCGATGCTGTACTCCGTCTCCACCATCAGGCGGTCGTAGAAGCGGTGGTCCCAGAGGTAATAGTTCCCATCGAACGGCAGGCCCCTCTCGGCGAGGTCCTTCTTCTTCAGCTCGACGAGGTGCTCCGTCTCCTTGGCCCCGCCCGGCGCGAGACGGGTCCTCAGGTCGCCGAGGAAGTCCAGGACCGTCTTGGGCGTCTTGGCCATCTTGTCCTCAATGCGGAACGTGGCGTGATCGGGGTATCCGAGGAGGCGAGCAGCCTCGTCCCGCAGGACGACGGCCTCCTTGAAGAGGGGGGCGTTTTGGTTGCACTGGCGCCATGTCGGGTTAGTGAGTGATCCAGCCCCGTCCAACGGAGAGTATTCATACCTTGTTCTCGTTCTCCACAAACAGCTTCCTTCTCGTATCCGCGTTCTTCGCGAACTTCAGCGTGGGGAACAGGTCGGGGTACTTGAACGTCAGCCTCAGCTTGCCCTCGTTCTCGCCCGTCCCCTTCTGCAAGCCGTCCAATACGTCCTCGGGCACGCCGTCGAGCTCCTCCGCGGTGAACCAGAGGCCGCCGTTCTCCTCGTTCAGGTTCTTCTGGAAGGCAATCTGGATCTGGCTCAGGCGCTTCTTGATCTCCTTGAAGCGATCCCTCTGCAGGCCGACGGGCAGACCTAGGCCGTTCTTGATATAACTCTTACGCTCCTTGTCCAGGAACCTCGCGCTCTCAGCGTCTTCGAGGCCCACCGAGGTGGCAAGGGCGTCGTCAATGTTGGCCTCCCTGTCCTTCTCCCTTGCGGCCCGTAGGCCCGAGTTCTCGTAGACGGCGTCGACCAGGTGAAAGACGTCCTCGCGCATGCCGACCTCGATGGAGAAGTCGTCCATCAGCTTCTCCGCCTCGGTGCTGGCGTCCCGCAAGGCGGCGTCGCCGCTCACGTACTGGTAGAAGCCGAGGATGCGGGCGCTCAGGGAGCTCTCGTTCTCGTCCTCGATCTGGGGCCGCACGACGGCGTCGAACGTGGCCCGGGACTTGTCCGAGGGAGATATATCAGCGACGAGCCCGTCGAGCAGGGAGCGTGTTCGGTCGCACAGCTCCTTAGCGTCGGAGACGATGCTCTCCTTGGTGCCGGTGAACAGCGGCGGCGGCTGAGGAGGGTTCTGGTACTTGGACATCTTCGCGTCGGAGACGTGGGTGAAGATGGGCGAGTAGGTGGCGTAGGATGCAGTCCCGGTCGCGGTCGCGGTCGCAATGCTAGCTGTCCCTGCAAGAGGATACTGGTGAGGTGGCTTGAACCTCAAGTGGTTGAAGAGACTGGAAAGTCGAGGGATGATGCGCGGCGCAGCCAGGATGACGGTGATTGAGGAGAAGAGGAGGACGGAGAGGACAAGCAGAAGGACGGCCTGTCGTGGACGAGGAGTGGAATTCGCCAGGTTGAACGACTTGCTGGAAGACTTGCACGGTTGCAGATGGGAGAGATGCGTTGCTGCGGTTGGGCTACCTCATTAGGTACCTTAGGTAGGCAGGTTCTATGCGGGGTTGGGAGGGGAAGACGGGGGAACGAACTAAGGTACCTAGGTAGTAAAAGAGGTTGAGAATGCGATACCAAAAGCTGGTACCTAGGTAGGTAGTACGATCGAATACGCAGACTAATAGGTGGATTCCAGACTGGGGCTCGATACGAAGTAAAAGCAACGGTTGAAGTCGAACTGACTCGCGATCAATTCATATTGCTACTATACCTCTAAGCACCTAATTAAAGGCAGGTTCCGGGCCGGCCCCTCCCCCGGCTGAAACCTCGTACTGTTGCTGCTTTGTTACGCCCAGAACTACCAAGGTCTACATCCGATGATGCCAAGACTCCAAGTCTCGGCGTTGGGCGTTGAAGGGGAAACACTCGAGGGTCAACGAGCCAGGTTCACATGCGATGGTTCACACGCAACGGTTGCATGTCGCATGGGCGCAATATTGGTGAATGTCCTGTGCTATTTATCCCCAGTCCTGAAGCAACCGTAATAGCCGACCGACAAGTTCCCAAAGTGATACAGTTGGATGGAAGAAAAACAGTCGAACGCCCAGCTGCCCAACCGTAGGAAAGCAATGCAGTAATGTCCATCGTAAACGTCGTCCGTCAAGAGGCTTCCTCTATGCCACTTGAAGACGCAAACCACCCTCCCTACTTCCACTCCGATCTAGCGCCCAAACATAACCCAAATCTTGACCGATGCGCGGGTGTAGTTTAGTTCGCAAGTATCGTCCGGACGAGTTCTGTTTCCATTCGAAAAAGGGGAAGTCAGCAATGCCGCTCCAACGTCTCGCAAAATAGGGCAGCGGGGAGCCGCAACTCACCAGTGTAGTTAACCTGTCCTGAGCTGGTGTCGACGGCCTTGAGCAGCTCCTCGACCTCCTCCTCTGACATCTTCTCGCCCAGGTTCGTCAGGATGTATTTGAGCTGGCCAACGCCGATGAAGCCCGTCATGTCCTTGTCGAAAACCTGGAAACCGCGGCAGTACTCCTCGGGCTCGCCGGGTTCGCGGAAGCCGCCTGGCCGGTTGAGGACGCGCTGGAAGGTCTCGAAATCGACTGCAGAAGGGTTGGAAGCAATGGGGTCAGTAAACGAAGGCATGCATGCTGCGGGGTGGAGCAGAAGGGCCCGGCTCCCCGAAAAATGGATGATGGCAACTCACAGTCACCGCCAACGGTCTTCTCCAGATCCCGAATCTCCGCCAACGTCGGGTTCTGGCCACAGGCGCGGAGGAGGTCTCCCAGGCTGTCGAGGGTGACACGGCCGTTTCCGCGCTTGTCGAACAAGGAGAAAGCCTCCTTGTAGTTGGTGGAAGCCTGAGCGTCGAAGTGGTTAGATGCCATTGTTTACCGGTATTTCTAGTGCGTTTCTTCCCCGGATTCACGGAGTATGATGGGGTTTGAAATGATGCCTAGGAATGGCAGATGCAGGTGGATTGATTCTGCAAATGGGAAGATGATTGTGCTTCGTGCAGAGACACAGGGAAAGAAAAGCTGTTTTTGCTGGTGAATGATGTGATCGTGACAGCAAAATCGCAAAAGTGGGATTGAAGCTCTGCCCCCTTGCCTCCGATGCACTAAACATCGGGAGAGGATTTTAGTGGGCGCCGGTGTGTGTCTCTGTTGACCTGGGCAACCAACGAGCGCGCGCGGCGAATTCCACTTCCATACTTGATCGGGGATTGGATTAGGTACTCACCATCTTTTCTAGGTAGCTTCAAGAACGTCTGCGCGGGAGATCGAAAAGGAATGACCGACAGTAATCGGGGAAGTTTTCAAGTTCCAGTGTCAGTGTTTGAACCAGCAAGAACTGGATGCACCTGCTGCTGTTCTCTTTTTAAGGAGCATCAGCCGTGGAATTGGCAGTGCCCCTTGGTCTGTGCCTTCATGCGCCCAGATTGGGGCCCGTGGGTTCTGGTTGAGAAGGCAACGGCGGGTGGGGAGGGGTATTGTTTTCTTTTTTCTGCCCCGCTGCACCAATGAGTGATCAGCTTCGACACATCATCATCAGGCAGAATCGTGCCTAGTATCCGTTTGGTTGATATTCAGGTTGATGCAAATTGTCTGTGGAAGTGATCGGTACCTATTGCCAATCACAAGTATGCAAGTGCAACCCATTTGAACATACTTTACATAGATCTTGGCTTGGAGGCATTTGCTAAATACCTACAGTTGTATACATTGAATATTGAACTAGATGCAAAAAAAAAAAAAAAAAAGAAACAGAACAGCTGGACGCCAATATTATCGCCTCCTGGCCAGTAATAGCACTGTCCCCCAGACCGCCTCGACCTCGATCTCCCTCCACTTGTCCCCCTCTGCCTCCCATTCCGGCACTGCTGCCACGACCTCGTCGTACATCTTATCGACGATGTCCCCCTCTCCGCCATCGACCCGGCTTCTGAACTCTGGATGTGCATCCTTCCAGCCGCCGAAAGCGCTGTACGTCCTGGTATAGCCCTCCAGCTCTCCCAGCTTGAGCGTCTTCCGCATCCAGAGCACCTCCTCGGCCGCGTCCCCGATCTCAGCGGTCTTCCGATCCGGATCCCAGACGATCCGCCGGACGTCCTCCCAGTCCTCCTGGGGGGGCACGACCGCGCTCAGCGAGTTGCGCAGGATGTTCCTCCCGGGCAACTCCCAGAACCGGGCCATGCTCTCCATCCCCGGCGCCACCTCCCCCTCGCCGTACGTGAACCGGTCAAACACCTCCGACGTCGCGGGCCGCCCGACGATGACGTGGTCCTTGTACCCCCAGAACGCAAGCGTGGCCCCCGGCACCGCCACCCGCGCCAGCTCGGGCCACGCCCTCTCGTAGTCGAACCAGTGCGCCGCCTGCCCGGCCACGACGCAGTCGACGCTGCCGTCTCGCAGCGGGGACAGGTCCTCGGCCGACCCCTGCCGCACCTCGATCCCGGCTGCGGTGGTGTCGCCGGCGTTGAGCTCCCGCGCCTGCGCCACCATGCCTGGTGAGGGGTCGAGGGCGAGCACGGCGCCGAAGTGCGGGGCTAGGGCGCGCGACACCACGCCGTGGCCGCACCCGAGGTCGAGGAGCGTGCCGCGGGACTGTTTGCTGGGTTTGTGGTTATGGTTGTGGTAGTTCAGCACGGTGCGGAAGAGCGAGGGCCCATAGCTGGGCCGGAAGGCGGCGTAGCCGGCGTGGGAGAAGGTGGTACGCCTGTGTCATTGTTAGAAGGTGAGTTTATCGTAGTCGATTCTATTGAGGAGGGGGAGAGAGACTTGCGCAAAGGTTGACATCACTGTTGGTGTCGTGTGCCTTCAACGTTCAATCGGTGCTTCTTTGGTGCTTGGCTTGGTCGATTCTGGGGCAACAGCATCCATATCATATACAGGTCTACATATTATATACATGGTCAAGATCCCGCGCAAACCCCCATCAATCGCCATCCCACGCTTTTTTGCAATCGGCAGTTTGATCCCTTTGGCCCTTGGCGAGCTAGCATAGTAGTACCGCCGACGATCACCGATGGTTTCCGCCGGCGATATCGGGATGGTGTCATGCCGCCGCATTTCCAACTCTGACGTCTTGTCGGGTCATGTCTTTCCGCACTCCCGAACCACAATTGCATTGAGAGAAAGCTGGCACTTAGTATAGCAGCAATACTTCAGGTAAGCGTTACTATTGTCATTCCCATTCGCCTTTAATTCAGACGACGAATTGCGTCTCTCCACATCCTTGCTTTGTCATCTCATTGACTTTCACAACTTCACATCCAGTAAACCAGTGATTACGGACCTCTCCATCAACACTCATACCGCCATCATGGCCACCGAAGCCGCCGTTCGGACCTTTTTCTCGTCCCCTCATTTTGCCGTCGTCGGGGCCAGCTCCAACCCAGCCAAATACGGCCACAAAGGTCTGTCTGCTTCACATGCGTCCTCTGGGGTAGCACTTCTCCCATGAGATTGAACCCTTCCTTCACATGATAAACCCGCAAACCATAAACCCCCCCAAAACTGACCACAACCCAGTCTTCGCCTGGTACGTCCACCACTCCCTCCCCGTAACCCCTATCAACCCAACCGCCCCGGCCATCACCCTCCCCAACGGCGGCCCGGACCACCCCACTGTCCCGTCCCTCTCCGCCCTCCCGGCCCCGTCCACCACCTCCGTCTCAATCATCACCCCGCCCGCCGCGACCCTCGCCGTCCTCCGCGAGGCCGCCGCCCTCGGCGTCCCGGCCGTGTGGCTCCAGCCGGGCACCTTCGACGACGAGGTCCTTCGCTTTGCGAGGGCGGGGAAGGGGGAGGGGTTCGGGGGCGCGGTCGTTGCGGGGGAGGGGGGCAGGGGCTCGGAGGGGTGGTGTGTGCTGGTTGATGGGGAGAGGGGGTTGAGGAGTGTGGGGAAGCTGTGAGGGGGGTTGGTTGTTTGCTGCCTTGGGGAGGGGGAGTGTTGCGAGGGTGGTTGGGGGCGTGTATATGGCCGTGTGTTATCCCCCGAGGGGTAAGCTTTCTCTGTTTAGGTTTGCAGTTAGTGTATCAGCATCGAGCATTCCGTCACCGTTGCAGCTGTAGATCACCGCAGAGGACTCGGCGATCGATACACCTTGAAGCACCTAGGAAGAGTAGATGAAGACGGTTGGGGAAATATCAATGGCTGGTCTGAGGGTGAGGAGGACCTTGGAAGAAGAAATGTTGACCGGATTTGCACGTAAGTATATACAGTGAGCCCCAAAACGAGTGGGCGAACATGCAGCGTTAGGTGGGTAGCGGTAGGTGGGAGTGGATAGGCAGGGGGGTGGGCAGGAGGATGGACAGGTGAGTGGCAGGTGAGTAGACATGGTGAATGGGCGAGTAGGTGAGTCCGGTAATGAATATATATATCAGGGTTAGGAACCAATTGTCAAGGATCACAGCAGGCGGCAACATGGCCATGTTGTTCAGGTCAAACTGTGGTCCTGTGGTGGACTGGTAATGTGCGACACACGACAAAAATCAACACCCGGCTCGACGACAAAGAGACTAGGACACTCGACACCCGAGTCCGAACTCTTTTGTTTCGAGCCGCACCAGTAAATATTCTCGAAAACATCCTTCCATATTTGAGGATATGTAACAAGCGTCTTTTTGTTTACTTTCTTCCCCTCTTTTTGGCTATTTTGAGATTTTTCCTCTTTTTGCTTCTTCCTTGTATTTCTACTGCTTGGGGGATGCAAATATCTCCGTATGTATGTAGTATTCCCTGGTCTTGAAGAACCAAAGCAATCCAAAATACTATTTCGCAACCATGGCCTCTGTTCTACCTTGACCTAGTTCTAGCACAGACTTGAGATCCTAATGATGCACATGGTGGTCCCAAAAGTCCCTGAAGTTGGTAGTGGACATCTCTTGGAGATTTATTTCACACCCCCAAGCACTCGTTAGAACCCTGATTTTGAAACAAGATAGCTTCCGGCTAGCTACGATGCTCGCGTTTAAATTTGGTCTCGACTAAGATCTTGTTAACCATTTCCCACGAGGTATCTGAAACGAGACAGCTTGGAATGAGGAGAGGGCTGGAGATCAATGCATCTCAAATTCAGCCCCCAAATGCAAAATACAGGAGACTCGTTCTGGCCTGCAGGTATTGCCGAACTTCTAAGTTATATACATGGACTGTGTTTCGTGCGAGGCGCGAGTCAATTTCTCCCGCCCACCAACGATGTTATTATCGTTGCCCAGCAGTCATAGACAGCGAAGCCAAGAAAGGTCATGAAAATGTAAATAGTCCCGATGGTGGGTGAAGAGGGTGTGGCGGGTGGATCACTGACGAAGTGAAGGGCGTAAGAGTAAATACGGCGGCGCAAGGAATCGAGTGAGGTGAGATATGGGCGTGATTATCTGAGTCGATTTCAACCTGGGCGTGTTCCATTGATCCTCTTATATCTTGTCCCAAGGAGGAGAAGGAAGCTCTCGTTGTCTCGCGTCCCGCCCCATGACTCCATCCATGGCTTTTTCTCTTCAACTATCTAGGTCGTCAACACCCTCCCGAGCGGGAGATGCTGGACGCTCCCATGGTATTCGGGAGCGTGGTTGTCCGCAAGCCTGCGTCCGCCCGGACAACAGCATGGCCAACATCTAATTAGGTGGTGGACCGGGCACTATACATCGGACGGGGCCTACCACGCCACGTAACGGCCAAGGCTCGGCGGGATCGGTGGTGGGTCTCGGGCCTGGGGTCATGGTTGGGATAGTGGTGATGGAAGTCCCTGAGGTGTGTCCCGGTTTGCGGACAAGTGCAGCTGATCCGGGGGCAAATCCCGGGTCAGCCGACGTGATATTTCGAACACTGGGAGGTAGTCTGCCAAGGGAAAGGTGGATAACCCTGTATTCGGGGACCGGAGCGGGATTTCGACCTTCCAGTTTCGGTACCCGGTGGACTTCTCGTGTATCCACTGCCTGGCCCCGGAGTCTGGTAGTCGTGGCTGCAAGGTGAGATCATTACCGTGATGCCCAGTCATATACCCCTGCTACATGTTTTGATCATAGTGACGGAGGTAAGAGGTAGGGCTTGGTCTCACCAACCTTGTGCCTGCGGTTGTCGATCGAGCAATACATAACCGGGTTCACCAACTCCTAATTAATTAACTTGTACGCAACCCAATCGGCCCTCAAGATGAAGTCGGTGATTGTGCGTCCTTCATTGGGGGGCTCAGGGACGGCATCAGGAGGAGGTTAAAGTGCGACATCTCGTCGTTGGAAGTTGTATGCTAGTATGAAAAGCTCTCTTATTAGTAGCCCGGACATCTTGGTGCTTTACTCACGGCGCAAGCAATATTTAAGACGTCACAGTGAATATCTAGTAGAATTGTGAAATAAATCAGAATTCCATATAGGTAGGCCACAACCTCGTTTGAGAGATATGTATGTATCGTGTACCGAAATTTTGCCTAGGTACCTATATATGTACCTATCCAATACAAATGCGGAACGTGCGACTGGTGTCACCTCTTCCTCTCCTCGTGCACCATCAAGGGTTAGGAAATCCCTGATTAGTCCCGCACGCCGCCTCCTGCCCATCATGCACAAGACAGAAGCTCATCGACCACCCCAGCGAAGCATCATTCGGGTCCCTGGACGTGGTGCTGATCGCCGCAGCCGGCCCATTCCCGCACTTTGAGCTGGCGTCGTCGAGGAAGTCGCGCAGCTGCTGGCCGGTGAAGCGGTAGATGGGCGAGGAGCCGAACGAGTTGGCGATGCCCCACACCAGCGAGCAGCCCGGCGACGAGGCCAGCACGCAGTACCCCCCGATGGGCGGGTCCCCCGGCTCCGGGATGACGTCGCCCGTGCCGTAGCAGATGTTGTCGTTGTTGCTGTACGTCGTCCCCACGTCGAAGCCGTCGAAGGCGTGCGCGTAGCACTGCGATAGGTCCGTGTAGTCGGCGTCCGTGTGGCAGTCCACGCCGTGCCCGCTGGGCACCAGCACGCCGAATGGGCCGGCCGCTGGGGGCGTGTACGTCTGTGTTGGCGGGGGCGGCGGCGGCGTCGTGGACGAGGCTGGAGGGGGCGGTGCGTCGGTGTCGGTGGGGCTGCCAGTGTCATCCCAGCTGTTGGCGTCCCACTCGTCGATGATGAACAGCCAGCCCGCTGGGTCGTCGGGCAGGTCGACCGGAGGCGGGACGACGAGTGGCGGGCCGCCGACGGGGATGGGGATCCAGAAGGGCGGGAAGAAAAAGTCGTGGTCGCTCGTGTGGTCTGGGTCGTAGGTGCTCGTCGTCGGGTGGCCGGACGAGTCGACGCCGGGGGCGCTGTAGGTGGCGGACGGGGGCGCGAAGCCGGACGTGATCGGGAACGGCGCCGGGACGGACTGGCCCGGGGGAATCTCCATGCCGAAACAGAGGGAACCTCCTGTGCCGCAGCATGTGCCGGTGACGAGCCGGTAGATGTCGCACGTCTCCTGGCAGTTCTCCGGACCTGGGGGGTTGTTGTTCGCGCCCGATGTGGGGAGGCTTGCGATTGCGCTGGCGCACTGATCCGAGATCGTCATGGTCTGGCCGCACTGGATGTCGCCGCAGGCGCCTGAGAGGCCGGGAACCGGCTGCAGGCCGTCGGGGGTTGGGTTGTCGGATATCGGCTGGAACCCACCAATGTTGGCGCCGGTGAGAGCCAGTGGCATCCAGGCGCTGATGGCCGTGAGGTAGCCGTTGCGGTTGTCTTGCTGGACTGTCGGAGCGATGCCTCCTAGCGGGGAGACGCACTCAAGCACCCCCTTGGTGTACTGACTAAACATCCAGATACCCTGCGAATAGTCCGTCTGTACGATGCGCTGCTGGCAATTCTCCCCGCCGAGGCAGTCCTGGGCATAGCTCTGGAACCAGCTGTACAGGCCGGCACCGTAGATGAGAATATCGTGCGAGTTTCGGATGATGAGGGCCCACGAGAGGAGGCAAAGATGGTCCGCCGGGTTGCAGTCTTCGAACTCGGGGTCGCTGGCATAGACCCCCAACGGGAAGATATCCACAGCGGTGGGGGTTGGCTGGTAATACGGCGATTCAGTCTGCATGTGGCCGATGTAGATGTTGGACGCATGGTCAAAGTTGTACTGATACAGCACGGCATGTTCCGAGGCGCCTCCCCAGAACCACGTAGGCCCGTCGCCCTCAACCAGGAGACCTCTAGCGGTGAAGATGTTGATCTGAGATTGGGCGGGAGTATCAAGATCGTGATCTCTGTTCGACACATGTTGGTCAGCTTTAGTTCTCCATTTTTGCCAGCAGCGTGTCCACATTTCGGAGCAGTCACAAACTTACGCAGTCCACAACCAGTTGTTCTCAAAGTACCCGGAGGCTCCGGATGTAACGTGCATCATGAGCGCGGCGCCAAAACAGTTGCTGTCGACGGCTGACGACGCGGGACATTGCTCGGTCTGCAGGTTCGATCCGACAGAGCCACCGATACGGACATGCGAGTCCCACATGCCAGCGCTTCCCTGACTTCCCTCCTTGACATTCCACTCGACGAGGACGGCGCCGGGGTTGGGGCCCTGCACGGTAAACATCATGTCCGAAATTTCAACATCTCCGACATCGCCGGGATTCCCGACGCGAAAGACGGCCTGGGGGTTGCGGGCGTCGCTAAAGGTCGCTCCAAACGCCATGATCTGCGGCCAGGCCTCGCCCACGATGCGGGACCCGACGGGGACGTTGACCGTGGACCCGACCGGGTACACGCCCGCCGGGAAGAAGACGACCCTCCCGCCGGCGCCGGACAGTGCCGCGTTGATGGCGCCGCTCTGGTCGCCCGTGCCGTCGCCCGTCGCGCCGAAGTCGGCGACGCTGACGAAGGACCCCGTGCCCAGGCCCTCGTACTGCGGCTTCGACCTGGTGAAGAACTTGCCCGAGCCCCCGTCGAGGAGCACGGCGGGCTTGTTGGGCGGCGGGTCGATGTTGCCCGTGACGTACGAGCCGGACCCGTCGATGTCGGTGTACCGGCGGCCCATGGCCCATGACTGGATCGTCGCCGAGCCGCCCGTCACGCCGGCCAGGATGGTGTCGCCGCCGCTGACAAGCACCACCGACGGGGTGTTGCCCTCGATCAGCAGGTTGTCGATGGTGATGGCGGGCCGCTTGCTGGTGTCGGCGACGACGGTGATGGCGTAGGGCACCGAGTTGAAGTGCGAGTCGACGACGGTGAGGCTGCCGGTGCCCTGCAGGCCGTCGCCGCCAAAGTTTGTGCAGTCGAAGGCGATGTAGGCCGCGTTGACGTAGATGTCCTGCCAGGTCCAGCCCCAGTCCCAGATCATGGACACGGCGATGGCGGGCAGGGTGAAGGTGATGCTCCGGGCGGTGAACTGCTGGCTGCCGACGCGCATGGCGATGTTGCCGCCGAAGAAGGTCAGGTCGCTCATGAAGCCGCCCGAGCCGTTCTCGGTGAAGATGCCGACGGCCGTGGTGCCGCCGCCCAGCGGCATGACCACGTCGATGTTCTGCAGCGACGTCGACTGCGCCACCTGCCAGTGGATGCCGCACGGCACGTACGTCTGGTCGCCCGACGTGTTCTCGTTGGGCATGTCGGTGAGGTCGATCTTGAGGTTGCGGATCTGCCGGAAGAACTGGTTCTGGTTGATGTACCACTCGTCGCCGTTCCCGCCGGGAATGTACACGTCCGTGTCGATCAGCGCGATGCCCTGGAACGTCGACATGCCCTTGATCGTCGGCTTGTCTCCCGTCGGGTCGCCGATGAACTGCGTGTAGTAGTACTGGATGATGGGCGACGACACCATGTACGTGCCCGGCGGGAAGAAGACGACGGCCCCGAGCACGCTCGTCGAGCCGCAGTCCTGCCCACAACGGCCGCCCGCCGTGACCGCGCTCATGATGGCTTCGGTGTCTGGGAGAGTGTGAGTGTCGGCAACAAGATATGTGCTTAAAGTTAAAGTAGGAACACCCGTCTGCTTACCATCCGTCACGCCGTCTCCCTTGGCGCCGTACTCCTTTACGTTACGCCAAGCTGGGTAGCCTGACGGCGCATACGGAAACTATGCCAAATCAGCACGGGAGCTTTCCCTACACTCTACACAATCAGGTGGTAAGACTTACTGTACCGTGTCCCATGTTTGCCAACCAGTATGAGCTCCCTGTCGCCTGGCGGTTCTCCACAATATTGATGTTGGGGTCCCTCTCAACAACAACGGAAGTTGAGATGTTAGGGGAAGGGGTGACTTCGATTAAGTCTGGCGAGTACTGGTCTGGGGCGGCATGGAAGTAATTGTTCGTGTTGTCCACCATGTATTTCGGTGGTGGAACCGGTGGGGACGGCTTATACCCGGCGGGAACTGTCACTCCATCCGGTACAGCAATGGTTGAGGTGGACGAGGTTGAGTTAGACGACCTCGAGGTGGACGAGGTTGAGTTGGACGGCCTCGAGGTAGTCGACGCCGAGGAGGTCCCCGGTGCTGCAAAGATGCATTGTGCTAGCAGAGCAAGCACTACGCTTGAGTATGTTGAGAGCTGCATCTTGGCAACCGTTGCCAACGCAAAGAAGCCCAGTTGCAAAGAGGCTGGCGGTCACGGTTGTGAGTGAGTACTCTCGTTCCCTCACTGTGAGAAACGGTCGTATATCTATCTAGAGTCAGGACTGTGAGGGTTCGAGGGGAAGCCACACTAGCACTATGACAAATGCTCTTCGCCAGCCCTGCCTCCTCTGATTCCGCGTTTCCCGGCTTTCCATCCATGTTGGCCAGTGATCAGTTGTTCTTCACGCCCCCATTCCTGACAGATGACACCGCTCTAGGATGTGATGATTATTCATGCCCTTGGCACACCGCTTCAATCCAAGTTGCTGTCTTTGGCAATGTTAACCGACATGGGGCTATGGCGCAGGCTGCGCTGCCTGTCGTGCTTCTCTCCACGACACCACCGCGAGGCAATATTGTTGTGAACGAGGGTGGGAGTGGGAGGGCGTGATGGGAATGCATGATGCAGCATTCCTGGTTCAGAATACCACCTTGGCGTAGCGTTGCTTTACTCAGTCCCTTCCCTTTTTGGTTCAACTAGGCGTCCTGTCATCAACCCTCCGATCACACCGTGATCAAGCTGTCGATGAATAAGCGCCCCTGGTACGGTCGCCCATAGAGGCATAGGCTCCAAATAGTTTGACGCTTATCGGCTGACGGGCTTGCGGTTTGAGTTTTATGGCATCTCGCGGTTACCTGCTAATTCACAGCGGTGGTTGAAAGAGTAGGCTGGCTGGCAGTCTTCCCCGGTCCCCCTGATCGGAGAGTCAGCGCCCCCCCCTTCTGGTTCCCTGTCTTACACACCAACAACTATCTATACCACCTCAACCTATCTATTCAAAGAGGTAAAACCAACATCCCCAGCTGTCACTCCACCTCTGGCCATTTCTTGCCTTGAACCACTTACAGAATCTCAAAGACTCCCCTGCCCATCATGATCGCACAGCCAGTGCAACTCATTCTAGTGTTCATCTCACTCCTCCCTCTCGCGCTCGCTAGAACGACGCAAGTTGTGATCAACACCTCATGGAACAGCCCTGCGGTGCCCGGCGGCCCACCCTTCGCGGTGCCCGATTGCCCAAACGAGGGACCCTTTATCCTGCAAGATTATGCCGATGCCCTTGACCTCGCCAAAAGCGCTCGCGACGTCTTGACTAACGACTTCCGCTTCATCTGGAGTCGGAGGTGGTACGAGAAGCTGTTCACCGATAAGAAGCGCTCTACATATGTTGTTCCTGACCGGTTGAGCATCCGAGGCACGTAAATTATCTACTGGCTTGCCTGATCACGCATCATATTGGTGATTGGACCAGGGGTGCTGATCTGACATCGGTGCAGATGACTACGATGCCGTTTACTCCAACAGTGGACTTCCCGACGAGATCATCTTCCACTGCGATCCCGGCTGGCGCGACGCGCTTTACTCTCGTCGATCGGCCTCGGAGCTGTACGACATTGGCAAGCCATGGTCGGGCTGTGGCGCAGGCACGCAGTGAGACTCCCTCTCTACCCTTCCCAGTTCAGCCAATCTTGCGGGGGGGGGGGGGGGGGGGGGGGGGGGGGGGGGGGGGGGGGGGGGGGGGGGGGGGGGGGGCGGGGGGGGGGGGGCGGGGGCGGGCCGCGGGGGGGGCGGCGG